CGTCATTCAATCCAATTACATTCGTGCGTGTGCATGTTGTGCTTATTCTAATTTGATCATTACGCTCGAATTAAAAACGAACGTACATGTACAAGTGGGCAGATGTTGAATAAATAAAACAGCGACGACGGAAAGATCTCTTGCGCCAAATCCTGTTTGCAGAAGTCGTTTAATATCTATCTTGTTCGGTAGTCCGTACGTCACTTTTTGAGTTAGGGCTTGTCTCCGACGCACAGAGCAGCCGTCAAAAGGGTACCTTTACTTTGAGTAGGTTGTGTCCTTTGAGGTGAGGGAAATCACAATTTAAAACTTAATCTAGTTCTTGTCGAAAGATATCAGAAATGACGCTCATGATCTGCCGCCGAACTGGTCGTTTGTAATGCTTCTCAAAGATTACAGTTGTACGTGTGCTAGACAACATTTTGTTCTATTTTCCTATTATATACAACAGTTGAAATTTGTCCCCAAATCGCTGGATATATATTGCTTTCAGTAATATAAATAGTGGATTTATGTTCGCTTTTTGCATTATATAGCGGAATTTCCGTCGATTAAACATTGGTTTCAATGGTTGTTGATTAAAAGGCTCTCCGAGGCAGTTAAAAAATTGAAAGTGGACATGAAAACTGTGATCTAAACTAAAGAAAAAATATTTCAGTTTTACAAGTGGAATGAGCTATGGCCTGCTGATCTGTTTTTTTTCTTAGGGTCTTTTTCACTTTTCCATTTTTGAACGGATTTTAGAAGAAAAATGTATTGAAAGGTGTATCGTTGAACGTGAATTGGATTTACACTATTACTATTTGGAATGTGTTTTTTAGTTGTCATGATTTGCTTTGTTTTGTTTTTATTTTTGTTGGTATTAAAATTCAAGTGCCAGCAAATTTGATGAAAACCCGAATGATATTTTAGTTTCTGTAACAAGTATTAATCCTTCAAAATTGTCATAGTTTTGAACAACTCTATAACAAAACTTAACATACCCCATAGTCAGCAGATCAACTTTGAGTTTACGAAGGACTAAGTGTATAACCTACACATATTTGATTCCTATTATTATATTCAATTTGCTCTTTTTTTCTCTAAGTTATAGTTAATTTGTTGATTTTATTTCATTTTGTAAACGTTTCCGATAAAATACATGTACAGAATCAAACGAGTCGTACCCTACAACACAGCATATACGTTGCTTACCATGGTCACATAACTTACAATTGTCGCTTAACTAAACTATGACAGAAGTAACAGAAAAAAATTTAAACAATACAAAACAGAAAACTTTTAATATTTACAGTGCCTAGCAGTATTTATAACTGCTTAATAACTAAATAATTTGGTTTTATAAACTGTGTTTATAATTTACATCGACCACCATACAGAGTTTAAAAGCTAACGTTTTATTTACGCATAAAAGCTATCGACTCTAAAAATTTTGAAATCTTAAAACGTTTGTTTTCAGCTATATGGGAATAGTACACAAGGAAAGATTAGATTTAAATGCTTGTCACCCAAGAAGTTAAATGTTTCTTATATTAATAGGTTTTTTTCGTTATGACGTTTTCAACCTCAAATTTGGCTCATGTCCAGCACTGTGTGGGAGAAAAAGAGAGACATTGTGAAAATTTAAGCACGGTTGTAATTTTTGAAATATTTTCATAGAAATTGTAGTCTTCGTCGCATGAAAACTAAAAGAAAAAGTTAGTGATTTTTAGAGTAGCAATAGCTTGAACAAACAGAACTTGACTGGTTAAAAAAGGTACACCAAACGAAGTATCTTGAAATAATGTGTTTAAGAAATTTAACTCTGAAAGTAGACTGTGAACTTGGCTTTCATCCAGAGGTTGATCTCGATTGTTATCCACATATTTGAATTTTTTCGGCTAGATCTAAAGTTATGTTCATATCACAAAATACAAATTTGCAAAATTCATTTGGACGAGCAGATGTTGCTAGCTTGCACGTAGTTGGCATCTACACAACAGCTGAACGAAGATCAACGTACTCTGAGCGTTTAGCATGGAAGCCTAAAGTCACAGTTCTTGATAAAAGAAGAAAACTACATATTTATTTGAATGTGATTTATTGGTTGCCAACACTTTGTGTACGGAGATCTAGATAAAATATTTTTTCGAGAAATGTGACATGATTTCTCGTAGCCTTAAAACACTGTTCCAATATGCTTTTAAAAACCATCACGGATTATGATAATTGGGAAATTGTCCAATTTGTAAATACATTTTTTTTTTTTGCATTTCGTTAGCATCTCGTAAAATTGACCGTCGAAGTTCCAATTTTTACATCTTTGTGGCAGCTTCGGAAATGAGGGGAATGTTTTGTCGAAGGAGTGAAATTGAATTAGTTGAGGTAAATTTGGTTAAATATCAGATAAGGTACTGTATCCTCTCTATTATCAACCCGGAGACAAATGTTGTATTTTTCTACTCTTCAGTAATCTTCTTGAATAATGAAACCCACTTCGAAGGATTATTTTGCCTCTTTCACTAATCCACAGGACAACATCTGATGAAATTGGGCGAACAGGGGTTTCACTTTAAGCTTAAGATAGAATGTTAGATAACAGTTTATGGGATAAAGTGGCGAACTACTGTAATTTCAGCCATAATCATAGCTCTCATAATTTTTATTGTATTTCATAAATTTTTTAATTCTAAAGAGACCGAAATAACTTACACGATCGATATAAATATCAATGCTTTCTTTCTTCAGAAATTAATTCCTCTGTGCCAGTTGTTTGAGGAATTCTTTCATCTGCGATTTGAAATTCGAGATATATATTTTTAATTTTGTAGAACATCAAAGCTTTATTTTCAAAGTTACCTATGCAGTAATGTGTTTTGTATCGCGATTATTTATGACAAAAACTGCCTCGAAATCCGAAAGTTGCAGAAACGAAATTTTTAGCGGATCACGGCCCACTTTTTTAGAATATGCCTATTGTCAATTAAATCCAATCTTTTAGTATTTGTGCCATATTTGTGTCGTAGGCTTCGTTTTTTCCTCACATTGTGAAGTTATCGCCAAAATTTTTAGTAATTGGTTAGAATTTGTGCATGTCCAAATCTAAAAATTGAAAACCACCCTGGTTAAGTCTTTTTTTTTTTCTAATTTCCCTCTTTCTACCAATCTTCATAGGAGCGTTCGTAACGGAAATTTAGTTCTATCTGATTTCATTTTCATCACGCTAATCTCCAGATAACGACAGTTTTACACCTGAAACATATGATTTTCTGTAGTGGCAGCATTGCAGTTGTACCTGAAATCATTTTGGGGCAAAATCGTCATGATATTGCTTTAAAACGGTTTGAACGTGCTCGTGAAAGGATGTTTTCGTTATGGAATTATAGCCCTTTCCGCTCAGCGTACGTCTGAATTTCTAACAAATTACACAATTAACATTTAGAGAATTGCTGGTGGAGTATGTCCTTTCTGAACATTCAAAACTTAATTATACGCTGTTATTTTCGAGGATCAAGGTGTATAGTTTATTTCCATTTTGTCCGTTCTGCTCAAGTGCCAATTTCTATTTTACCTAATACGGTTATTTTCTGGCTTCAAATACTTCGTTTCCAGAAAAGATTTAGTACAAAGCCAACGAGATAATTAAAAATACTCAATAGGACCTCCGCTCTAAGCTTGCGGAAGTAACAGCGGTAGTGTTTTTATTTCCATCAACAATTCTCAATGCGTCAATTTCCATTAGCACATCCTTAAGTGATTCTCAGTTGCTTTGGGCAAAATTTGCGTTAAAATACACTACGATTTTAACTTCGACAACTGATTTCCTGTCAAATTGAAGAGCACTCAAGATGCCCGCAGCGCCCACTTCGCTGTTTTCGACCTCGTTTAAAATAATACATGTTGGGCGATTCCAGAATTGATTTTATTTCCTCCTTTTACTAATTGACGATCCGGTCAACACAATTACCACAAATGCTCGTTATCAAGTTGAAATAAGGAAAATAATTTTTAGAGCTAAGTTCTTTTTAGTTTCGTTTCGGCCTTTGAGAATTTTAAACCAGCCGTTGATTCGTGTTTTTGCGGGCTTGTCAAAGCATACCTTGATGTTGTACGTTTACGATACGCTGTTTTCACTCACAGTCGATCTAATTCAAATTCGTTACGCGCTAATTGAAACGCAAAATGAAATACTCCACAAAGGGACCTCGGTGAACGTGTAAACACAAATTGGCCCTAATCCGATCAACATTACTATTATGTTTTAAAACGCACCCAGGCATCTTTAAACAAAAAAATATCGCTTAGCAAGCTTGGCAAACTTGGCAAGCTTAGCAGGAGAACGCGCGAAAACAAAAGCGGAAGCTGGGTATCTGCAGAGGTTTAATGTGTCTTAAGGCCTTATAATGGAGTGGACCCTATTAATTGCGCTATTACAATAGCGCCTTTCCGTGTACACCCTGATAATGATTTGCGGCCAAGGGAAAGTAGTTACGTTAGACGCACTGCTTCAGTGGTCAATTATACCAGCTCTTGGATTACAGGAAATTCAGTGTAGATACATAATCGTCATAAGCAACGTGTAGCCGTCAAACCACACAACCGATGACCACTTAGCTTAAGATTCAAGAGAGATTTTTGGTGAGCAGTCTTTTCAACCTCTTAAAACTTAATAAGTTATTGTTTTCTTTTATGAAGCAACACTGTTGAGGAAAATTCGGCTCGTGGAGCTTCTATTTTACACGGTTTTTGTCAAATCTTGTCATCATGGGTAAATCAGATTTTTTTACTTTCAATCGGTTCTTTTCTACCCTTTCACATCGACTTTACCAAACACTTCGAGGTCTAGATTTATGAGTAATACATGAGTTAGGCGAGTTTTTGTTTTTTGTAATCCTAAATTGCTCTTCAAACTCAAGGGGCATCTGTGACGCGACGCAGAAGCTAGCGCTGCTGATTCAAAAACCTACAGTTAAAAGTAAGCTGATTTTTTTTGTTCTTTATTCATTCCTCAGATGAGTTGAAACGCGTTGATCATGACAGATAATCTCACGGGGGACAGTTCAAATGACGGATTGAGCAACATGCCCAAAGATTCATTTTACTACATTCGACTCGTGTGTTATGTGATCATCTTTATCGTTGGTGTTGTTGGAAACATTTTGGTCTGTTTGGTAGTTTGTCGTCAGCGAAAAATGAAAAACGTCACAAACTATTTCATCTTCAACTTGGCCGTGAGTGATCTCTTCGTGTTACTGATTTGCATTCCCTTTGACTTCGGCGAGATTGTAACTGGAAATTTCCCTTACGGAGCTGTAATGTGCAGACTCATTTATCCTCTACAAACCATGGCAGCAACAGCATCTGTTGGCACGCTTGTAGCTATTAGTCTGAATAGGTAAGTTGGGTTTATTTTCTTTTGTTTTTTTCGCATTGATTCATTCCACTGGACCGATAACGAGCTGCGAATGTTCCGTATTAATGATATTCGCTTTGATCTGCGTCAAGGGTGTATGAATCCTGTGGTCACCTACAGTTGTAGAACCTTTTTTTTTTTGGTCATCTCGAATTCAAATTGAGAGAAATCACTTTACTTTTTGTTGAAATAAAACGACATGTCAAATAATTCCAAATTCTGGCGCATGTGGTGTTTTCCTAGATTTAAGGTAAAATGCAGTGCCAAATAGTGTATGGTTTCGTTTATCTCAACGATAAAATGTTGTTTTTACGTCAAACGATTTTTTTTTCTTACACCGGAAATATGAATGGGCGCTGGCTAGATTTATGAGAAGGAAACAGTTTAATCAGCTGACAAAACTAACATATACCTAAATGAATATTACTCCAGTTTGGGAACACATCTTCATGCATTTTACGGAGTGAGAGCTCATTTTATATATTAATGACCTTCTGTTTTCCTCTCGGTTCATCATTGCCACATGCATATTATTTTCTACTGTTTTCGGAGACGATAAGAATACACATCAAGTGTTTGGCCTGCCTTGCTAATTCATTCATGCTGAATAAGTTGAATATTGCATTTACCGTTAGTGAACTTTGAAAGCAAACAGCACTTTCCTTGTTAAAGAAGTGTCACTGTTTTTGTCAGCTAAAAGAGGTTTTAATCATTCGGTCCTACTACAAAGTAAAGAGACTTTTCAACAGCTTATTGTAATCACAGTAATTACACGGCGACTGTCCATTAAGGGCTTAGGAAAACAATAGATAAAAACCTATTTACGACTTCTGAAAGCTGAAAATGGGCAAATGATTGTTTATGCACTGTTAAAAGTCGTTGCTGAAAATGTTTTAATCTGCTTAAGAGATATTTCTGTGCGATAGCAAGTTCTGTGGCTACAATATGCCTTTTTTTATTTAAAAATCTGTAATTGAAACCCTTTTTGATGAAAATGAAGCAATTGAGACGAGAGTATATTGTGAAGTACGTTCATGAGGCACCGTTTATTGTGGTAAACGTTTGAATAAAGCTATTGAGGAGTTCTTTGATGGGATACTGTTTATTCTGCTGTGCGAGGTGATTGTAACGTTTAGGTTTGTGGATGAAAACCCGGTGTGTAACTATTCAAATGAACGCTTCTGAGCATTATTTTCACGAGGTACTGTGCCTAAATCTCGTCCTTCAATATCAAAAACAAATGTTTTATACATTTTGGCCGTAAGCGTAAACGTCGCGTTTGCAGTCCGATTGCCGGTAGTTTTAAATCACTATTTTTTTCCCTCTCAAGTTTGAAAATTTTGGTACAGTAGGAGGGAAGATCTAAAGATTACTTTTGCCTCAAAATTAACCTAAACATATTTTTACGCCTGAAAAAGCGTGTCCGCCCACGTTGCATTGACGTACAGAGACCCACAAACATGGTGCAGTTATTACATTTACTTGGCCAACCCACGCCGCGCAAAAATTCAACATTATGTTCAAATCGCTACAAAATACACAATCAGATTGTTTCTTTCTTACAGTGGATCTCCTGATCAGATTAGAGACTTTAATATAAACAACCCAGATTGATGATTACTCGTAATGCTACTCGAGGCGAAAAGTTAATCCGCTATGCGGTGACAATGACATGTTATCGCCTAGATGCATTTCTCAGGAAACACAAGCGACGATCGTAAGTGTGACTTAGAAACAGCTCAATTAATGGACACACGGAATTATTTGTTTTTATTTCATACATCCATGTGGTTCCTGCTCGATGAAAGGAATAAAAAAAATTCATTTGGAGAATTGAAGAAAATTAAAAACGGAAAGGATTTCTAATTCGTGTCCACACGCATTAAATATATGATCAATCAGTGATTGAAAAAAAAAAAATCACAAAATGAGTTCCAACGCTTGTAGAACAATGAACAGCGACTCTTCGGCGACGTAGTCTTGTTATCGGTACAATACATTTTAAGCTCTGCTAGAGAACGCGTTGAAATAATCCATCTGTCTTTACTGATGGAATTGGTTGTTTTAAGGTTTTTTATTGTAATTCGTTTTTCTCGGTGATCGATAATATTTAGATCTAACATGGCAAACATAGCTTATCAGTTTTCTAACTTCACCCTTGAATATCCCTGAGCAAGCTGATTTCATATTTAAATCAACATAGAACAGAAATCAGAGCTTGGGCACAATTATCGACAAGGGATTATACGACGGTCATGGTCTTATTATTTGTGATCTAATAAACAGTAGCTGGAATAGAATTGAATTCAGTTTTAACTGAAAATATGACCCATTTTAAAACTGCATGTCACAGTCGAAGAGAAACAAAGTTAAACTTCTCGCATTGTGGGGATGTAAAAATTACAACAAGTTTTTAAGATTATTGGTCCGAATTTTGTGGTGTTTTTTGAGCTCGTTTTGTTTCAAACCTTTCACGCTCTGTTTTACATTTAGGTTTTGTTACCCGAATAATTGAAGCGAATTTTGTTGTTCTTGTACACCGGTTGACGGTATTGACTGATTTCACAAAGAATAAATATTTTAAGATATGATATTTAGTCTGAAATATTGGAGAACAAAAACTGAACTAAGAAAATGCTTTCGTCTTATTTGCATGCAAAATCACCAGCTGATCGAAATATTTCTTGCCACAAGCAAAAGGCGAAATAAAGCTGTTGTCACTTCGCGGATGGCGCTCAGTCAAGGCGGAACCTCTTGATGCGCAGTTACATGTATTCCACGCACACGCACAAAATGCTTCAAAGCATAAATAGCAGCAAAATCATTCCAGTTGTCCCTAACCCTAACCTTAACCTACAGGTTCATGGCAGTCGTGTATCCACTCCGTCCGCAGCTACAGACTCGTGACGCAAAGAAAGTTATTGGCATAATTTGGGTTTTTGCATTAGCTCTGGTGTCGCCATACATTGCCGTTTTGGAGATGAACGCTGCTGGTACTGAGTGCCAAGAATATTTCCACGAAAAAGGGCTGAACGCTGGCGGTTATACCATTTCGATCTTCCTTCTGCAGTATGTCGTCCCGTTATCCATCATTGGACTCTCGTATATAAGGTAGAGGAACGGTGCAATTGATTATTCACTCTATTTATTAACTCCTCCGCACGTCCGACCGTCTGTCAATCCGTCAATCCATCCATTCCTCTCTTCTTCCTTCCTTCTTCCGTCCTTTCGTCTAGCCTTCCTCCTAACCTGCAAGAAAAACCGGAAAATTTATGGCGGAGCACGCGAGAAAACGCGCATAGCGAAACTTGGTTGGAAACAACTTCGCCACGCGTCTTAGTTCCTCGCGTGCGTTTTTCCCGTGCGCGAATTCCTCCACGCGTGCATCTCTTAAACGCACACCTAACTTCCACATTTTGTTCTGATAGAATTGGCCGCGATCTTCGCAAGGACAAAGGGTCGTATTCAAACGATACCCTTCAGCGCGACCAGGAAAAGGAAGCGCATAAAGTAATGAAGATTCTCACTGTTGTTGTAATTGTCTTTGCTTTGCTGATGCTTCCTAATCACATTTACTTCTTGTGGTTCGACTTTGGTAAAGGAGGTAAGTGTCGAAAGCAAAATATGTTTTAAATACTCACGTTCTTTAGGCATTCGCTGTACGCAAAGGCTCGTCATGTGCATTTTAAGTTAGATGTAACAAGTTCTCCTCATTTTGCCGTCAAACACCTGCACACTGATATATTTTCATGTTCCTGGCTGTTCATCAAAGATCTTGTAAATAACAACACGTTGTCAATTTCCCATTTGCTGTCTTCTTCCTTTTTGTAACTTAACTTCCGATCGTTTCCCTTTCCTCACTCCACGAAATCAATGATTCATTGTCGCCTTCTACGTCTCGGTTATCCCTCATTTAACTGTCTGTTCCTTTTCCTTTCCCCCATTCCTTGACCCTCGAATTGTCATTACTTTCTCCCATGCTTCTCGTTTAAGAATTTTTACCATGAACTTGCGACGATTGCTTTGTCAGTTTTTATATCTTTTTCCATCAGAGGGCGAATACCCTCATGCTTATGGCATCAAACAGATCTGTCAGATTTGTGTTTACGCAAACAGCGCCGCCAATCCGCTCATTTACAACGCCGTCAACGAACAGTTCCGAGAGGGCTTCAAAACATATTTCCGCTCGTGGATAGAGTGCGTCCTTAAGATCAAAAGGAGCAAAAGGAGGGATGACCTAAAAGTGACCAACAGACGGAATGGGGCCAAACCCATAGGAACATGCACCATGTGTGGGAGCAGCGATACATCCCTAGATGGAACTCTTTATTCTCAGAAGCAACAGCTACAAGTCAACAATAATGGCGGGGCTCAAATCTCGATGAACGGAACAACAGATACTAAGAACTCAATTGAATCTGAGTCGGACAAAGTCGAGGAAGATAAAGAGTTGTTGACATCCGTGTAAAGGGAAGGTCGTACGCCCTCCTCCTCCCCTCCCCCCGGATAAAATGTGTTTGAGGCGCAAAGGTGCGATTGCCAGGTAAATGGATAACCAGCGGTTACAATAAGCAAGAGGTACGTGTATTGTTATTGTTTGAAAGGAGCAAACATTGCCAATGCTGTGTGCGCTCAGATTAGGTTATGTTGTGTTGGATGCGTAGAAAATTATCATGAAATTATTATGAAAATATACATGTCTCGGAGTTTAGCTAGCTCGTCACAGCTAAGACTGTTAGGGTCTTCAAACCAAATGTTGCGATAGTTTTACGCGCGATAGGTAATTATTGGTTAATGCTTAAGTACAACTTGTATGAAGCTCTGAGAATTGAGTGGAACAGTTGTTTAAAAAAAGAACCCTATTAAATCCGATTTATATGAACTGAAAGACGGTTTTCCCCTACCCATGCAGCCCACAAAGAGATATTGGGCAACACTTCGTGGTCAAGAAACCAATTTCTGCTTCTAATGTACATAGTTATGAACCTCTGTGAATTTAGCCAAATCCAATACAGGTGTCTGGCCTTTCACGTTCTTGTCACGTGGGACAGACATAAAGTCCTATGCGAGTGCACTACACATCACGTATTAATCCACGTGCATTGCACATCATATTCTTGCCACGTGGGACAGACATAAAGTCCTATGCGAGTGCACTACACATCACGTATTAATCCACGTGCATTGCACATCACGTGTTACATTTTTCTGCCTGTATGATGAACAAGTAAAAATAATGTCTGAAGGAGAAGTTCACTTCAAAAACCATACAACTTTTATTCACAATTTCATTTGTACTTTTAATTGGAAAAGATGAAAATTATATGGTGTCTGGAGTATACTTCTCCTCTAACTTCTGAGAAAACTTTACTAGAAATACAGTTCTGACTTAAAAAATTCTCCGAGATAGCTTTGAAAAATTAACATCTTGAATACAAGTATCCTACAATTACGAATACTGCACCTTAAGCCAATAATTTAATCAGTATAACTACATTTCCACTATATCACTATATCAAAGTAGTTCCATTAATTCTATTGGCAATTTTCAAGTATGTGTCATATAGAGATACTATTCAAACTAAGAAATACTATATATTGCTGAATTTTAGTCTATATAACTATTTCATGACTAACTGATAATCTACTTAAGTTTCAAGAGAACTTTCCAAACTGTAACATTATTTACTACAAACTAGCACCTCTTAAATGGAGAACTTCAAATAAACTGCAGAAAACTGTATCACATGTGATTTTTTAAAATTTTTCTGAAAGTATACTTCTGCTCGTTCACCACACATGCTACCAGGTATGGGTGAAATTTATGCACCTGTAAGTAGAGGGAGAAAGGGGATATGAAAGGGCATCCCCTCCACCCACCACAATTCTCCATCCGAGCTTCCTTTGCCTGACAACCAAATGAGGTGCAACATTGCAACATCTCTATAATTTGGTTAAGATCTGCTCAGACCTCTGACTTCTTGCCAATGTGAAAGGGGTGCAGTGAGATCCGAAAGGGGCTTCTCAAAGATTTGACAGTTTCTCTCCATAGGTTTACCAATTTTATGCTCAAGGTAGGAAACATACGTTGCAAATGTAATTCATTTGGGGAGCGTATGAGGCTTACATTAAACTATGTTACCCTCCCATGGTTTTGTCACTTAAGTTATGCTCAGTAGCGACGTGGATCATCCATGCCAAGCTCTTCAACAACAGGACCATCCTCACCAAGCTCATCACTGACTGGTTTGTCAAGTTTTATACCATACTCAGTTGCCTGACGAAATCTCTCTTCCTCCAAAAAGGCCCTTGATTGGTCATCATACTCTGGCCCTAGAGTCCAAAGCTTCTCCAGTTCATACACCTCACGAACTTCAGGAAGAAAGAAATGCACAACAATGTTACCTGCAAAATAAAAGCAAATGTTAGAAAATTCCATTCACAATGGCCATGGGTTTTAACATCTTCCAAACATCCAGTAGGTAAAAGAGAGCATGATAGTAATGTGCCAATCTAATCAAAACTTAAACTTGCCCCCCCCCCCCCCCCCTTCTGGCAACCCATGGGTATTTACTGTTGTCTGTGCCCGGGGGGGCAGGGAATTTGAACCTTGCCCAGGTGGGACATTTCAACCAAAAGTGTCTAGACTTTCCAGTGTAGTGCACATCTTTTAATGGAGGAGTTAAAGGTTAAGAATCTTCTTTGGTGAGAAAATGGCTTAGAAAGAAATTTCTACACCAGAGTACAATGCTTACCAGCAAAAAAAACCAACAGCAGCACCAAAAACCAATATGTGACTTTGCTAAGTTCTACAACATTCATTGATAACACAAAGAATCACTCAATATTGGGTGGGGCATTTGAAAGCAATTTTTGCCCAGGAGGGGGGGGGGGGGTTTGCATGAGCCAATCTGCAAATGCTTGAGACGTTTCCATGGGGTAACTGATACTTCAAACTGATAGATGCATAAAGGTGCAATAGTAGCAGAGGAGTGAAAAAGGTATTTATATCACATCTAGAGATGAAAAGAATAATATAAGCAGCTGAAATCTGAACAAGTTGTCAGCTCGCCCCATAACAAGAGCTGAAAAAGTCTGCTACTCTCAAATTCCGAAGTTTTAGCTATGAACACAGCATGACCATTCTTACCTATATCTAGTGCCACCCAATGGTTACTCTCCATTCCTTCTACCACAGGATGCCCACCTTTTCCAATGCCAGGTAACATTTTTCCTTTGAACTGTAATAGTCAGACTCACAATAAAATACATTATCAACATTAAAGACTACTTTCACCTCCAGAGCTGTTTAAGGTAATAATTCTCAAACAGGCTTCAGTTACAAACTCCCTTTCCTTGTCATGAGGGTGTCTGCTTACAAGAGCCTAGCTTCAGCTGTTCCAGCCTTTTTCATAGAGTCATTTTACTTCCTTACTGGTTCAGGTATCAAGATTGCCCCATAATGGAGGAAGACAGACAACCCTAGGAATGAGGTTTCCAGCTATGCCCAGTCTGTAGCACCCCTTATTTATAACATATATTATAACAGTTAATAACATATAATATCAACCTACCAGTAGTTCCAGATTTTTCGCCATAGCCCTGATATGTCTTGTAGAGACACCGCTGACAACAACGAAGTAATCCACGTAATTTTGCCTAATTCCTCTTGTTTTTATCACACAAATGTCTACTGCACTCTCTTTTTTAAGGAAATCTACTAGATCTTGAACCTTCATAAAACCATTTTGATCTAGTTTGTACTGTACAACGGTTGCACGAGGCTTCGGCTGCCTGTTTGGAATATCAGCTTCTTCCTCGTAAAATTCTGAATTTAGTTGGGAAATGATAGTCGCTTCGTCCTTTACAGTGGCACTTGTTTTTTCGCCAGTCGATATACTGCTCTCTTGAAGAAGATGGTAAGCAGTGCTAATACATCGAACTGAAGGTTTGAAGAATCTTTCCCTCGCAGCATAAAAATTGTAATAGTTGTGAACTACATCTCGAGGTTCGTAAAGTTTGGCCGATTTAAGATTTTTAGAAATCTTTGACGAACAAAGACGAACACTGAGCCGTGTATTTAAGACAAAAAACGTTCTTGCGTGACAAAAAGATGTAAACCTCTGCAATGACATGACTTGAACAGCTGATTTAGGCTAGCACATGCATCATTCACTTGCATCCGCCATCTTAGAATTCTATGGCCTCGTTTCGAGACAGATAATTTTATACGGAGTAGCGGTAGGGCAAGGAGACGTCAGAGACTCGCTGAGTAGGGGTTGAAAATACTCTAAGGGACTGATGGGGGGGGGGGGGGATTGAACAGCTACCAATGGGATTCAAGAAAAAAAAACCACCCTCTGCAACACACAACTGAGAAAGTAGGGGTCGAGCGTCAAAGAAACCAGTATTTTTCAACAGGGTGGAATGATATTTTATCAGTCTTTACCTTCTCATACTAAATTAGGATCAGATTCACCCAAACTACCTCTTCTTTTAATCAAACCCTTAGCCTGCATTTTTTTCTTAGACTCAAATCTAATTGGTTAATCTGGCTTTACATCATTGTAAGGACCCATGAAGGTTTTTGTTTTTTGGCTTTGTGCTAACTACCCTTAACCCACTAACTCCTGTGAGTGACCAAGCCGTGATAATTTCTCCTTACTATATCTCCACAATATCAAGCAGACAAGTGATGAGAATAAAGAAAAATATCAATTATGAGATAACTAATTGATCCCATACCAAATTCTCCAAACTAACATAATGTAAATCATTTGGCAGATAGTTAGGAGAAGTACTAATGTGATCTAGAGAGTTAAAGGTTATGGCTTCTATGTTTCGACTTTTTTTTCGTTGTCCTGCATCACTCATAAATGAAACAGGTTCTTTAACCAAGGATGATCAAACTATCCAAATTCTTTTCCCCTCTATGTGTCTGAGTGTGTAAAAATTATGGTAAGAAATATCTTTTTAATATTAATAAGATTGACTTAATAACATTGTCTTAATCCTTATCACCAGTTTGCTCAATGAGGTACTAATATTGTTAAGAAAGATCCATCTTTCATTTAGGATTAACCCTTTAACTCCCAGATCAAATTTTTCTTTCTCCTTACTGTCAACTATACAATTCTTGTAATGTTAGTTCAGAGAATTTAGCATTGGATCAACCAATTATTCCCAAATCAATATTTTTCTTTATTCTCATCACTTATCTAGTCGATCTTGTATTGATATTGTAAGGAGAAATTCTATCTTGGTCACTCATGGGAGTTAAAGGGTTAAACAAAACAGATAGAGCTGGGAGACATTCACACACAAGCCTCTAAAAAAAGACCACCATTAAGCATTTGTAAATAAATAGTTTAATAATTGTGGAAATTAATACTTCTGTACAATAAAGCAATTTTTACAATCTTATTATTTTGCTCATATATAAACTGAAAATCTAACTTGGCCATTTAATATACCAGAATGCTTTAACATGAGGGGGACAGGAGGGGGGGCCTCCCTTAGGATTGAGATCTCCCTTACCACCCCATCCCCAAAACTATAAGCTTGAATCTCAATATTGCCCTTAGCTTTGCTAAATCAGCACAAAAACCCATTGAAGAAAAACTGAATTTTCAACAATTATTAACACTGTTTAAATGTTATATAGAAGGTAAAAACTTATGATTTCACTGTAATATGAAAAAAAAGAGGTGATTCAGCACTGAAAAAAAGAATATAAAAGAAAGCCAAAAGGTTAATGTAAATTTGTGCTTGTAACAAATCATTTTTTTACTTCTCTGCAATTACCTTGCCATTCTAGCTGTCATAAAACTATAAGATTGAAGTAATCGAAAGAAAAAGATTAAGTTATTCACAAATAATAATCTGATGGTTATAACTGGTCTGGTTGCAAAATATTACTACCATTCTGACCCAAAAAAGTAGAATGAACTTAATCATAAATTTAGAGAGATGCATAACAACATACTCTTTCCACGAAAATAAGGTCTTACAAGTAAGCAATACACAAAATCATTACAAATGGTATAAATAATATTATCTTTAAAGGATAAATTAAATTGAGCAATTACAAACTTGGGAACATTTACAAAGATAAGGTAAGAATGTCAAATAAAATAATCTATTTAGCCACATCTGCTTTCTTTATAAATCTGAAACATGGCATTAAAATGGTATTAATAAATATAATTTTATATTTTATCATGTTGCAAATCTCCTGGTCCATTCCTTGGCAATCCTGTCATGTTCCTCTCTGTCATTGACATATTGCGTTGCAATGCTTCCGACAAGTGGGTCAACTAAAAAAATAAAATGCATCCAGTGCATTATTTTCTATTGTTCTATTTGCATGAAAAAAAATCACATTGATGCACACTTCAAAAGCAGGTAATGCAATTATCCCTCTCTTTTGAGTTGAAAGGGTAACCGACTGCAAGTTTTTCCCCTTTTTTCTTCAAAAATTAACTTTCATCCAGCTACAAGACTTAACTCTCAAATCCCACAATTGATTAACATGAAACTTCTCCCTATAATATTCGTACATCATCCAGTGAACAGGTAATAAAAATACTAAAACTTATAAGGTAGAGATTTTTATTGTGATCTAACATCAAATTCTCTTAAGTTACTTGAAAGGAAATGTGTAACAGCTAGAGGGGTGAATTAACAAGGAGATCTTGGGAGTTTAAGGGGAAGGAAACTGTAAAAGAGTCCAGGAGATTTGGACTTTGTCTGGGAATTGGAATGTATGGAATTTACGAGAAGAATGATGTAATTGTACATTGATTGCTGAATTGCATGAAAACAACAAGACTGTGGCAGAGATTCAAAAATGATGTACTGTAAACAATCAGGCTTGAGGGTGAATTTTCAGCAAATGATGTTAATATACACTGGGGCTCTAATGAGTATCCAAGTAGCAAGTTGACAAATTACTTCAAATACCTGGATTGCAGTCTGTCAGAAGTGAACAGACGGAGAGAAGAACCTTGGAAATAGTCAGAGCTGGGCTCCAGTTATCTTTCAAAATATCCAGGCAAATCACTCCCTAAAAAACCATAATTGATAAACAATTTTAAAAAAGAAAAAATACATGTACTTTTTTGAAACTTGAAACATACAGTGCTGAATATTAAACTTTTTGTAGTTTTTGAAGGAAATTAAGGAATGAAGAAAACAGAAATTCATTTATCATGTAAACAAGACAAGTAATAAATGTAAGTACATGCATCCTTTAGAACTCAATTTGTTCTAGCTATCTAACCTGGCTGTTTATATTGCAGTGATAAATGCGAGTTCGAAAGGTAACCTGTAACATTTGATAGAAAGAAGAATAAGTAACACTCATAGAATAGAAGTGTAAAAAACATCAAAGGTTTTAAACTGTTCACTAACAAGATCTCATAAGCAATTCTCCATACTTACTTCTATACAATTCTCATGAAATTAGTCTGGAGAATTTGTTATTGGAGCAACTACTAATCTCCAAATTTATATTTTTTCTTTATCCTCAACACTAAATGTTTGCTTGATATTGAACAGATACTGTGAGGAGATATTGTGTTTTGGTCACCCATGGGAGTTGAAGGGATGAATAGATTGGCATTGGGGCAACTAATAATCTCCAAATTTATATTTTTTCTTTATCCTCAACACTAAATGTTTGCTTGATATTGAACAGATACTGTGAGAAGATATTCTGTTTTGGTCACCATTGGGAGTTGAAGGGATGAATAGATTGGCATTGGGGCAACTAATAATCTCCTGATTTATATTTTTTCTTCATTTTCAACACTAAATCTCTGTTTATATTGTATAGATACTGTAAGGAGAAATTCTGTCTTAGTCACTCATGGGAGTTGAAGGGATATATAAAAATTTATTACCTTTGGTGGTTTAAAAGGATAATCAGATGAAAACTGAATATCTAAGAAAAATACTCCTCCTTCATAAACAGATCCTTGAGGACCAAGAATTGTTGAGTGCCACTCATAAAGATTGTCACCCTTTGGGCCAGCACTAAAATATACAAACAAGAAAAATTTAAAAAAAAATGCTGCATACCATCCATTGCGAAAGGGATTCATGATTCTTAATCACTTGATTTATGTGGATGACAATGTACTCATGTGTGACAGACCTTGGCAGAACATGTTTTAGTTCAAATTTTCTCGGAAATAAATTTTTTCAATAGCTCGACTTAGACAGGTTTCTTGATTGTTTCAGACTATGATACTGGTTATAAAAAAAACAACAAACAAAAAACAGCAATTGAAACCAAAATGGTTAAAAAATTTTAACTGACTGCAACAAACAAAAATTATTTACAAATTCTACAGCCACACAAAAATGCTATAATCAGGACTTGTCCCAACAACATCCTTTACTTGATTAACATAATTGGTTGACAAGCATTTGTATACAAAAGATTGAACTACAATTAAAATATTATAATAAAAGGCATCTAATAATCTAAATGGACTCAAAACAAAATCAGCAATTTGGGAAATTGTGCGACAAAAACATGGGAAATTATCAACTATTAGTTTTGTTCAAAACATTAATTGACCTTGTCATTAAAATCAATATTATTTTAGTACTTTGTAAACATAATATTAAAATATCTTATTTCAAACATAGCTTAAATTTTATCACACCCCAATTAACCCACGTGTTTTACAGGAATTAATTCGTGAGACATTCCTAAGAGTTTAATACCTTGTGAAATCCCGTATGAAGGAATATAAGATTTTAATCAGCTGTTTACGTGGTGTCTGAGTAGACATGTCAATTTGAAAACAATCAACACCATTTCTCCTTCGAAATCGTTATTTCCTGACGGAAAATATTCACAGCGATTGCAGCCTAAATCTCCGAAGTGTATTAATTAATATTTTACCTGCAGTTAGGTGGCGGTTCAAGCGTTATTTCGGCCAGTTCTCTTTGAATCCTGTCCAAAATTGGAAACAAAGAACTCAGATTTTCCAACAACAGAAGAATTAAAGTAAGGAGCGCAGTGTTTAGCATTGAAGTCTTTGTTGTTGTAAATTGATGTGGTACTCGAGTAACTTACAACAGGAAACCGACATTAGATCTTTCATCCGCAGAGTAGATAAAACCAAACTCTGGCGATAAGAGTTCCCCTAGTATTTTTATGAATAACCTGATAACTTTAATTTTTCGATTTACTTGCGCGACCTCTTCTCGTTAGATGAAAACGAATTCTCTCGATCCCCAAAACTAAAGCGATCGTAAGGCCTTCCTTAGTTACATAAAATCTGAATTCCCTCTACTTTGAATTCGCCTCTCGGAATGGAAATATACGCTAAATGATGATGTTTCTACCTCTTTGCAGCCCCACTCAATGTCTTTGGTGGTCTACTTGGGGCGATCTTAATTTCCTTTCGGATTTGCGTTCCACGGTTCCTTTGATCATTTCCTGCTTCTGTTGCCGGGCCGGGTACATTTTGTAAGTTTCTTGTGTCTTGATCGGCCATTTTTAAGGGTCATGCAGCCTGCAAAGAAGAGTAATCGTCTGAGCAAAGGTCTACGAAAGTTACAGAAGAGCCCCTCAAGGAAGAATATTCGGAATTCCCGTCTAAAGGGCGGCATAGACACGCAGTTCAGTCACAGCAGGAGATTACCGAGACAAGAAGGCTGGATTCTTTTCGAAGCGTACATTTAAAAAGTACTAGATTTTATCTCTGTTCCCATTCGAAAAGACTACGATATGCCATTATTTTATATGTATAAAAAAACAGAGCTACGGGATAAAGCGTGTTTCTTAACGTTCACTAAACCTGTGTGGACGAACCTTCATCAAGTACATGTATGACTTCACTAAGGTTTTCCTCTTAGTTATAAAAAACCCAAGGAGTGATCCTTTTAAATGAAGTACTTACAAATGTAGTATAGTCTGAAGAAGGTATCAGCTCAAATGCAGGCCAAACACTTCACACGATACGCCAATATATGAGTTTAAAGTTAAGCAGATCGACCAGGTGGTTAGATTGTAGACGAGCCAAGTACCAAGCTATGAGTTTGCGTCTCAACTGTCGGGAGAATGAATGCAATTGAAAACACGATGAGGACAAAAGCAGTTCTTGAGGTGAATATCTTGAGTGCTCAATTCTGTTCTTGTTGTTCCGAGCAAGATCTTCTTAGTGTGTGAAGAACAAGAAGTTAATCTTGATCCCCTGTCGAAAGGCCAATGAAGCAGATCACGCCAGTCGAAATACAGCTGAGATTTCTTGCAGCACCGATTTCATCAAATAACATTTACCAAATTATCAAATGACTTCTTGCTAGAGAGAGCCAATGGTTAAACCTTTCAGGAACCCTAGCAAAGGATAAAAAACCTGAAATAACACGACGATAAATATCTTTAACACAAGTGATATCGAAATAGTGTCTCAAAGAGAACAAAAGACCGTTACTCCCTTGGGAATAAGAACTAATCATGTGAAATGCTCAGGGGAATAGGATTGAGGAGAACTGGTAACGAGAGACATAGTTTAAATGAAAAAAAAATTGTAATGTCTGACAAAATTTTCAAAATCAGATAGGTCGATGAATTAACATATGAAAATGATAAAAATCTGCAAACATAAGCAAACATGGTCAAATTGAAATTAAAGTGCCATATTTCTCTTTCAAAAAGAAAAGGAATTTATTGAATGGTTAATATACCGGAGATCCGCGGAAAGCCTTTTGGTCGATCCACATATGCATTTTTCTTTAGTTTCGCTCAAAGAATGGTGCCCTTTTTACACTGATCATGACTTGCCCTCAGGAGAATGAACAAATTTCAAGTCTGAACCATCTGAGAATAAAGCAAGCCTTTTAACTGACCAGAAAAAAATTTATGCGGCACAAATTCATTTCATTCTCCTCCCTCGTCCCCACATGTAAACTTCCCTAATGGTTAAATGTGCGATACATACAGAATTTCTCTTAGTCATAACTAGCTGCATGCTCAAAGGTTTTAAACGTGACATTTCAGAAACTGCAATGGATTTTCAACTCATGTTACGTCATCGATATGTCATATTTCTAATTACAATTTTTTACGCCAAGGTTTTCGTTAGGATATTTATTTTTGTATCATTAGTTATGGTAGGAGACATCAATACAATCCTGACGTTCTAGGAAATAAGCTCCTTTTATTCGCTTCACAGAATAAAAATAGAGCACTGTTCGATTCATCTAGCACATTAATTTACCAGAACATTCAGTTTTATAGCTTTTATTGCACGCGAAGAAACTGGCACTAGCTATGTCGCAAGAAAATATGGCGGACGTAGAAATGAATACAAGCGATGGTGAAACTTCGCCAGAAAAACAGGAAACAGATGAGCAGATGGACGTAACTGAAGAGCCTGAACTAGACAAGTAAGATCGTAGCTGGATAGAAGGAGCTTTAAAACACAATTTTACCGATACCCTTTTTTGTTTGATGTGTATTTCTCTTGCAGTTTTGCGAAGGCTGATGCTAAAAAGCAAGAAGGAAACAGAGAATATATCCAGAAAAACTATGAAGCGGCCGTTAAATTGTACACAGAAGCAATAGGTATATTACATATTGCTATTGTTTAGTTTCTGTACCAGCAAATACCAAGGGAACTGTTATAACTTTGGTTTATTTGATACAGAACTCTTGCGATCTTTGGCCATGTGATTCTTTCAGAGAAACTAAAAGTTCTTCTTGCTTGTGGTAGGAAAGTATCATTTCACACAAAATTCTTACTCGGATAGAGTTTTGTTTCAATCCCTGTTTTGTTGATTGCAATAGAGTTAACATACCACGACGTTTAATTGTTGTTAATTCGAACCTTTACAATTTGCCGGCTCTTTGAGCAGGAAGTGGCCGAAACTTTAGTCTGGCTTCTTTTTAAATATCTTTGTCATTTTATTTCGTTTTATTAGTATTTTGTTACATTCATCACAGTAGTTCGAAGGCTCTACCTTAAGCTTTTTTACGAAATTCTCTGTTAAGTGATGTATTTCTTCCTCAAAAACATCTATAAAATTGCAACGCGGCCCGTTTAGCAAGGTTGTTTAAGGGTTACATAAAAATTGTATAAGTAATTTGGTTTAATCAACTAAGTTGATAGTGTAAATTGGCAACTGTTAAGAGTTTCTAAAGCTGATTTTTTTTAGTGTTAGCCCTTTGTCATTCACTTTGATGTAGGACTAATACTTGAAATGTCTGCCCAAGAAACACTTTACAATGACCAATTTAAACCATCAACTCAGTTGATAAAACCAAATTACCTTGTTAACTTCTACTTATGCAGCACCACGATTTCTTTGGAAACCTATACCCTTTATTTTTGTACAAGTATCGTGCTAAGTGATGTATTACATGATAGATGGTTTTGAAAATAGAGTGAGAGAGATGATAACTTTTGAGCTTGGTAAAAAAATAGAGAAAGATGCTTTTTGGGAGTCTTCACGAGGAATCAAACCTTGGATCTTCAGATTTCACACTTCGATGCTCTACCATTGAGCTACAGAGACTCTTTAGTGAGCAAGGTCCATGATGTACCTATAGAGCAACCAAGTTGTTGTACTAAAGAAATTTAGAAGTGACGCTCTAGATGTACAGCAGATAAGCAGTTACACTGTATTCCACTGAGTTTGTTATTACTAACAATTATTCTAGGTTGTAATAAAATTCTCATTTTCATTTATTTTAGAGCTAGCTCCCACAGTAGTTACATATTATGGGAATCGTTCAGCGGCATACATGATGATCGGGAATTATGACAAGGCTTTAGAAGATGCTCAGACTGCCATCAAAACTGATGAGAATTTTATGAAGGTTGGTCAAGATCCTCAAAATATCTTTTTGATATCCTAATAATCAGCTGTTTGTTTTAACAATTTATATCCTGGCAAGTCTTAACACTCCACCCAAAAGTAACTCTTCAACAAAGTTTAAATATCATGCCATCAACTTGGGGAATTGAACTGTCACTTGGTAGGATCACATGACAATGCCATGCAGATGTTTCTCTGATGTATATTTTTTAATAAAAAATTAGCAATGACAATGAACAATGTTTTGACCTCTCCAAGGTCATTATAAACTTGAAAATGACCTTGCAGAGGTTGAAACATTAATCCTGTTTGTTGTTAATTTTTATGAATGTTGCTTTAGATTGAGATACAACATAAATATTTGGGATTTTGATTATGCCAGGTTATTAGTTTTTTTCTTCCCTTACTGAGGGGGAAAGTTTTGGAAAGATCTTTTCTGGTAGATGACAGAAATTGCAATACTGCATTTTCATTTTCATAACATACTTTTTAATTCAGCCAAGTATTTAGAAGAATTACAGCATTTCCATTTTAATTAATCAAAGAGAAATCTGTGTATTGTTTCTGGTTTTTGGCATATGCACAATGACTAGACAAAATGGGTGCAAAATCTAATGGGAAACTTAACCCTTTAACTCCCAAGATCTGATTATTAATTCTCCCTTGTAGCTGCTACACATTTCCTTGTAAATTAGTTATGAGAACTTGGTGCTAGATCAAGATAGCAGGTTCTACCCGATAAGTTTGAATATTCTCATTACCTGTTTGCTGAAGAATGTATGGATGTTGTAGGGAGAAGTTTTATGTTAATCACTACTGGGAGGTAAAGGGTTAAATTGTAGAATTTGATTTATGGGTGAAAGAACATGTACTTGTTAAGTTTACAATTCAGTTTACTTACAAGCTAGATATAAAGCTGGTCTGAACTTTTTAATTCTTGGCTTAAGGCTGGTTAAAAAGAATATTGATAGGGGAAATTTTGTACTGGATGTCAAAAATGTTTCCCTATTTGAAACGACAAATTTTTGTATTCATATACTAAAGAAATTATATTAGTCAGTTAGGAGAATTACCATAAGTTTCAGATTCTGTGAGGGACTTTGTAAATTTTCTTGTTTCAAAGGGTTATTTCAGGGCTGCTAAATGTCACCTTGTCATGGGATCCATTGGGAATGCAAGAAACTATTTGCAGAAGGTTCTTGAGAAGGATCCTAAAAACAAAGATGCTCAAGATGATGTAAGTTAATTTTTTGTAGAATGTACTGTAAGGTGTTATGATCATGAACCCTGTGGAATTTGACAGAAAAGACTATACCGTAGGCTTAAGGTGTACAAATGATAGTCTCCATTCCATTTGGTACTAAAATATGCTTGGTTATTTGTTCACGGACATAATCTGCTCTAAGAAGCGGACAGTTTTCCCAAGAGCAAAGCTTGTGGCAATCTGTGAGCTTAGTGGTTAGGTATCAGATGTCCAAGATTTTGGTACTCCTACCCATTACATCAAATTAACTTGTAAGATATCACAAGGAAGATTTTAAGCCTTAATTTAACCCTTTAATTCCCAACATCTCATTAGTAATTCTCCTTTCTTTCTGCCAAATGATTCTCATTATGTTAGTTTTGGAGAATTGGTATCAGATCAATTAGTAAGTACCATAACTGATATTTATCTTTATTCTCATCACTTGCCTGCATTATATTGTATAGATATAGTAAGGAGAAATTCTGTCCTGGTCACTCACAGGAGTTAAAGGCTTAACCCTATAAATCCCATGAGTGACAAAGACAAAATTTCTCCTTACAATATCAATACAATATTAACCAGATAAGTGATGAGAAAAAAGAAAAATATTAATTAGGGGATTATTAGTTGATCCAATACCAAATTCTCCAAACTAAAATCATGAAAATTGTATGGCAGACAGTAAGGAGAATTGCTAATGAGATCTTGGGAGTTAAAGGGTTGAGTAAAACGCAGTCAGTGAGACATATTCTTGAGTTTTATTTTTCCACTGAAATTTTTATTTAATATCCAGCTGCGCACAGCAACAAGGGCTCAAGATTATGAGTCATCTGCATTTAAAGCTCACGATGAGGAGGATTACAGAAAGGTATGACTCTGTCATGTCAGTGTGCGAGCCCTTGGTTATTTTACCATATGTTAATAATTTCTGGGAATTAAAGGTTTTCATACCTTGAATTCATCTTTAAGACATGTTGATCTCACTCGAGCATTTAGAGCATTGAGATGTTATTATCAGTATATCATTCAGGGTTGGTCTTATATTGTGATGTTTTCATACACAACAGGTTATCTATTACTTGAATCATATCCTCGAAAGTTGTCCTGCTTGTGCACTTTACAAAGTAATGAGAGCAGAAGCTTATTGCCTGATGGGGAAATACAGTGATGCATTAAGAGATGTGCAGTAAGTACAACTCTAAGTGTGCAACTGATGGTAAATTTATAAGTGACAGATTTTTATTGTGTACATGATCAAGCCTTTAACTTATTTCCATTTTTTTTATAAATTGATTCCACGTTTCCTTGGGTCTGTTCAGTACCAGATCACAGATGACGTCAAAATGTGGTCACAACAAAAAAAGTGCGCATCAGGTGCAGCCAAGTGTGTCAGTGATGTTCCCACCACATTTCTATGTTGTCATTATCTTTTACCAAAGAAGCAAAAATTGTCTATGATAATGCCATCTATGTGTCTGTCCTCCAATAGAAAATAATCAGTCAAAATGCACTTGTCATTCAGCTTATTATATAAATTTAATTCATCCCCAGGAATATCTTAATAGATGACTCATTAAATTCTGATGCACTTTATGTAAAAGGGCTCTGTTTATACTATCAGGTAAGGCATTCTCTTTACTCCTTCAACTCTTATGATTTAAATATAGATTCTCTGCCCTCTGTGCTATACATTTCTTATAGATTAAACACTGAGAATTGGGTTTTAAATCAAACAGCTTTCCCTAAGGTGTATTAACTTTTTCTTTCTTCTCATCACTATTCCACTTGATTATGTATTTATATTGTAATGAGAAATTCCTTTTTGGTCACTCTTTTTTCTTTGGAAATGTAAAGGAACCTCTGAAATGGAATTTGGATAGGGGGGAAGTAAGAAAAGAGACGAAATGGTTGTCAGTTGTATTTATCTCTTTTGCTTTTGATTTCAGGACTATGTTGACAAAGCGTTCCAACATTTTAGTCAAGTTTTAAGGAGAGATCCAGACCATAAGAAAGCAAGACTGGCATTAAAGGTTCAATAATGTTTATTTTACCTTGTATAGAGCAGTTTTCAATTGACAGTCGAACAAACACCAAAGTAACTGTGACAGCCATTCAGAACAAAGGAAGAGGCAATGAGAGCTCAAAGTAAAAACAAGCGCTTCACCAAAAAGCAGGAAAACGCGGGTGACCAAGTCGTGATTGGTGTTAGTTTTGCTTGTGATTGGCTCAGAGAGTGGCACGAGTTTTCTGGACCAATCAAAGAGCGAAGTAAAGCGAAACCCATGCAATTCCGGATTACTTTTGACACTTTCAAAATTTTCTCTTACGAGGTCTAATAAGCCTATCCCACTTGCCCAGTCTCATTTCTTTTTAAGGAATAATCAGTCTGTTTTTCTGTTCTGTAGAAAGCGAAACATTTACAATCCAAGAAGGATGAGGGAAACGAGGCTTTCACCCGTGGGAAATATCAACTGGCTTATGACACGTACACTGAAGCATTGACAATTGACCCGCGCAATAAATCAACAAATGCTAAGCTGTGTTACAACAGAGCGCTGGTCTGCTCCAAGGTGAGTCTTCTCTGAATGAGAGTCCGCATGCTCGGGTCCATGCCGGGCTGACCGGTGGTCAAATCTCATAGGGCATGCGTAAATGGATCAATTTTGGCAGGCTGCGCGCCAATTTCCCACGCAAAATGATGTAGGAAAACGTAATATACAATCGCTGTCACGTAATTATGGGACAAATTTTAAACTCTCATAGAAATCTGTAACAGAAAACAAGGACATTAAATTTCAGTTCCTGATTATTCAACAGTGATATCTTTTAGAAGTTGTTGTTATGATATTTAATAAACGGTTCATCTGTAGTCGCAATATATACTCACTATCACTTGAAGATCGCAACGTATTAATTATCGACTGCAATACTGCTAGTCTTAGGCTGGGAGGATATCACTTGACTAGGAAAAGCAGCCTACAATACGAGATGGAGAAATTACTGCATTATACGCGTGCAATGTGCGTGGACAGTGCGTGGTCACTGCGTGGAGAGGGGTAGTGCGCGTAAACTGCATGCACATTCCACGCGAGTAATACTGCAATCCTTCCAGCCTGTCCTGTGTACATTCTCTCTGACGAAGGGCTAACGCTCAAAATGTCAGCTTTGAAACCCTTAACGGTGGCCAATTTACGTTATCAACTCAGTTGATAATTAATATCAAATTACCTCTGTATTCAGTTAGTCTCTGTCACGCATCATCACCAGTGATGATATGTAAAACAGCGAAGAATAGCATCGCTAATTGCAATTGGTCAAAGTTCCTTGCCAATAACAATCAAACTATTTGCTTATTATACAGTTAAACCAAACAGAGAAGGCTATTGAGGACTGCAGTCAAGCTGTAGAACTGGATTCGACTTACCTAAAGGCTTACATCAAGAGAGCAAGATGGTTAGTTTTCCTTATTTGCCCTTATTCTCGTAGAGACGAGCGTGGCTGCGCGCTTCTTGGTGCCTCTACGCTTGCGCGTAACAACGCCCTCGCGTGGGCTGATTCAAATTATTGTTGCCATTTATTTGTGCACTTGTCACGGGAGATAATTTCCCTACAACATTTTTATCTCTTTTATCAAGAAGTGATTCTGCAATAGCTCAAACTCGACGAAAAGAATGCGCCCGGGGTTTCTCTCGGATCTTTCAAACTCCAAACATCAGTTACGGCTGTTGATCTCGAGGGGAACACCCACTATTTGTCGCCTCAGGGTCGAAAGATTTGGGGGGTTTTCAGGGGAAAAGGGAAGGGGGGTCAGTCGCCGCTAACAGAGTATAAAGGGGGGGGCTATAGAAAGTAGACTTCCAATGAGAGGAGAACATTAATATGCTACTAAACATATTAATGTATCGGGTAAATTTATCGTGACGCAACCAAAATCTACCGACCCCCCCCCCCCGACGATTAATGACCAGTCCCTTTTGTTAACTAGATTTATCTGTTCCCTGCTCGTTGGTAATTAAGATAACTTGAAATTATTTTTTCAGCTACATGGAAACAGAAAAATTCGAAGAGGCCGTACGAGATTTCGAGAAAGTGTGTAAAATGGACAGATCTCGAGGTGATAATCTAATTGTGGGAAATAGTAGTAAATGCTTTTGGAAAGTGCTCAATACACACGAGTGTAGAGCGAAATACAGTTCAAAATGACTAAAATGAAACACGCATGATTCCCTGTTACTCTGAGTTTCGTGCTTACGCACTCGTCAGACAGATTTAATGAAAAACTAAACTAAACTTGTTCAATTGCGTGCGTGCGTTACTTAACACGTTGACCTGTAGGCTGATTGTGTCTCTCTTTTCTTTCAGAGTATCGACGTCTGCTGGAGGAAGCAAAAATGGCTTTGAAAAAGAGCAAAAGAAAAGATTACTACAAAATTTTAGGGATTGCTAAAGGTGCCACTGAAGACGAAATAAAGAAAGCTTACAAAAAAGAAGCGCTGAAACATCACCCAGGTCAGACGTGGGAAACAGGGGTAGAAGCATCATTTCTCCAAATTCCAGTTTCTGAGGACTTCTCTTTAGTCGAAATTTAACTGGTTTCCCTTCCTCATTGAAACGTTGATTCAAACAAGTTTTTTTGTTTTTCCCAAGGGGGTCCTCACTATAGAGATTTCAATGTACCTCTTAAACGCTTGAAATGCTCTCGTTACAGTGACATTTTCGATGCTTATGCCATTTCGGGTGTCTAAGATGGAAAGCCAATTTACAAACCCAAAAACCGTTTGCTTTGGTCTAGTAGGGCTGCAACATTTCCTTACTCAAAGTGTCCTGAAAATGGTTTCCCGCAAACAGACCCTTATTATTGTGAGGCAAGACGCGCGTTCCTCCGCGCGCGGGGAAGATATGAGACGAGTCGAGGAGAGCTTTACCGGGGTTTGGCACTAATGAGAAATGCTAAACCCCTTGCAGACCTTTCGCGGGCTCACGTTGCTCGAGACCTCGTACTTTGCCGCGCGCGGGCGAACAAACGTTCTCGCCCAAGCGCTAATACTAAAGGCTTGCTCGCTGGTAATGAAAATGCGAAGAAGTTCACATTGAACATAACTTTTCTTCACTTGTTCATTCGTTCGCTCTCTCATTCATTCGTTCATTCAGTTATGTACTTACGTATGTATTCATCCTATATTTCATTGTTGATTAAATGATTGACTAAGTTATCTAATTATGTAATAGTTTTAGAAAGCAGCTGACCATTCTTCTTACTATACTATACTATATTGTTCGTACCAATCTAGTTTTTTTCCTCTACAGATCGTCATTCTGGGGCAACAGAAGAAGTCAAGAAAAGTGAGGAGCTGTTGTTCAAAGAGGTTTGTTAAACTCGTCCTACCCATATTCGAATGCGTATTCATCTTTTCCATCTTCCCACCGTATCTTACTTGGTATTTTCTGCATCTGTTGATATGACCGTGTGATTGCCAACTGTTAAACGCTCTTTAATAGTGTTAGCTCCTGCTGGGCTTTAAAAAAAGGGTGCGTGAAAAAGAGCAGGGAATAGCGACTGTTTCCTTTGCAACTGCAGCTTCTGCTTCTCACTCACCCGGCCTTACGTTCGTCTTCTCTGAATGAGAAAACGCATGCCCTTCGCTCAAACCTAAGGCATGCGTAGATGGATCAACTTTGGACAGCTGTGCGTCGAATTCCCGCGCAACAGGACATAGGAAGACACAAGAAACAATCGCTGTCACTTAAATTGCAACACTCTCGTCACACTCTGGTGTTTATTTTAGGTAAATGAAGCTTACAGTGTGCTATCAGACCCCAAGAAAAAGGCAAGATATGACTCGGGTCAAGATCTCGAAGACGGCATGATGATGTCAGGTAGGTTGGCAGCCTGTGATCTGGGATCCAGTGCATTTAAAGTGGTGTCCGTGGACTCAAACAAGACTTCTTTTCACTCCCCAAATGTTATTTGTCTATTTATAATTTTTTTTAATTGGGGGAGGGAATAATGGTTTCATTGTGTGCCAACTTTCCAGACAATTATCTGGGAAAATAATTTTCAATTATGATGTTTACGCTTTGTTTCATGGAACCCCTCCCCCTCCCCCCTCCCCCTCTCCCCCGCGCCACGTCATTGGTCATGCTCAAAGTGTTTACATACCTTTTTACAATTGTTTGAACAGATATCGACCCCAGAGATATATTTCAAGCATTTTTCGGAGGGCATGGAGGATTCAGTGGGTTTAACTTTGGAGGACCTGGAGGTATGATGTTCAGCATTGTTTTTTGTTTTGTTTTTGTTGTTGTTGTTGTTTTTTGTTTTTTATGTTTTTTAACGGACCAACTTGGATGGATGGTCAACGTTTGTCTATAACACGAGCCGGATAAGAATAATTACTTGCGTGCTTCGCGCACTTCGCTTACGTGAAAACGCAAGGTTGTAAAAATGATCATGCCAATGTTACCAGTAATGGTGTTAATGGTTATGACAGGAGTGGTGTTAATGATACGAAATAACGCCTGATTTGTAGATTATCCAGTGTGGAATATGACTTAAAATGTCGCGCTTCTTTGTCGCGTGACTGCTTACATACATCGCCTATCAATGTGGCTTAAAATGTCACGCTTCTTTGTCGCGTGACGACTTACATGCATTGCGTGACTCCTTTCCTTGTCTTCATGATTTTCTCTTTTAATCTTTCAGGTGGTGGCTTCCCCGGTGGTTTCCAGTTTACATTTGGTTAACTTCTTCTTTTGCCATCTTCCATTATCCACAAATATATCACAAAAATATAATGCTGACAAGACCACTAGATCGAGGCATCTTTTTCGCAATAATAACATTATTTCTTGCACAAGGAGTGTCAGTTCAAACTCCAGTGACACGCAATTTTGCGTTCAGGTTGACAATGGCGGATAATTTGTTGGAAGGAGAGAGAGGATCAAGATAGGGAATGACGTAATTCAAATCGCGTGTTAATCAACAGAGAAGCTAATTCATTCGTCTGGTTTACTATCAGGAGGAACTTCCCCTCCCTTCCCCTCCCTTCCCCGTGTTTCTCCCTTTTTCGCGCCCCCCCTCCCCCGCCTCCCCACTCCCTAACATGGTATATTGAGTGTTAATTTAATCTGAAACGCATTCTATAGCATCTTTTGTAGTAGAACAAATCGACAAACGTAGATGTGAAATGATCTCCATGATCTTTATAAATTTATCTAAGTAGTTTTATAATTTTTATTTTGTCATTTTTATTTTTATTTTATCTCTAAAACTTAACCCTTTTTCACCTAAGAGTTAAATTTCAATTCTCCACACTGTTTGCCGTACATGTCTTGGAATTTTAGCGCTAAGAATTTGATGTTAAATCAGACGTTCTCCCCCAGCATATAGTTTTTTCAGTCTTTTAAAAGCCGTTCAAACGGAAAATCTATTGACAGGATCAGGTGAGAATTGTTGTGATCTCCTAGGAGTGAAAGGGTTGATCAGTTTTCGTTCTAAACTGGTTACTGAGTGTTTCCTATAGTTTCAAACTTTGTGTTTACAGTTACATAGCAGTTCTACGAAGGCGTGGTTTTGCGGATGGCTTAAAGAAGTATTTTGTTATAGATAGATGCTGGTAAATAAAATCTGAAGTCATTATTCTGTTTCCTTGTCTTTCTCGTGGTTATCATAAGACCTCAACGCTCTGCTCACACGAGTCTGAAGAAATTCGGAAGATTTGAAACTGCAACTCCCGTTTCATCGATTGCCGTAAATCAGAATGTGAATAAACCGGTATCTCAGAGGTCATGGGTTCAAATCCCGTACGAGTCTGAATTTTTTTTTTTTTTCAGGTCCTATTTTCAACTACTAGTTCAGTAGTGTTCTTAGCTGCGAGGATCTCTTAAATTCGTTTCTTCACCGCAGTGCAAATATATGAATTTCATATAACTAAAATCATCGTGAATAGATTATTCACGGCCGTAAACGGATCTTTGCGAATACTCTCTGTATGCCCCATACACACGCATATGTTTTCATTCGAAAACGTTTACCTTTTGCACGTGTTTGCCTATCGTTTTACCTACTAAAATTTTTTGAAAACGCCTCGTTCTTGAGACGCTCCGTTGCTCTACAGACGGATCCAAATGGAGGCTTTTCAAGTGGTGACCGAGAAGGCGTCACAGTATTGTTGCTTCCACCAGCGTGATGGGAGATTTTTAACTGTGGACGACAAGAGGAATTCAGAAGTTTGCGGTAACAATAAAAAACGAAATATTATAGACGGGTGAGAACAAGACGGAAAACGACAAAAGAACTGGTTCTATTGGTGGATGGTTAAAAGTAGCCTTGTATTCTGTAGTTCAGCCTGACAGACCCTTACGAAAAAAAATGAAACAAAAGCAAACGACTCAAAAAGAGACTCGCTCTTAAACGCAAAAGCCGCGAAATTTGATTAAATTGATCAGAGTTATAAAAAGTGTTTTGAGGCAGTACTTTTAGTGCTCGCTTTCTGAAAATTCATTGCATTTGCTTGTCGCAATCTAGAAAGCCGCCATTATCCCTCAGTTGCATTGTTTCATTCCTTTCAATAGCAGAACAATGCGGCGTGCGTTTCAAATGCGCGCACCGCGCTAGAGCTCGTGAAATCATGTAAACTTTGAATTTTAAAAAAATGCAGAGGTGAATGTGGAAGCGATCCTCGCAGTTATGAACACTACTGAACTAGTAGTTGAAATAGGGCCTGAAAAAAATTTAGGCCTTTTGCAAAGGTATTCTTTCGTGAATAGCGATCAAATACAAAGGTTCACAATCATCTCAATGAAGCGGTATGTTTACATACTAATTTGAAAGGAGCACCGCATTCGCGGTAAATTTGAAAAGTATAACAGATCCTAAAGAAAGTTTGCGTCAGTCGCCGTCAGATTTCAAGCGATCACATCAACTACCATAGTGTATTAACGACTTAAACGAGATGGAAGAGTACGCAACTGCTTTAAAGAACTCTGTGTCACTTGCAATGGGCCCAGTGAAGCTCAAAGACGAATTTTCACACAGAAAGTCTTCATTTATGGTTGAAGATATCGTGCGGAATCAAAATTTTTCGCCATGTCCGGAGAGGCGTTTGCCTGATCCTAGCTTTCGAGACGAAATGCAAACTCCGCAAGCGATGGCGAGTGGTGGTCGTTCATCAAACATGCCCTCAAGTAAGAATTATTTTTTATGTTATCATGATATTAGATACATTGTTTTTCATTTTAAGTTAAGTTGTACATGATGCTTTGAGTGTGTAGTTGATCGATCGCAAAAGAGTTGCGTACCTTCCATAACTGTTTCAGATGTTTCCTCTCCTACATTAGTTGAAGATTTAAACTTAACATCAGCAAATTGTCGTGATCATTTTCAACTGTAGATTGTGCATATGACACAAATAGATAACCTATTTAAATTTGTTTCACCTACAATTTTCCTCCTTTTTTCGTACAAGAGACTCAGTTTTAGGTATTTAGTCGCGATTCGCAATACACGGGGAAATTCAAGTACAATTTACTAAGTATTATATTAATTATTTGATGTATCTTTGAAATTAAGCCACTTAAAAACTGTCCAAGTTTGGCTAAATTAGCCTCCAGGAACACCTTAATATAAGCCACTCAAGTAGCAAGTTTCCAAAATCTTACATCATCTTTGTTTACACACATTTCTCCAATTAGGTTAAACTCATCTCGGCAAGGTCTCCCTATAACCCCATATTTCATTACGGAAACAAGTCTTCGATAAAAGCGAACAATTGCGAGACAAATTGACCACCTTTTGGATTAAAGCTTCGTTTTAGAAAATCATGGGGTGATTTTAAGATCATCCTATGGCCATGGTGCCTTATTTCGGAACGAAAAAGGAAAACAGAAACTGCGCATTTTTAAGTTGATTGGGAGCGCGCGCGCGCCCCCCCCCCCCCCCCCCCCCGAGAGAAATGTCATTATAAAAAACGCATTGCTGAAATTAAAACCAGTTATAATTGCAAACTGAAAATGTCATTATATCTGTTATTGGGGCGGAAAGGCCTTTAAAAACAAACAAGACCTCAATTTCATTCGAATCTCCGATGGTGACGTCAGCCTTCTTTCTGTTCACAGGTTGTGAGGAACCAAGCCCTGTCAACGGCCGATCCAGCAAATCCCGTTCTTCCTTCACAGTGGAGCAGGTTATGCAGTTAGAACGAGTTTTTGAACGACAGAAATACCTGGGTTCGCGAGACAGACAGAGGCTCGCAGAGCAGCTACAAATGAGCGAGACACAGGTAAACAAATTGTTTCTGGGTGTGGGATGGGCTTTCTGTTTTGGATTTTGGATACTACTGGCCTATTTTAGATTTTAAATTTTGGACAGTAGTGGCGATTTTGGACTTTGGACACTGGTGGCCGATTTTAGATTTTGAACACTATTTTGGACACCAGTGGCCGATTTTGGATTTTTGACACTAGTATGCTTATTTTTTTAAATTAGAGTCAGTATGTAATTGAAAAAAAAAAGAAGATCATATGCTTCATTCTCGATAAATGTATCATTTGGAATTGTGTTTGTGTTTCTTTTTCTTTTTAGTAATTGTACGAAAAAGTATCATAATTTTCAACGAATCCTCTACAACCAGGATTGTTAATGAAACTGGTTGCACCACCTAAATACACTTATTTATCAGAAATTATTCTTTTTCAGGTGAAAACATGGTTTCAAAACCGACGAATGAAGATGAAGAAAAAGCTTTCAGAGGCCAATGAGCGCAGAGCTAAAATATCTTTTCTTGACAACCTCGCTTGCATGCAGCAGACAGGATATCATGGTTATCAAGCTCACCAACCATATCCTCCCCCATGCCCACCGCCAGAGGCGACGCATCTTCTCCACCCAAGTCTCCCTCCGCCGGAATGCGCCTGGCTGAATCAGTCACCTTTCACTTTCCCGCCAAATCAACCGTTTCCAAGGTATCTGCCACCACCGCCTCCATCTTGGGAGTCCCTTCCAGAACACATGATCGACAGATGCGCTTCTGTGCTGGGTGGGTTTGCGGAGTTGGAAGAAAACAGATAAACTGTCATATCTAACTTTAGGTTGAATGATAGAATCATTAATTTCCAGGACAAAATTTAACCTGAATTTTTTAAAATTTTTTTGTTTGTATCAAATTTGACTTGGGTACTCAAGTTATGTCGGTACTGACAGTCAACTAAAAGCTTATTGCGGAAATAGTGCGTGTACGAATATTCATTTAAACAGTTGTTTTTTACATAATTTGAACGATTTGCCTTAAAATTTTGTCATTTGTGATAATAAAATACGAGATTCTTAATTCAGAGTTCGGTATCTACTAAAGACAATGTTGGTGGTGATTTATTCTGTAGTATATGGTAGTTTTTAACATGGCGCCGAGCTTGTTCCTTCTACATCCTTCTGAACAATCATGGTTTATATGACAATCATGGTTACTTAACCCTTAACCTCTAAGACTGACCAGCTTCTAATTTCTCCTAACGTTATCACCCCTGAATCAAACATTAAGGTCATGAGAATCAAGGAAATGATCACCAACTAATTAAGCTCTTGATTTTCAAACAAATTCTCCTTGTCAGCGCTTGAGGAAATGTATAGAGAACAGTATGGAGAATATGCATACTGATGTTAGGGTGTTGAGGGCAAAGATCTATGGGAGGAAAGACGTAGAAATCACTTCACCTTAAACAAAATGTTGCTCAGTTTCATCATATAATTTTTGTTACTGCAAAGTTGCCGTCCAGTTCAGCCGCGAGTTTTTAAAATTTCATTCCGGTTATTTCATCTTTCCATCCCAATTGAGATACACCTTTTGGACTTCAACAGGGAAAGTAAATATGCCAATAATTCTCCGTTCGGAAAAATTTACATTCAATTTTTAAAAGCGACTAAATTGGATTTGATGACCACGCCTGTAGAAACTTTTACGCACCATTTTCTCTCTCCATACTTTATATCTCGACAAACGTCCGCTTACGTATACGCCAATATTTAAATCCGTGACCCTAAACGTTTAATGGAGGTTTTGGCCCATTGCAATTTCGCCTCCTCTTCCTCCTCCCTGAAGTAAAACCAGCTCGCTACTAAATGCTTTAACTCGTTTCCTTCCGGCAGAACACATTCCTTTTTTTACATTCCAATAAGATGTGAAGGATTTTCAAAATTTAAAAAAAAAACATTCACTAGCTTATTTTACATAGCTTTACATTTAAGGCTGAATGGTGTTTAATTTTACAGTGCATTGATGTTACTATTTAAAACTCACTTTGAAACTTCCGTCAACGCTGTGGGGTGTCTCATTAGTCGATGACGTCAGACATAAACAGTGACGTCAGACATAAACAGTAACGTCATAGCGAAGATTGCGGGCTCATGAAGAAATTTGATCGAAACAGCGATCAGAAAGTGCCTGCAGAGATTGAGCGCTGACGAGGGCGTCCGACTTTAATCTATTGGAAAGTGAAGGTGCAAACTCCATTATTTTGAAACTGTGTCTTTACAAGGTAAAGTTACTGTTCTTTTTCACTTAAGCAAGGTTGATGTTCCAATTCTCGTCTGAATCGAGTGTATATTCGAAAGACGAGCACGAGTATTCAACGTCAGCCGTTCAAACTATTTTAGTTAGCCTTAGTTATTTTTTAGTTTTGTTTGTTTATGATTTTAGAAGCAAAACGACAGCAAATTCCATCTTCTTGGAAATTCAATAGATATATCCAAAGCCACGAATTGACAAAATAGTTTATTCTGGATTACTCTCGCTGTCGCTGGAATGACAGCAATACAAATTATGTTTGTAGTCAACTGCATATGCCCAAAGCCGTACAGGCATTGACAGTCTAATAATGTTTGTAAATGAAGTTTATAGAAATTGAAATTGGCAAAATATGTAAAGTGGTTGTGTTTTCTTTGGCAGTTTAACTAAGCTATACACACTTCAACCACACAGCACGGTCTTGCAATCCAATAATTTGGATATTTTCCTGTAACCAAAATGCGATTAATTCAAATATATATTGACTTCCTCTGTGAGATCGAGCGCTATGATTGGGCTTACATGTAGTTTGCAATAAAATCTTGCCCATCTGAGCTGAGATCAAGTACATGAATCATCACTGGAAGGTGAAATTTTCTGTTTGATGCAGACTTTATTCAGAGTTTCCACTCACCAATGCCCTTATCATCCATCTCCCACTGTAACTATCAGAATTAGAGCCGAATTGATAAAAAATTCATGGTTAGAGTTTCAAACATTAAATCACAATGTTAATTTGTAATTGTATTTCAGTATCTGAAAGCTTTGAAAGCACAGTTTGCTTTTCTTTCCCAGCTCTTGAAATAGACAAGTCATCCTAGCTTCTTTGATGAAGTGAAATCTTTTTGCCATACAATAAATAATTTTAATGACCAAGCTTGTTCAGTCAAGATTGCTGGATATTGGCCTTGTTCTTTTTTTAAATTTTACGGACCAGCTCAGTCCATAAAAACACTAACCCTAACCCTATCCAACCATCTTGCCCTCACACAACGTCAATAATGCATTTGTATTGTAGGAGTGTTAAGAGACGCCCTTACTTGCTAATGACTGTACACAGAAGTACTACACTGTAAATTTAAAGCCATCCTTATGATGAAGGGAGATCTAGCAGCTTAGTGTTTATCATTTTGGATTCAGATAATCCTCTAATCTCTGTGAGTTACCAAGACAGAATTTTTCCTAACATTATCAGTATGATATTAAGAAAATAAGGGCTGAGAATATTTTTATTTGCCTCAATCCACAAAGAGCCATTCACAATGTCTGATGAAGATCGCATGAGATCAGAGATTACCAGAATGCAAATGAGAGGAGACGAGCTGACAGACCAGGTATGTACATACAGTATTACCCTTTAAACAGTGAAAATGACAATCATTTAATTTCTTCTTGCAGCATAATTGCTCAATCAGTCAGATTGTTTAACAAACTCTCCTCATCAGTTTCATCACTGGAGATTTATAGATATTGGTGTGGAGAATATTCATTCTAGTGTTAGGTTTTAACTGATTGATTTCCAAAGCTGTTATGGTGAAATTACCGCAACTGTATTTCTGACATCCATCCAGTTTGAGAAGATTTCATACATAGTCTATACTGCAGTTCTTTGAGAGGAACGGTGTCAAATTGTATTTTGTGTTAAGTTGATGCATGTTTCTATTAACATAGACATTTTATTTATTTAGTCATTAGAAAGTACTCGTCGCATGTTGCATCTTGCAGAAGAGGTGGGTGTCAAAGTACAGCACTGTAAATTTAACCTTTTAACTCTATGACAGGTAATGAGGATACTCAAATGTATCAGGTGGAAGTTTTTATCTTGATCTTACACCAAATTCTCAAAACTAATTTATAAAGAAATGTGTAATAGCCAGAAAGGAGAATTGGCAATCAGATCCAAGGAGTTAAACAGTTAAAAAAATAACTGTTTTCCTTTGTTAACTTGGTCTATAATATAAATAAAAGATAATTTGGTTTTATCAAATGAGTTGATAATGTGAATTAGCCATCAAGTTTTTAAAGCTGATGTTTTGATTGTTAGTAAAATTGAGCTTGATATTAACCCTTTACCTCCCAGACACGATTAATATGAAACTTCTCCCTATAATATCCATACATTATTCAGCAAACAGGTAATGAGAATATTCAAACTTATCAGGTAAAAGCTGCCATCTTGATCAAGCAACAAATTCTCATAACAAATTTACAAGGAAATGTGTAGGTGGCAGAGGGGAGAATTAACAAGCCGATCTTGGGAGCTAAAGGTTTAAACCATATGATGAATTACAGTCAAGTTGCCAATGGTTCAACTCGCCGATGTATAAAGTTGAATAGAGACGTCAGTGAGTTGGTCTTCAATCCAGTACAATTAATACTAAAGATCTTGTCAAGAAAGCCAAGTTTATTTTTAAAAAATCTGACTGATTGACGTAATGAATCTTTACAGTGTTGTTGTCACACAACAATGCATTTGCTTCTAAAGCTTTTTTGGTCATTAGCGATTTCCACCTTGCTTTATTCGCCTTGAGATCCTAAAAACTTTGTTGGAAATAAAAATAATTGTTTCTACTAAAGATCTTGTCAAGAAAGCCAAGTTTTTTTTAAAAAATCTGACTGATTGACATGATGAGTCTTTACAGTGTTGTTGTCACACAATAACTCGTTCACGTCTGAAGCTTTCGTGGTCATTGCCAATGTTTACCTTGCTTTATTCGCCATGAGATCCTTATAAACTTTGTTGGAAGAAAAAAATTGTTTTTTCAGTGAAGGTCTTTTACTTTTCTATATGTTTAACTTCTAATAAGTTGTACTGGATTGAAGACCAACTCACCGACGTCTCTACTGGATTTTATATGTCAGTGAGTTGGCATTGGCGAGTTGAACCGTCAGTGACTTGACTGGATACCCATATGACAGCACGGGTAGAGTGAAAAAATAAGGGGGGGTTGGGGAGAGTCAGGCTCATTATTTTCACTGCTTTTGTGATCTTTACTATTGCACTCAGTTTTACAAACTTCAGGCCTGAAATAGGCTATAAAGTAAATAGTACGCGCGCTCTGATTGGCCATAAAACCATTTTACATGAGCGTATGTAAACACGGTTTTCGTTCCTCTTTCATTAGTTATTTTATAAAAGAATTGTAAAATGGTTTCCGTGTTTACATAGCCTGATGTAAATACTTGAGAGGTTGGGAGAACACTCGATAAGCTGGAAACCACTCCGCTTTGCGTCGTGGTTTCCTACACTTATCTCGTGTTCTCCCAACCTCCCATGTGTTTACATCAGGCTATGTAAACACGGAAACCATTTTACATTTCTTCAATAATTTTTTACAAAGGAAAGGAAATTATTTAATCTGCAAAGTAAAGGAAACAGTTGAAATGATCATCTGATGCTAAAATAATAGTACAGGTTATCATTCTTACACCTGTGGCATGTTTGATTATTTTCCTAGAGCCAAGAGGTAGGAATAAAAACACTGGTGGCTCTTGATGAACAAGGGGAACAGTTAGACCGAGTTGAAGAGAACTTGGATCAAATCAATGTTGACATGCGTGAGGCTGAGAGAAACTTGACAGGACTTGAAAAGTGCTGTGGATTGTGTGTTTGCCCATGGAGAAGGTCTGATTTTCCTGTGCTCTATATTTTCTGATCAGACATGAAATATTGTTTCTTGCTATTGTGGTTGTTCTTCACAAAGTGATTGTAGTACTAAGAATCATATAACTTAAAAGGACTTGAGCACAAATGGCATAGATGTAAGTAGGGACAAGAAAAGCATGTTTGAGCCCAGGAAACAGCTCTACCAGCAGCCATATCAGGCACATTGACAGAAAAAGTAAAAAAATGGAAGTTGGGTAGAGTTATGTAAAGCTTCTCTTAAAAATTCCGTGGCTCTCAGAGTCTCAGTGATGGCATATGAAACGAGGACCGAGTACTTTCCTGTTTGATGCTTTCACTCAGTAAATGTTAATCCTTTGACCCCCCTAAGAGTGACTAACATTGAATTTCTCCTTACAATATCAGCCCAGAATCAAACATCAAGGTCAGGAGAATAAAAGAAATGATCACCAACTAAAGAAGCTCTTGATTATCAAACAAATTCTCCTTAACGGCACTATGGGAAATGTATAGAGAACAGTATGGAGAATATTCATACTGATGTTACATATTGCACACTCAAGGAAAAACTTTTTTTTTTTTTTCCACATTTTTTATTGCCATTTTGAAAATAAAAAAGTGTTTACAAGACTCTCAGTATACTCTATTTACATTTGTAAGCTATTATTAATTATAAGTTACATTTATATTTTTAAACAATTCTATAATTATATTTGTAAACTATTATTTATTATAAATAAGTGCCATCTATATAATAACCACTTAGCCTGAAATTGTTTCTGCATATTGTTTTTAACAGCAATGTATTTCTCAGTTCTATATTTGACGTCTACTTGTTTTAAGAAAACTTCACATTCTGGAATTTTATCTTGTTTTCGACTTTGCCATATATGCAATTTTGCAAGAGGAGAAAGGTTAACTAAGGTCGCTCTGATAATCATCTGATTGAATGGATAAATACCATTCTTAAACTTGTTATTTCACCCCTCAGCCATAGTGGTTATTGCCATATAAAAAACTGTTTATTTTAAGCACTGTCCTAACTTTAGGTTGTGATTTAGAGCTGACTTTGTATGTTTGGTTTTTTTTTGTTAGGCGGAAGAATTTTGAAAAGAATGAAAAGTACATAAAGGCCTTTAAGAGTAGTGATGATGGAACTCTCTCCACCCAACCAGGTAATATTAGAATTATTTCACTATGTGATAAGTGTTGGGAGGGGGGGGGGGAGGGTACTGGACTGTGGTTCAAGAAGTTGCAATGTCAGATTGGGCAGGGTCATTCTATTGTGTTCTTTGTAAAGTGTATCAATATTCTGGCTTTATGGTCACAACTTACAACACATTTTAATCGATATTCACCTCACTTGAATACCTTTCACAACATTAATATTCTTAGTTAACATACAGTCATGCAGTTGTGCCGATCTATTCCCATGATGAATGCATTCTTAAAGATGTGACACTACATTCTTAGGCAACTCACTTCACTCTCTTTGTGGCCTTCTCCACCCATGAGTATAAATGAGTATCTGTGAATTGTTGATGAAGCCTGATGAAATGTTTGGGGGGGGGGGGGGGAAGGAGGAGGAGGAAGTAACTTAATGATGGGCTGGCATCTCATCCAGGAGGTAGTAGCAATACCACTAGTCGCTTCATGCCGTGCGAACTGGAATAAACTGTGGCTTAATAGCCCCTCTTGGCTCAAGTATAGACTTCACCTTCTTCTACCAGAAAGAACTGTTGTCAGTGACAAAACTCATGCTTTGACAAGCTGGGGGATGGTCTTAGTTTACTGCTTCGGCATGTGCACATTTTTAACCACACAGGACTGAGGGACAATGTAATAGACAAAGTGGGGTTTTATTTTTAGGAGCCAGATATGCACAAGATGGAAACCGTGGAGAGGCAGCTAAAAGTGGATACATACAAAAGTAAATAATTTTGCAACTTAAACCTTTAACTCCTTGAAGTGATAAACATATAACTTCTCCCCATAATATCCATACATTATCCAGCAAATAGGTAATGAGAATACTGGAACGTATCTGGTAGAAGTTGTTTTCTTGATCTGACACCAAATTCTTGTAACTGATTTACAAGGAAATGTGTAGCAGCTGGAGGAGAGAATTAACAAGCAGATCTTGGGAGTTAAAGGGTTAAATAAAATTAGTGTGGAAACGTAAAATAGTCAGTAAAACCTTTGAAAGTAACTTCGGAATTTTATTACTGCAAAAATAGATGTTTGTTCTGTTAGGTCGTGAGAACTTTGGTTCCATTCAGGTGATATTGTGTTACAGTTTGTGTTGTTGTTGTTGTTGTTTTTTTTTTTTTGGAAAATAGTATAGGGTAACTATCACCGAAAATTTGATGGGTTTAAGTCTCGGTGTGAAGGAGATATAATCTGAAACTTTTTTGTTTAATTAAAGTGTGACATGTTTTGCAGGATTACAGGAGATGACAGAGAAGATGAAATGGATGAAAATCTCGGGTGAGCAGTGAAAAAGATAATTTAAACCTTACATTTTCAGGTTTATTCAGTCGTGTGTTTGCAAAATTAACAACGGTAATAATTATAACGGCGCTTCTCGATTGAGTCTCGTAAAAACAAAGTATTCATCTGCCATACGATCGGTAGCCGCTTTTGGAAAATATAATATAATTCAAATAGTACGCGCGCTCTGATTGGCCATAAAACTATTTTACATGAGCGTATGGAAACAAGGTTTTCGTTCCTCTTTCATTAGTTATTTTATAAAAGAAAATGGTTTCCGTGTTTACAATATAAATTGCCGTGATAATCAGAACATGAGGTAGTGGCACTCTTAACCAAGCGTTGTAAAATAAGTCAGATAGCAAACGTATTTGCATATGAATTTTTTTGCTCTAAAGTGTTTATTTATTCTTCTATTGGTTCAAAGGCAAGTGGCGAACATAGTTGGTAATCTGAAGTCAATGGCGATGGATATGGGTAATGAGATTGACACACAGAACAGGCAGTTGGATCGTATCAATGCAAAGGTGATGACATATTTCGTGTTGGAATTCCTCTTTTGATAAAACAAGAAACACAATTTAGTGTCAGTGGCATACACTGGGAAAAGTGGCCGTCCCATGATATGATAAGTTTGGCCGGAAGAGAAAACCTCTTCGGTCAAGGTTTTATGACGTGCGAACGGAGCACTAAACATTTTCTTGCTAAACCGTCTCACTCAGTTCATAATAACGTCTTACGCGCTCTTTTTCAAACAGACCTCTCAACAATATTTTAATTTTTAACTAGGTAATTAAGTATAATCAACTGAGTTGATAACGTAAATTTGCCACCGTAAAGAGTTTTAAAGCTGAAGTTTCGAGCGTTAGCCCTTCGTTAGAGCGAACGAGGACGGGCTAACGCTCAAAACTTCAGCTTTAAAACTCTTTACTGTAGCCAATTAACATTATCAACTCAGTTGATAATACTTAATTACCTTGTTATACTCTCCCACCAACGCAGCACCACAGTTTCTTTAGAAACTTATCTCCTTTATTCAATATCTTGATGTTTGTTGATGATAGCGTTACCATGTCAAGCGAAAAAGACCTCTATTAGCCTCTATGGTTTGACTACCCATTTCAGGTCATGTCATATGATAATACTCTGGGGAATACAGGCTTAACAGGTCTATTTAATTTAGAGCCATATTTAATTGCGTCGAAAGTTATCCGGAATTGCCCTGGTTTTGGTTTTATTCGTTGTGTGATTGGTTTAGAAAAATATCACCACTTTCTCGACCAATCAGATGTAAAACTAAAACCACTCACTACTTGGTCGCGCACGTTTTCCCGCGCTTTAGGCAGCTTGGTTGTTCTTTTAGTTCTCATTGGCTGTTGTAGGTATTTTCCTTCCTTCCGATTGGCCGCTCAATCGAAAAGCACTTTACGTTTTCGCTAGACTTACTAATTGATTGATTGATTGATTAATTTCAGGCGGAAGCAAACGATGCCCGTATTCAACAGGCAAACACGCGGGCACGGGATATCCTAAGGAACTGTTGAATGGTAGACTCGAGGATGTTATCATCGTACTCCTAGTCTTTCCCAAGTTAGTAATGTTAGCACTGAATATAGTTTTTTGTCAAACCTGAACACGATTAAAATAATTTTGAGACTTCACATCTGGGAACAAAATAAGAAATTGGTTTCAGAGAAATTCATTCACCATTATTTTTAGAATATGTGTAATTAAAGGCATTCACCTATACAAAAATATTCTCTTCCTTTTGACAGACCGCCGAGCAAAAAGTAATGATTAAAAAAGTGTTAAAGATTGTGGTATTAAAAGACATTTGTTGATCAAAGCTAGAGGGGTAGATATTCTTTATTACAATGTATAGCCAAGTTTGAAGAAAAGGGCAGGAGAGCCGGTATTTCTTAAGACTATTTACATGTGATTCTCTGCGATAAGGAAAGACCTAGAATTGGTCGCATTTCATTTACCTACAAAGAAAACAATTCAAGTTTGTTCTTCGAATATATTGTAACGGTCCCCAGCGACTGTATCAAGACAAATGAGTTAAAGGAAATTACTTTTGTTTAAATAAATGTTCTGCTTCACAAAGACTTCTGGAATTCTTCATGGGGGGAAGAGGAGGGGGGGGGGGTGGAGAGGAAGGGGGTGTGTGTCACGTGACTCATAGATGGGGATAGGCAGAGGGAGGTATTTCGGTGTTGGGGTCAGGACTGAGATAAGTTAAGAATGTGTAGTTTTGTCCTTTGTTGAGAGGTTGAGTATAATATATAGATTTAGCCGTAGCTCCCATTTTCTTTCCCGCACGTCTCAAGGGCACAACGCCTCGCCCCGGCCAGGACTAGAACCCGGGTCGTCCGACTCGGAGCCCAGTGCACTGACCACTGGACTACTGGACAAAGCCGTGGCGTTGACGTGCCCGCGGTACAGTTGACCACGCATGTAAAAAATTAACACCTTGTGCGTTCGAACGGTCGTACATCCAAATTTTTTTGACTTGATGTGTTACTACTATTTTGTATGATAATGGGGCTACGCTCTGCGAGCTTCGCTATCAATTCCCTTAAATGTGTGGTCATACAGTCTCTGCAATGTCCTTTTTGACAGTTTACTTCTTTAGTAAGAGTTTAATTTGGGACTAGTCATTCTGTCGCTTTGGGGGGGGGGGGCTGGGAGAGGATTTTGAGAGGAATCAGATGATTTGCAAGGGAAATGGTTGGGGGGGGGTCTATCATCGCCAACAGAGTATTAAGGCGGGACTTAAAATTCCACGTAAATGAAAAAAAAATGAATAAAAATGAATAAAAATAAAGAAACCTGCTTCCGCTATTACCAACTGTTGACATGTTTTAGTGTCAAAAACAGATACAAAAAATACCATTACGCATACGTTGACGTATTCACATATCACTTAAGGTAGCAACTTACACTAACGTTTCGCAAGAAACTCAAAAATGATCAACGGCTCTACGAATACATTTCAAATGCTCAAATATTTTTGAATCGTGAATGAGCGACTGATTCGCAAAGTTAAATTCTACTAAAATTGAACAATGATGATGCTTCTTTAGAAAAAAAAATATTTAAAAATATATATTTGTTGCTTCTTAAGTCGAAGTCGAGGTAAGATAACTCGAAATATCATGCTGGGATTGAAAAAACAAATCGGCAGTAGCATGTATGTTAAAGCTGGCCTAAAGCTTTTGATTCCCTTTATGTCAATTTCTGAATTAATTTGCTTGTGCGTGTAATCCCCTCATGAAATCAGTAAACTCAAATTCCATTTTTACGGCTTTCTGTTATGGTAAATTTCAGTTCAGGATACGGATTCAACTTGTGATGTAATTAATTCGAACTTTCTATTGTATCTTTTTCTGGAGAATCCGATTCCAAACACTTCCATGAAATTTTTATTCCTTGAGCGAATTTTCCACGTATTTGCATACAACTTTAAAGGCGTCTGTTGGGAAAAAAAAGCTAAATTTATCCTTTGAAGCTGACAAAATGCAAATTCCTAGGAGCCAAATGGTGTATTCCAAAATTACAAACACCGATATTAAATTCTTTCACAATGTAAATCGTGTCTTAGTTTCACAGTGCGCGGTCAGCGCCTTGGCTGTGTCACAGCGGAACCTTCAAGTGAGGGTCCAACCGGAGTATTAAGTAATCCGTAGGAAATTCTCTTAGTGGCATCCGACAAAATTAATTGCCTACTACGGAGACTCGTTAAGTTTTCACCTGTTTACTCAGTTGAAACTAGAATTTCTGTCGCGGAAATTTGACTCTCTGTAGGATTTCGCTCTTCTTAAAACAAAAAAAACAAAAACAAAAAAAAACAAAAAAAAACGTGTACTTTCAAATTTGGTTCGTATCTGTAACATTTTTGCGGTACCAAACAGTTTTAGAATAAACATCGATTCAATTATGCGAAATTCGAGCGTACATGTTCCTATTCAGAAACTATCAACATGTGGCCAACGAGTGAAAGCTGCTCTCAAATTTTAGTTGTTTTTGTTGTAATTTTAATTCTTGTTCTTACCTTCTTTTCAACGTCATGTTTAACTTTAAAAATCATCATCGTATTTCTTAATTTTGTAGAATTTCATAACCGTTAAAAAAAATTCGCAAATGCACCGTTTTTCGTCACGACATTGACAAGTTTTCTTAATTATAGCTTGAGGCCAAGAGGAAAGATATTTACATTAATTCTCTATAGGACTGTAAAAGCTCTTGAAGGCTAAAATGCGTTTTCACACGAGGGTTTTTTTCCACTTGTGTTTGACAAGTGTGATTGATTGACACGTTTTCAGTCCGTTCTGCCATACAAAAACCATTAGCTTATATAAAACCGTTAAGATCTAGAAACCGATCTGAACAAATTCTCGCGTCGAGACAATTAACAGACCACGAGCGAACAATTTACGATAATTCTAGACTTTCTTCCGACATTTCTCGAACTGTTTACCTGCTCGACCAGTTTACAGCTCATCGAGGTGAGGGGCACGACTTTCTTTTCAAAGGGCTTGAAGTGTATCAAGTTAAAGCAGAAATCTTTGGTGGAATTTACGCGAGACCAGATTGTTATGAATAACACAACTGGAGTGGTAGAAAATTCACCAAACGATTCGGAGACGCTAAGAATAGTTAAGATGACATTGTACGCAACAATTTTTATTATAGGTATTAGTGGGAATACATTAGTATGTCTGGTCGTTTATCGACAGCAAAAACTCCGCACATCAACAAACTTCTACATCATGAACTTAGCGGTAGCAGATTTGGCGGTGACCATAGTTTGTATACCTTTTGATGTTGCTGTGCAAGAAAACGACTATGTCTGGCCGTTTGGAAAGTTCCTTTGCCACGTCATCTATCCGATTATGACCATGTGCACTTTCGCTTCAGTAGGAACACTTACAGCGATCGCTTACAACCGATATACCGCCATTTCACGCCCGATGAGGATGCAGAGAGGACGTAAATGGGCAAAAGTAACTATAGCTGTCATTTGGGCTGTCTCCTTTGTTTTCGTCTTGCCATATATAACCGTATTAACGACAAAAAATTCTCGCTGTGTTGAGAAATGGTCTACGCTCCATAGTCGCTTGTACACTTGGTTTATTTTTATTTTTCAGTATGTTATTCCTTTATCTATAATTTCTCTGGCTTATGTGAAAATTGCGAGACAGTTACGGATTAATCGCAGTCACCTCACACCGGCCCACCGGGTACAGGAACGCGACGTATCGAAAGTTGTTCGAATGATGGTAGTCGTTGTTTTAATATTTGCAGTATGCATGCTTCCAAATCATATTCTCTGGCTTCTTACTGACTTTCACAAGGATTTTCCCGAAGCAGGGCGCCAAGTTTATGTATGGGGCGAAATTTTAATATACGCAAACAGCTGCACGAATCCAATAGTGTACAGTATCTGTATTGAGGAATTTCGCGTGGCTTTTAAAGCCTTTATCACCAAGTGCTGTCGAGTTACCGACGAAGACCTAACGCCTGTTAGAAACATTTTGGAGAGAATTTCCATGAGGGAAAAAAGTGTTTCTCAAGCTGACAGAATGTTGGCCAGGCAGCTAAGTCGTCGGCTACGGGGTTCATTTCAGCGAACTCAATCGTTTGAAAGTCGAGGGAGCCTTCCGAGAATTTTCCGAACGAGGACGACTCACTCGAACATATTAAGTGGAGATTTGCCTGAACTTTTGGATACAATGCTTCCCACTCTTTCGCCAAACACGGACACGGGGCGGAACACTCCCAATCAGGAAGCTAATCGCAATGCTTTAGCAGTGACTGCAGTTTGAAATGTAAACAGTATTCAGTTCCAGGTTCTTACGCTTAATTTGCAGTAGCGCTGGGTTTTGATTAATTAAACTGTGTGAATGTTCTTGGAGATTACCTCTTTCTTTCACATAAAGAGTGGTTTATGTCTTTTGCTGGCTTAGACACGGAATCGTTATCTGTTTATTTGAGGATTTTTTTCAGGAAAATGGGGAACGATACGGGCAGCTTTAAATGCCTATCAAGTTTTGAAGATTAAGTATTTCAGCTAGGAAGAGATTCCATGTTCAGATTTCTAAAATCATAGTTCTATTTGGTCCACAAGAGATAATTGTTCACCATTTCGTACATTTTGCTGATAAGCTGGGTCGAGATAAGTTTTGTATGACGCAGAAAATTATTTATTAATTTAAGAAAAGTCAGATTTGGAAAAATACCGTCAGCTTTTGGTCAAAATTATCACAATTTGACCAAATTCGGCTCAAATGCTCCTCATAAGGCCTACTAAATTAATTTGAAATGACGTCAAAAGTTTCTTATTTATTTATTCATAGCGGAAACGTTAGATTAATCTTGTAAACCATGAGAATTGTATACTTCCAATTTTTAATAAAAAGTGGTTAATTTATCCTGTAATAAAAACCTCAGAGAGCTTAAAAATGCATGGAGATATCTCTTTCATGCAATGCCTTTAAATTTTAAATGAAAGATTTTAACACAAAGCTTTTTAGAGATGCTGTTAAGGGTTCCTTGAATAAATTGTTCACTTGAACGTTTCCACTTTGGCGTGAAATTTGAGACTACAGGGATTTCGGAGGAAGAAATTCTCACGAGAACCTTTCTTGTTTTTCTTTTTTTTTCACTTTCTGAAAGCATTAAATATTAAAACCGGAAAATTGAGATTTAGACTAAACTTATTAAAACTGAATATTTAATTTTACTCTCAAGCACATCAATGATTACAGCTTCAGCGCTCTTACATGGATAAAAATTAAACTTTTCGCGGAAAATGTAATTGAACTTTTACAATTCGGTGCTGAATAACAACAGTAAATAAATATTCGGCTACGCCGAACAGAATAATTGATAAAAAACTAAATGCACGAGGTGGAATTAAAAAAAATGGAAAGAAAAAGGAAAGCTTAGGAATACGATAAACAGCTCAAGGCAAGAGTGTTTGTTGAGTTCTTTTGATCAAATTCTGTAGATAGACAATTGGGAATGCTCTAAGAAGTTTTCGGAAGAAAATATTTGACAACAATCGTTTCTATTTTCTCCAACAGTCTTGGCTGCGTTTGGGTAAAATGCCACGCGGAATTGCCCTTTTGAAACAATAAATACCTCACATTATCTGGTCGCACTCGTGCAATTAAGTGAAAAATTAGGACTTGTAAAAGTCAAGGTATATTCTGAGTAAGGTGTGGAACCATTCTTAGTAGTGCATTTATTCAATCAGATTGTCTCAAACTGTAATTATCCGAGCATCAATAATTAACAACTCGAAATGTCTAGCAAGTAATTTGAATCATAAAATCTTTCTTGCCTACTCTTTCACCAATAGGGCGAATTGTAAGTAATCTGTGTAGTAGCCTTTTTCGTTTCATTTTTAACCTTCGATGTAAATTTGCTCCTTATATCCAAAAGGATTTAATAGCAAATACACCTAGCGTTCAGAGTATGGTAAAATCTGAACGCTAGGTGTGGTTAAGACTCTACAGAGTATAAATATGATTCCAGTCACTCACTGTCTACATTACACGAAGATGTAGTATTGAGATTGAAGAGGTGATTGTTTCAGAACCCAGAAGGCGAAAAAATATAAAACATAAAGTGCCACATGTACATGTATTATACCTTTTTATTCAAACCTTGGCAAAACTTCAAAAGACCATTGGCTGACTCGAGTTCTTTATTGGCTTAAGACCGTCCAATGACCCAGTAAGTTTAACTTAAACATAAAAGAAGTTACACAAGCACAGTGCTGTTATTATCACATCTTAAATTAAAGGTGCTATATTACAGTTAGCTCGTGCTAATTTTCCACTTCGCCATTTGCAATCTGAATTTTACTTCCGTAGTTTATTGTTGTGTACTCAGGTTGAGAGCAGTTTTGTTTTCCACAGCATGCGAAAAACGGAAAAAAATGAAATGAAATATCCAAACGCACCGATATCCCTTAGCATTGATTTCACTTTCGCAGAAGTTTCCCTTTTAAATTACAAGATTGTTTACTGCTTCTTTTGTTTTGGAGGTTCAAATATATCACATCAATTTATTACAAAAGAACACCCTTGAAATCTGAATGCACTCAATCTACAAGAGACTTCTAGCACTTCAAGGCATATAAACTCATTTTATGACTGTAAAGTGAACTGTTGTAGGTCATCATTTAGTTTTTTCGTACATTCTACGGCCTACGCATGCATTTATTTGCCGGTTGATAACTCATATTGGCCCCCAGCCTTACATTAACCGACTTCACTCGACCCACCTACGCACGCGAGTATTTTTCGAATAAATTACTTCATTTGAGAAGTGTGTTCTTTTTCGATTCCAATTTCTTCAAACTGTGCATAACTGCTACACGCTACTTTGTTTTTCGGGCTGAACCCCTCCCACATGAATGAAGAGATAACACAAGTACAAAGAAATACTGTCTAAAGCTAAAAGGTTTTGTAAGAAGTAATAAATTCAGACTTTTTCCAAGGAGTAGTTTACTTTTATTAAATTAAAATCATCCTGGTTCAAGGTGTAACATTTAACAAAAATAGATTTACGCCTAAAACAGATCTTTCCACTTGATGCTCCCTACTAAAAATCGCTGTTTGAGTAAAATGATAAAAAGCATATGGCTAATTCAGGATTATATTGTCAAAGTTTATTTTTCGTCGTTCGAAAGCAGAAAAAAGGAGCATTTGACCCGCTTACCAAAACTGAAAGCATTAAGTTCCTTATTCGAAAATTTGTTTTGAATTTTCAGTTTTAAGGATCAATTTTTATGCTGTTTCGGGAAAATTGAGAAGATGCTAGCAGTAGACAGTATTCATTATTAATACAGCGCGAATTCGAGTATAGGTAGAAATAAGAGGAAGTTAATTTAAGTGTCAATGGCTAATGGCTTTGTATATCCTCTTCCCTTCTTGGGATAATGGTCACTTTTTATCAGGACTCCAAAATGTGTATTTACATGTTACAGTTACGATAATCAAATTAGTTCTAGTTTTTATTTATTTTGAGAAACTCTGCCCCGATTGATTATGGAACGTCAAGTTGAAAGGGCACCAATGTATTATTGACAATTCCTTGAGGAGTTACTTTTGGAAGATACGGCGTACTCGACTTTGATTTTTTTGCCTAATTCATCATGCAGCTTAGTTTTAATTGTTTACTTTTAAAGTGAATAAATGCCAGGAGTACTCTTGGAGCCCCGAACACTTCCATGAAAAACAATTTTCTTATACTGTGTGCGGAGGTGAAGTTAAATGGGTCAGCTAGTTGTTTTGACGGCGGCGTGTCGCTTTGAAGTCTGATAAACATTTACGGTGAAAGGTGTTTTGGAAAGTTAGTCGCTTCAAGGAAGTCCTCTATAACAGGAATCTTTGAGGGGGTATATTTGTTTTCAGACACCAAAATCTACATTTACGGAGGTCAAGGCATAGACAGTAAACAACGTATCGTTATTGTTAATTAGGAGAAAACCCTAATGGAGTTGAGGTTTTAGTCTATTGTCCGTGGCCACTAAAACTAAAAAACACTGAGACGAGAGATTAGGTGATCGCTTATTTTGCAAATTAAAGTAATCTTCAACGGTGCGAATTGTAAACGTTTAAGTGGTGTCATTAGTGAGGACCTTATGCGGCCTGAACGGCAACGCCGATGAGGACGTCAATTACAAAATGAAGTTATATTTTGAGTTAGAATTTTGCGAATGGTTGGATGTGTTTACCGTCTCTTCCTTCGCCACATCTCAACTTCCGGATAACTTATGCGAGCAAAAGCATAATTTGCCGTCGATTCCGTTCAAACAAACCTATAAGATTTGACGCTGTTGTCTCGCAGAGGAGGCTAAGAAACACGCAACGTTTTAAAACGCACGTGCTAGGCTATTGTTCTGTCCATTAGATATTCCGTCTTGCCACCTCCTCGTTGCCGTCGTCGCGCGTCTTAGTTTGCGTAAGGTCCCTAAAGATCCAAATCGTTTCGGAGAAATTCGAAAAAACGATCGACGTCTTATGTGATCTACTACTGTACTGACCCACAGCAACATGGAATCAATTTGTTCTATATGATAAAAAAGCAAAATCTTGTTAAAGGTGACGTCATCTATCCTTCAATAGATCATAAGGACCAATCAGAATGCGTGTATAATTCAGCTAAAATATAAACTTAAGTCAGTTATTGTATATGCTCTTGATCAACAGGAGATGCAGAAATTTAAAAAATTTTTCAATTTTTAATTATTGTTCATGTCACAACGCGAAGTTAGCTCACACTTGTATTAACTCAGACAGCCGTGACGCAACCTTTTAAAAAGGATCAGAAATCAGTGTTGAAAACTGATAAAATTTAAAATATAATTTTTCATAATCACTTATAAAAATTCAAGGTTTCACTGAAAAATTTTCAAATTATAAGTATATTTTACGTGGAAAATTGACAATAGTAAATCCCAGAGAACATCAGATGCAATAGCGGTTTATCTCTTTAACTCCTAGATGTGATTAACATGTAACGTCTCCCTATAATAATATTATATATAATAATGTAATTTAGCAAACAGGTAACGAGAATACTCAAACTTATGGGGCAGAAGTTGTTATCTTGATCTTGCACTAAATTCTAGCGAATAATTTACAACGAAATGTTTAGCAGCTATAGGGGAGAACTAACAATCAGATCTTGGGAGTTTAAAGGTTAAAAAACGAGATGTTGTTGAGTTTCTGAAGAAAATCCCTCACCAGATATTCCCAAATAGACATATCCACAGTCCCTTTTTCATGTTTCCTTCGGATTAATGTCAGTATCTGTGCAACTGGGCACCTACCCCTCCCTAGCCCAACAACAGCCAACTGATAATAAGTTAAGTTTAATGTTTTGTTAGGGAGAGGGGTAGGTGCTCAGTTGCTGAGATACTGACAATGATCCTTTCTTCAGCCTTGTCAGATTTTAGGTTTATTGCCAGATTTTAACAAACATCTGTATTAATTAGATTTGATTTTAACCTTCAAGTTAAAGTTCTTTTATTATTGAAGTACTATTGTGAGAAAAACGATCAAATTTCTCTTTTGAAAGGGCGTTGCTCTTGGAAATTACATTCTCGTTCAAACTTTCGGTAAACACCTTCACTTTACTTCTTCTTAACTTTGTAACTGAGAAATATCATGGAGTTCTTCATGGGTTAAAGCAGCGGTCAATTGATTTTAAAAATTGTCAGTCTGATTGGCAAAACAGAACAAAATAAACCACGACGGTTTACAGCAAGGAAATTAGGTGAATTTCGCATCATTATTTAGATATTCAAAGATAATTGTGCACAACAAAGCTACTGCCTTTTGTCCATTGACTTCGCTATTTTAGATTCGCAACGACAAGTGGCTTGAATTTTAACAATTTTAAATGATTTGGATAAAAAAAAGCTAGTACTAGTTATCAAAACAATTGAAAATTCTTCGCTGAATAGTGAGTAATTATTCACTTTATATTAAGAAAAAACATGTTCTTATCAATAATATCGCGGTTTCTCCAGAGAAACGTATTTTGCATAATTAAATTTCGTGGTTTAATTTACTCAAATTCTAGGCATTTTGCATATTCGCTTAGCAAAAAGGACAACAAAATCATTCCCTTTCCCTTTTTTTTGTATTAAAAAGTCTGCCTTCAAAGTCGAAATTATCCCGTATTTTGATGAAATAATAATAAAAAAAATGCCCGGCATTTATTGCTACGTAACATCAAAAAAGACTGCAAACAGCTTTAAGGAAACTGTAAGTTCTTTGGAGGCAGAACGAAGGCACTGTGATTGGTTCAAGTTACCAACCATTCAGAATCGCTTATTTCGACCACGAGACCAAAATGGATCAACAAGCAGTGAGCGTGAAAAAAAATGAATGTCGTCCCGTCACTGATTGGTCCATTCTGGTCACATGGTCGTAAGTTCTCGTCTCCGAATGGTTGGTAAACTAAGTTAGCGTTCTCTAGAGATGTACGGGACTGTCCGGCTGACCGGAGTTTGGTTTGTAAATTTCCAATCCTTTCAGGGGGCAAAATGTCTCTGCAACATGACCTGTATTCGTTTGCATTCCCTGTTGACATTTTCTGAAAAAGGAGAAATGTGAACTTTATGTATGAAACATGAAAGATGCAGAAGGTTTCTTAGGCGCTGGACTATGGATGCACAGGTACAGGTAATGGGGGGGGGGAGGGGGGGTTTACAAATCTCATGGAAACTTTCCCGACCAATGAGAAAATTTCAGTTTTAATGAAAGAAAATTCCTCCAACGAACGGTAGAAAAATTTTTCACGCCCATTAAAGAGGGTCTCTCAAAGCAGGATGGAAGACTTAACCCTTTAACTCCCAGATCAAATTTGTAATTCTCCTTACTGTCAACAATACAAATCTTATAGGGTTAGTTCAGAGAATTTAGTATTGGGTCAACTAATTATCCCAAATTGATATTTTTCTTTATTCTCAACACTTATCTGGTTAATATTGTATCGAAATTGTAAAGAGAAATTCTCTCTTGGTCACTCATTGGAGTTAAAGGGTTAAAACAAAGCAGGATTCCAACCACAACGATCTAATAAGCGGCCCTAAATATGCGTTTTAAAACTATTACATTTCCTGGCCATTCTTGGGAGATTAACAAATAATCAAGGTGATATCGCCAAATTTTGTGTATTTTGTGAACGGGAATTCTGAAGGCAAATTATTTACGTTTCTCTCTGTTGCTAAACACTGTCATCACATGCTATGCTATCTCGAGGAACGGTAGGAAGGCTTTAGCGCCGTTCGAACCTTCGACGAAATTCTTTGACGAAAGTCCATTTTTTACGGCGTCACTACCGGAGCAGCTTGAGCCGCCTAATATGAACTCAGGACGAGTTAGAGGGGAGGAGAAATCTGAGATGGACTGGCATTCAAGGGGTAGAATAATACAGCTGATTCCTTAATGCAAAAGTCCAGTCCAGAACTCTTCCTTCCAAGCGTTACATAGCAGTTGCACACCAGCAGCCTTCGGGTTTAACCCTTACCATGCAACATGGAAGGAAAATTTCCTAGTATGGACTATTCGTGCTATAGAAATTGGAGTCAGCTCTGGCGACGTGCGTTAGTTGGCTCGCGTGTCAAACCTCACCTGCCTTATCAACTAGTCCCACTTGGGTGGTTTGTATGTCACTTTTACTCCCATTGGCTTCTTTGATTTTTTAGCGCCGCCTGGACCCCCTCCTGAAGAAGACTGGGCCCTGGTGGGTTTGTGAGGAACATCTGTGATACGAGGAGTGGACGGGTCTATGACGTCATTAAATGACGCAATGTTATCGACATCGTCGTCGACATCCACTGCCTCACCATTTTGTTTACTGTGAGGGGTGGGGTAATTCTTGTCTGGTACGAACTCTCCTTTTCTTTGTCTGAAAAAAAAGAGGAATCGGATAAACAGGAAGGATATAAAGAGCACCACGACCCAAGGAGGTCACATTGAACTTTATTAATACAGAATCTAATCCCTTTCTTGATTGTATCTTATTCATTATTTCATTTTTATATTCAAGTGCAGATCCAGGGGGGGCAAAATTGAGTCACGACCAACCCACATCCCCCTTTCCCCTCTTCACCTGCGGTTTACAAATAAAATGAGCCAGTTGATAAGAATTTACCAGCATTTAAGTGTCAGACAAGAACTGGGTAAATCTTTGCTATGATAGAGTCGAGGGAAAGGTTTCGTAGTCCCCTAAACCTCCCTTAAGATCGACCACATTTTAAGATGACACAAAGACATACAGTTCTTGCAATAACACAACGACAAGTGCACCAACTATTCGCATTTATGAAGAAAAGATTGAATGAGATGCTAGTACAGCACAAACTACCCCTCCTCCGCCAGTATATTGCAGATTTACCTAACAGTTCATCGGTACCTATTTATTCTCCAGGATGCTGAGGAGTACCATGAAAGTATGGCGTTTTGCTAAAGAACATAACGCAATGACACTGGACCTTTACCCAGATATTTCTGTCCATAATCCAGAACACGAGTAATCGGCCGTATACACGTTTGTGTCGAAATACTCAATTTCACTCCCAGACTTGGCTTTCAAGGTATGGAATGATAAAGTTTAGCAGGAAAGTATTCCCAAAACACCAAAATCAAAGGAATACCCACACGAAAACAAAAATATAATAGCAAAGATTCATGAAAATTTTAGTGCAGAAGAGCTGTTAGAGCACCCTGTCCCCCTTCCTCCACCCCCCTCAAAAACGAGTAAACTGCATCTTCACTATCAACACAGACGTCTTAGGATTTCCACTGACCTGTAAAAGCGAGTAAATATGAACACGGATAAAACAACGAGTAGTACCAGGCCCCCGATAGCTGCGGAGATAATGAGGATGAGCAAGCCCTGGGAAATACCTTTGTCGTCATCCCCATCCGTGCTTCCCTGCACGGCGGAGGTTGGAACTGAAACAGAAAAACATCATTCTGAAAAACCACACATTGCATTCACTGCTTCCTGCGCCTTTCAAGAACATTTGATAACTCTAAAGTTAGGAGCCAAACTTGCGATTTGACGCATCCTGCCATCAATCGTGGCCGTGGAGGCAATTTAAAAGATACAATCAAAATGGACCGACCTCCTCCAATCAAAACTTATGAACGAGACATTTTGAGCCCCCTGAAACATGATTGACCACAGGCTTGGTCAAGGACTGACGAAAAGCCAATTTCAATCATCCATGACCTATTCCATACTTCGAATGTTATTGAAGAACGTAACAGTGTTGTTAGTCATTTACCTTACCCGAGCCCTTGTACAAAATTGTAAGAGACTCTAAGAAAGGTAAGAATCAATTCCTCGCAGCATAGTATGAAACATGCCAAACAGAAATTCTTAATATCTGAGAGATGTTTTTAAGAGACAAATAATCACAGGTCCTATTAAACCAGTCATTTTTAAAGGCTTGAGGGGGGGGGGTGGGGTGGGAATTTGGAGGGATCATATCGTTTTCAGGGAGAACAGGGAAATTATCATTCGCCAACAAAGTATTGGGGGATCGGGGGACTAGGGAAAACTGACTGCCATTAACTGCCAATGAGTGGGGATTAGAAGAATATTACAGAGAACCACCCTTCCCCCCTCCCCCCTTCCCTCAGGCGATAAAAAATGACCGGTTCCTTGACTGAAATTGAAACAACAAAATGAAAACGAGGCACAATGTCAACAAGAGGACATAGGAGATAAAAAGGAAACAGAGAAGAACAGTCAGAGGGTTGGCCAGAAGAAGCCCATTCCAATATAGTTGTTTTAATTTCTTGACGGACAGGAAAGTCTGTTTCTCTGCACCACACTTAGAATTCTGGCTCAAGAACTACTTTGTACCTTCTTTCATCAACGTATGCTATGTCTTCGCTCTCCGACATTTTATACCTTTCACTCATCAGATGAACATCAGATCGAGATCAAACCTCATATACACGCTTCGGAACAGACTTCTATTCGAAAGACTTTCTATAAATAGTTTTATTGGAATTGAAGTGTCCTTAGGCCTACACCACATGCTTCTGTCTCCACTCTCTCATTCATTCCTGGTACCTCTAACTACCTGCACCCAGTACCCTGTTCCCGTTTCCCGAAGTCAACACGTTATACCAAAGAAAACTTCCTTACCTTCAGGGAAGGGTAAGGGTGTCTGTAGGTTCCTGCTTGGGGCAGAGGGGTTAAGAACCAATGTTGAAGAGGGCGTCAAGCTTTTAGATGACATGGTAGCTGAGAATGAGTCAATAGTTATATTTAATTTATTCTCAAGAACATTTCTCTTGTTCCTGAGAATTTGTAGTAAACCTTTGCCATCAAGAACTTGCGTGTGATTGGTTCCATTGTTAAGTGACGTCACCGTGACGTAAAAGGCCGTTCCAACTGCACTTGGATTCCCGGCCACGGAGTAAATACTGTATATTATCACATCTACCCGGGTGATATTGATTTTAGAGGGTTTAATATCAGGACGAAGTGCTCCGTTATTAACTGATGATGCATGAATTTGTGAGCTATGATGACCCGATTCTGAATCTCGTTTTATCCTTAGAATATCCGACAGAGAGTCGTCATTGAAGAAAAAATTTTGTGCCAAACGCTTCTTACGAACACGTTTGGCCTCAAAGAACTTTTCTTCACCTAGGCAAAGGGATGAGTTCGTCATGCACGATTCCCAAATCACTCCTTCGATAATCTTCGAAACGACATGTACTTTAGGATAAAAGATCTCAACTGTAATGTTAATCATATTAATGTGAACTCCTTGTTGAGTTTTCCTATTGTCGACAAGATCCATACAACAGATTCCTTCCTTTTGACGCACTTCACCGCAATTAAAACAAACGCAAGTGACATTATTTATGTTACAAGTTAATGGAGCTTTCTCTTGCACAGCGACCGTAGACAAAAGCGACGTCTGAGCTGAGGTAAATGAAAAATGAGTTGTTGCTATGGGAAGCGAGATTATTGATGTAGTTTTGATGGAATTCACAGGCATTTCTGTCAGAGATGGTGTGTTCGTGTGTTTGACATGTCTTGATGTCGAAGTGAGTTTAGCGTACAATTCATCGGTACTTTTAATAAGAGTTATCGATGATGAAACTTTCGGAATGGGGGTACTTGAATCTTGAAACGTAGTGACACTTGTGATTGATAAAGACTCTTTGATGACCGCGGTATGTGAACTGGATGCTGACGAATGTTGAGAAGTTTTGTGAAGCTTTAGATCCGTCGACATGCTATGTGTTCGGGTCTTATCACCTGAAGAATAATACGACAAAAATGTTGATTTACTGCGATTTTTTCCCGGTGATAAATCACTTTTGCCAAGCAAGCTATCTGTAACATGCAAATTGGAGGTCAATGCGGAAATCAAGGCAGTGAATTTTTCATGAGGGCGCAATATCGTTGACGAAAACCTCGCGATTTCTGACAAATTACGTCGCTGCTTAAAAGAACTCTGAAATAAAAACGTTGGTGTGATAGACATGACTGTAGTACCTTTAGGTGTAAAATCACTGAACGAAGATGATGTTTTTGTGCTAATGATAACTCTCTTATCAAATGTGCTGATCATTTCATATCCTGATCGTGAGCGGCTGCTGTCTCTCATGTCGCTTGCTTCTACGGGTTTCGAGCTCAAAATGGATGCCATTTTTGATCTATGCTTCGTATACGATGCTTTTGACTCAATAGAAATTTCACCTCCTTCTCTTGTACTCTGAGCGCTGCGGTTTTCACTTTGAAGTGTTTCTCCCACAATTTGACTGCGTGGTGTTGCTTCTGAGAGTCGAACATTCGTTTTAAAACTCGCGGACGACGACACTTGCGTTGAGCGTGTTGGTTTTTCGGAGCCTCCTGTGAGGACACCAAATTGAGAAATATATCCATCGTTAACAGAATTAATAACAGTTTCCAAGCCTGATAGCTCTTGAGACGAACGAACACTTTGTCGAGGTACTACGCCAGAGAGAGTTGGCTTTGAAGTAAAAAGCACAGATTGCAGTGGCAAAAGAATGGAGGTATCAGTAATATTCGCGTAAGTAAGGCTGGAAGGTTCGCAAGCAGAAATCGGCAACAGAACAAGGAAGATAAATCCGCACAAACAACAGCTTCGGACGATTTCCCACGCGCAAACTGACTTCTTACTTAGTCCAGTTTTCAAGGACAACATATCCAAGTATCTTGCTGCTTACTTCAACATTCTTAACTTTTCGTTGACACCAAATTTGCGTGAAAGTACACACTCTAGCTCTTCATTGAAAACCGGTGCATTTCACCCGCCGCGAAAAATGATACAATAGCTGAACTTTAGTACAGAAAAACACTGCCAACACAATATCGAGTTATTAACCGTCTCCTCTTATTCAAACACACTGGAAAGTAAACAATACTGATTGACACGACTAATTCTTAGAACAGGTGGCGACTTCATTTTGACCAATAACATGCTTCGCGACATCGAAACAGCTCCCTTGATTACGACTGCATTTCACATCGAAGTAATTTTCATCTTGTGATTTTAGTTGCCTTCAGCGTTTTTCTCCCTGCCAATAAAATCTCTTAATTGTGATTGCTGCAGAGATAATGGAGTTTTATAACCAAACAAGAAACCACACGGACCGGAAAAACAAGACAAATATACATGCGGAAATTCGAAAAAAAATGATTTACTAGTTTTATTAAATATTCAGTTTTTCTTTATGCCAAACGCGAGGGCGGATACTCTTTCACAACTTAGAAAACGAATTTGTTGCTATCATTCGGTAAAAACTCCTTTAAGAACTCGCAAACAAAACAATAAGTTGAAAGATTCTCTCTGGGAGATAGCAGAATGACCCTATTTTGACAAATTTCTACTTCGTTTAAATCCTTTTTAAAAATGCATTTAGATCTTTTCGTGGAACTCCCGATGTAATTAAAATCTATTTTCATAATATTAGTTTATTTAAATTCGCCATGAGTTATTATCACATTATCAGAGCATAAGAAGGCAAATTGTCGACAAATTTCATTGAAAATTACAGGAAAGCAATTTCGTCTTTCTTTTCTTCATACATGGTGCACGAAACAACACTAGGGATTTAGGAATAAATTTACTCGTCTCATTTGTAAACATTTTGAACTGACATTTCAATTTTTTGTCATTTTTAAATAAATTTGTCGGAGGATACCCTCATCGCATGAGTTTTCTTAGCCGACATGGTTTAAAATTCCGATTAAAATTTCTTTTCTTTTCGAGTATTGACAGCGGCTAATTTTTTTAGCTCATTTCCTAGGGCCCGACATCAAGTAGAAACTGAAATATATTTCCTAAAACTAGTAATTTATTTTTTACCGAGCCCTTAGGGTTTTGTTGTTTAAAATTCAACTTTGAAAGCATCCATTTAGCGAGGAAATCTCCAAGATCTAAATAACAGAATTTAAGAACATTTCGGAGAGATAAGGGTTGTTCGTGACCAAAATATGCTACTCGCAAATTATCCGCACGGCGACAGCCCATCAATTTTGGCTCAACTGGGCAATCTGTTTCATTTAAATTGTAATTTTTTCTCGATGCAAACCTCTAAAACCTCGAGTCTATTCCCCTATCTAAATTGGATCGTGTGCTTTAAGAATTTGTCTCTTAAACTTTTGCGAGATGCAGTAATTGATTCTTACACTTCTACTAATGGAAATATGAAATGTTCTATTTTGGTAACAAAAGATTCACTGATAGAATAGTACAACCACTATAACGTCTAATTTGATTGCTTTAATGCAACACATTGTAGAGTATTTGAAAAGAAGCGAAAAGATGTGAGAAAACTTTACGAAAACGAAAGAAAAAAGAAAAAAATAAATAAACATTTGAAACAATAAACTAGTAAAATGTACTATTTATATCTTAAAGTATCGAAATTCACCGAAATTCAGGACACAAATTTTGATCATCTATTTATTTCTAAAGAGAACCGTTCGTTTGGAAAATTTATTTTGCAGCTTTTGCAAGTTCTAGACAAAACAATAAATTCACAGCGAACAATTCTTAGTAATTATATCTGATTACAAAAAGATATTTCATAGACTAAGAAATTACACGCAGAATTTAAAGAATATTGGAAAACAAGATTACGAAACCGATTGTTAACTCGAAACTGAAAGAAATGAATTAAAAGACCAGAAGGCGCTTCATAAGATTTGTAATGAATTTCGAGCTTGCGAATCTAGCCATAGCCACACACACTCGTTACGTCTATCTTCGTATCAAAAATTCAAGTTCTAATGGCGATTTTGCAGGAGTGAGCATACACTGTACGTTTTATTGAAGGTTTGACACTCTTTCTCTAAAATTTTTAGGTTGAATTAATTAAATCTAAAGTGTGCCATACAACTTGCATTTGACAAATTTTATAGTCCTGCAACGTAATATGCAGCAGCTGCACGATTTTCTGTTACCGTGTATGGTATGTTCAGTTTCTGAACAATTCAAGAGCGTGCATTTTCGATAGGGCGAAATAAAGGTTGAAAAAACCTCCTACTCTTAAATGGATCTTCAATTAAATAGCTTCGATTTTGTGAAAAAAGGTTTGTTTGCGTTCTCTGTCGTGTATTCAGATGCGATTCCTCTGCGCCTGAAGGTAACATATCTATACGAAAAAAACCGCTTGTGGTCGACGTTCATGATGAAAATTTCAGTGACGTGAGTTGAAGCCGCGCTGTTGTAAGATTTACAGAGTTACATGTAGGATCACACTTTTTCAAGTAGGATGAGGAAAAATGAAGACGGCGACGGCAAAGGAAAAAGAGGTAAGCAAGATTTATCAATCAAGAAATGAAAAGAAATTTAAGAATAAAAGAAAATATGCATAGAGAGGGTAAGGAAAGGAAAGAGAGAGAATATAAACGAGACAGAAGTGTTCACAATGAAAAGAAACGTAAAGAGAAGAGCAGATTAGAGGAGGGAAAGAGGGAAAGCAATGGTAAATGTATCTTCATGACAAAGAAATTAAAAGAAGTGGAAAAATGAGCGCCTGAAGGAGATGGAAAATATGAGAACGAGAAAGAATTGGTGCAAAAGAAGAAAAGGCGGAGGAAGAAGAAAAAGAGAAGACAAAAAGCGAGCACAACGAAGAGTGGATGAAATGAATGAGGAGAGGATAACAAGGAAGAAGCTGAACGAAAAGAAGAAGAAAAGGAGTTTGAAGAAGAATTCACCTCCAAATATGTATAACGTGCACTGCAGAAAAAAAAGCTGTGACTGAAAACCGCACAGGTTTTTGATTGAAAATGAGTAATCACTGCAGAAGTAAGAGCGGAGTTGAGTAGCGAAAGAACTAGCAAATGGAAGTATTTAATTTAATCTGAACAGTTAGTAATGTAAATGGTTACTGTATTGAGATATGGTCACGTGAATGTCATGTTACTGTGTGAAGGACTGTCATATACAATAAACAATAGAAACTGACAAACAAACGTGATGGAACAAAACAGTCGATAACACAAAACCAAACAAAAATAAATGACGTGAAATTGGGATTACTATTTAATGTTTAGAAGCGTCACGTGACAGCAAGGACTTTAGGGGCCAGTATCACAATGAAATGTGACAAACGTGGACTGAGGGGGTGGAATAGGGACGGAATTTCACGCCATCCCTGGCTTGATATGGAATCGAGAGAGAAGGCGAACATGCGCTGAGAACACAAATCAGTGTGGTAAAGAATTTTACGAAATTTTCTATGGAGTGTATCAAAATAAAAGCCTGGGATGATGAAAGTTTCGGAACTGATCTGGTAGATTGGAAACGCAAGAAGTGAGGCGAAAGGGACGATTTTTTTTTCTGATGACAGTCCCTCCCGGACAGAAAGTTAGTTTGTAAGTGACAAGCAGGGTTTGTTAGTCAGCGGTTAGACGTCAAAACATACATTAGGATTACTCAACATGCATCTTAATTATGACGAAAACTTAAATTTAGCCACAGACTTTTCAGCTCGATTCTGGCACAAATTTGAGATAAAACGAAGCAAATCATTCGTCCTGAAATTATCCCCTCTTTTACAAACTCAGTTAAGATGACAAAGGTTCACATCTACCTTAAAAATCTTTGCAAACGTTTCCCTATCAAGCCAGAGACAACGTTTCTCAAAACAAAATTAAAACTCATTCACTATACATAGGGTACACAACTAATTCTAAACATTAATTCTAAACGATGAATTTTGAAATTTTAAAGCTGAAGTCTTCAGCATCTCCCAATTCTATTGCCCAATTCCACGTCACAATTCCATTTCCCAATTTCCCAATTTCCCAGTCTCCCACTTTCCCAATTCCAATTTTCCAATTCCAATTTTCCAATTCCAATTTTCCAATTCCAATTTTCCAATTCTCCAATTCCAATTTTCCAATTCCAATTTTCCAATTCCAATTTTCCAATTCCAATTTTCCAATTCCAATTTTCCAATTCCAATTTTCCAATTCCGTTTTCCTCCCTGTACCCAGTCCCTCCTCTAAACTAACTTAAAATTATTGACTGTTGTGTAGGGTCCTCGTTATGCATATGCATACAGACATGAACTTTCTCAACATGCCTATGGTCCGACAAAAATTTTACTGACTGTTACAATAGCACATATGACACGAGCGAACGAAGTACGAGACAAGATGAGCGAGCTAGCAGCAGAGAGAACCGTCTTAGTTTGAAACGGTTTTTTGGGCTTTGCACTTTGTTTCACCCCTAAAGGTCAAAAACGAGAAATACTAATCTTTGGAAACAAATAAATGAACCAAGTCAAAGGAGACTATCGCTTTTGCATAAATGTCAGGCCCCGGTTGTTTTAAGTCGAATAACGCTATATATCTATTGCTATCCACTGGATAAATCTATCCGAAGGACAGCACAGCACATTTTGTTGAAACTCATCCGCTGGATAGTGAGTTATCCGTCGGATAGCGTTTTCTGCAACTGGGCTCTAATGGAATCACATTAAAAGGTTTGTTATGAAAAATTGATTTTAATAATATAAATCCTTGCAGGGGTAGTTCTATGAGGCACCCGTCGAGAGGCGTTTTGAAATTCCGTAAAGATTCGAATTAGCGCCCACGACACTTATCTACTTTTTCTACCTCAGGGCGGGGGGGGGGGAGCTTATTTCTTTTTTGAGGAACAGCAGAAAGTGCAGGAAAAGCTCTGATGTTTATTTGAAAAGGATCAATAGGACTGGAAAACGGACTTGTTGTCCCTGGATTCTTCCTTGCTAGAGCGACCAACCAAGCGATCGTCACAAAATTTTAAGAGAGATCATTCATTTGAAAGAACTGTGCGTTCACGTGGACAGAACAGTTGAAAGAATGTGACGAAGTCCATTGTTTTTGTAACGAGGCTCAAAGTGAGTGGCTTAAAGGAAGATGAAACTTGGTTGATCTCAAGGTACATGTACTCTAGCAGTGCTATCATTGAAACAGAATAAAGGCGCTTATTGGAATGAGAGGGGCGCTTATCAGAGAGGGGGCACTCATTGGAACGAGGACGGTTAAATCGAATCAATACAGTCAGTTATTTGACCCCTTTTAAGAGAATTTCAGGAAAATAAAGCGAGTCTATGGTTTTAGTATAGGAGTGAAACAGAAGTGCGACTTAAGTAAAGACCCAGGATACTCCTGTACATAGTGAAAGCTCTTGCAATATTTGTCGTATTCGTGCCGCAGTTTTGGATAATTCACACGCGAGACAGAAGAAGTTCTCTCCCAAGTGTTTGATCTCTCGCACACAAAGTACGCGAGTACACTTCTACTTAGCGCCTGTACTCACCATTACAAAAGTTGCAGGCTTTTGGACATATGCTCCTCATTTTTCTTCTGTGATTCTTACAGTATCCATCTTGTTGAACGAACTGGGAACAATGAGCGATTTTGTCTTCACAAGGCACTGAAAGGAAACCAAAGGAATCACTCCAGTTATAAACGTCGATCATTCCAGTGTAACTTTTCTTGGGAGAAATGCGCACGAGATAATTGCATTACAAAGAGCGCAGAAAATGCCCATTACAGAGCGAGGAGAATTGACATTTGGGCAAAGTTGCATAGAGAAACTTCAACTCCCTTGCAGATTATCACAGAAACCATTCTTCTTCCCTCCTCCCTCCTCCCCCCTCCCCAAAAATTTTACACATTTTACCGGAATCCATAAATACTCCGGAATGGAAAGGGATTTTGTGAAAGGAGAGTGACCTATCAAAGAACGCAACGCAGTGACTCGATTTGGGCTCAAAGCCGGAGATCTCGATCCAGAGTCCAACGTGAAAACCAATAAACTCTATGTCCCCTGTCAACAATAGGTAATAAAAATGCCTATAAAAACTGGTTACCAGGAGCAAGCGGGCAGATTCCGTTCAGGCTGATGCCCGGGCAGATACATTTATATGTGTCTTCCAACCGCTGACAAGTTGCACCATTATGACAAGGATTCTTTACGCAAGGATCAGCTATGGAAACAAAGGGATGACCCGTTAAGATATCTAAGATGTAAATGTTTCAACTAAGCTAGAAATTATGATTTCTTTCATTACTTTGTTAGGAAATAATGGACCATGTCAGCCGCCGTCTGTTTTCGGACTGTGAGCGAGTGAGTGTATGAGGAAGTGAGTGAGTGGGTGAGTTGGTGAGTGGGTGAGTGGGTGAGTGAGTGAGTGGGTGAGTGGATGCGTGGGTAAGTGGGTGAATGGGTGAGTGGGCAAGAGGGTGAGAGAGAGAGGGTGTGTGTATAAGTGGGTGAGTGTATAAGTGGGTGAGTGTATAAGTGGGTGAGTGGGTAAGTGGGTGAGTGGGTGAGTGGGTGAGTGGGTGAGTGGGTGAGTGGGTGAGTGGGTTAGAGGGTGAGAGAGTGAGAGGGTAGTGCATAAGTGGGTAAGTGGGTGAGTCAGTGATTGGATGCGTGGGTGAGTGGATGCGAGAGTGAGCGAGTTGGAGGGTGAGTGGGTTAGTGAATGAGTGCGTAAGTGGGTGAGTGCGCGAGTGGGTGAGTGCGCTAGTGGGTGAGTGGGCGTGCGAGTAAATGGGTAAGAGGACGCGTGGGTGAGTGAGTCAGTGGGTAAGTGGTTGCATGGGTGAGTCAGTCAATCATTCAGTTGGTGAATCAGTCATCAGTTAATCTGTCTTAATTCAGTCTCATTCCTCATTAGTCTGTCTCAGTCTGTCAATCTGTCTATTTGTCAGTCGGTCAGTCCGTCAGTCTGTTGGTCTGTCAGCATGTCAATCATTCCATCAGTCAATTCGAATAGTCTTAGGTAGATAGGTTTTCTTCACACTTTACCTTTCATTTCATGACAGCATTTTATTGAAGACGTTGTCTCCGTTAGAGTAGACAAAAAAGCCAATTCAACATTATCCCAAGACAACTCGTATGACCAAATAGTAAAGTGCCCGATGCTGAACCCTCCATACGAGTAAATCTTAGTCAAGGAGTTGGGTTTTCCAATAGTCATTTTGTCTTTAGCATTTCTTTCACTCCTTAAAAAATCCGGCTTTTGGCTCTTCACGGCTAATTTACCATTCTTGTAGAACTTCAGACCATGCTCTCGACTCCAAGTAAAGGCGAAATGAAACCACCATTTGGGAAGAGAGTCGAGAAGTATTCTCCACCTGTGCGAATGGTTGGAAAGTTCCAAGACAAATCTTCTTGACGACGTCAAGTGGGGTCCACAGTTTTCACAAATTAAGCGGTAGCCTGGGCCGCGCGAACTTAAGGTGTAATGTCCACTTGAAATGATGAATTCACCTACAATGAAAAAAAAACTGAAGGAATAGAATCGAATGAAAATCAAATGTAGGAATTCGCAAAGATTTCCTTTGAACCCGACTAACCGACAAACGAAAATGTCGAACTGCCTCAGCAACGAACATACGCACTGCCGAACAAACTGACAGACTGACGAGCAGACAATCTGACGAAGTGACTTACTGACGAAATGACGAACTGACGAACTTACGAAGTGACGAGGTGACGAACTGACGAACTGACGAACTGACGAACTGACGAACTGACGAACTGACGAACTGACGAACTGACGAACTGACGAACTGACGAACTGACGAACTGACGAACTGACGAAATGACGATATGACGAGCTGACGAACTGACGAAATGACGATATGACGAGCTGACGAACTGACGAGCTGCCGATTTGACGAACTCAAGATTTGACGAACTCAAGAACTGACGAACTCAAGAACTGACGAACTCAAGAACTGACGAACTCAGGAACTGATGAACTCAGGAACTGACGAACTCAGGAACTGACGAACTCAGGAACTGACGAACTCAGGAACTGACGAACTCAGGAACTGATGAACTCAGGAACTGACGAACTCAGGAGCTGACGAACTCAGGAACTGACGAACTCAAGAACAAACAAATAAACGAACAGAAGGACAAACTAATAAAAATGAGAGCAGCTTGACGAACCTACGAATCAACGTTGGATAAATGGACACAGCGGGCAAACAGAAAAAGCCTTCACACAAACAAACAAACGAAGATGGCGACGAACAACAAATGAACAAAAAAACAAAAGTGACATCCATTTTGCTAACGAGAACCTAACACGAATGAGTTTTGTGCGGTAGTCTGGATAAATCTAAGAAGGGGGAGCATTGTTCTCGATCGTGGACCAAAACAAGTTTTACTACTCAGAGACTATGAAAAATATTATATATTCTGTCAGACAATAATTTTACAACCTTTTCTTATGTGAGAGAGCAAATGCCTTTCAACACCATTACTATCATTTCCATTTGCCCCTCCCCCCTGAGTCAAGTTTTTGTCTTCCTTCCCCGGCATGCCTTTGCTCAACTCCTGCTCATTTGGATAAATGGACACAGAAAACACTACTACGCGGACCATACCATTTAAGGATTCTTACCTTTGATGTATTTTATCCAAAATGCCACCGACAAACCTTCTTTGCAAGAAGAAGGCTCCACAATGCATTTCTCTTTGAAACCCGTCAGTTCGATGAAGTCATCCTCACCATCTAGTGTCAATACTTCTCCAATTTGATCATCGGTCGACTGCTTCGCTCCATTGTTAACATCACCGGTGATGTTTCCTCGTAAATCCTTCACCCTTTTATCCTGAGAAACGTCACTGAATGGCAAATAATGCGTTGCTTCGGGAAATAGTCCACCTAAGGATTGCATAGAGCAACACGTAAGGTATCTTTTCGCTCTAACTCACGGTAAGTCACCAACACTGCTTTTGTTTAGTCTCAAAGCAGTTTTTAAATGGAGTGTCGACCCTTTATTGCATTGGTTTTGCTTTACTTCGCTCTCTGATTGGTCAAGAAACCTCTCGTCACCCTCCCGACCAATCAGAACTAAGACTATAACCTATCGCGACATGGTTATCCGCGTTTTCCCGCGTACTTCACCGGCTCCAACTCTCATCTTTGATTTCTCAATGAATCCTTGTGATACCCTCCTTTCTTCACCAGTTTCCGTGCAGTTTTCTAAATACACACAAATTGCCTTATTCTGAGGATAACTACAGAATATTACTACGGTAAGTTAGCCAAACATTAAAAAGGAAAGCACAAACCATGATAGCGCAAAGATGAAATATGGATACAGAAGATTAGCTCGGATTGCGAGCTTGAAAAATTTTGACGAAGGTTTTCAAGACGCTTCGGTTTTGCAAATTCTTACAATCTCGCATTCAATGACAGTGAAATATCAAATCCAACTAGGATCAGGATTTGAATCAAAGTCTACCCTCAGAGGCAACTAAATGTAAAGCCAGTCCAAAAATCGAAACAATGGTATGACAAATGGGTAAGAAAAATAGGAAAATGGAATCGAGAAGATCGATTATTTGACATGGAAAAAAGAGGAACAGGAAATCGGGAACGTAGAACGCAACCTGGGAACGGCTTGTGGGCCGGCAACTATGAACAGAGAACTTAGAAATCTGATTGAGGACGGAAAATATTAATATCAGTGCATTGTCCGAAATTTGTCATTAATAACGAATGTAAAATTTATACCACAACCGATGATAAAATGCTTGGAACATTTAACCTATCGAGCAAGACTCCTTGAAAATTGAACAGAAACGCAGCCCCGCCCCCTAGCTAAAATCTTACTCCACAACTCAGAGACCATCCATACATTTTACGTTCCTTTTTGTCCAACTTTGCTTGAATTTTCTAATGAATTGTTTTGTTATCCAGTCCTATTCAAATCTTCAGATGTTTTATTTCAAAAGATTGCCTTACACTGCTCGGTGTAAGGTGAACGAATGCAACGTGGCACAATTATGTGGCAGACAACGATCGATTTAAAAATAGCTTCTGGTGAAACTGAAGAGATTAACCATCACAGGTTTTCCTTAAAATAGCTTCTGATGAAACTGAAGAGATTAACCATCACAGATTTTCCTTTTGATTTATTTATTAGCACTGATAAACAAGCCAAGCGGATTTTCGTTATTTTGGTAAACATTTTTGAAGTTTCTTGACACATCCTGTTATTTGCTTGCAAGTGATCGATAACTATGAAGGCAAATTAACCATGTTTAAAATTTCCACACCGACTGGTACATACGCATTCTGTCCGATACGGAATTATTGTGAGTTAAGCTCATTATCAACTAAAAACAAGAGCGTACAGTGAAAGTTAAACTTAGACTTGGGTGGTAATCAGTTCCTTTTCTTTACTTTCGCCTACGAATAAAGGCGTACTTCATTTTGCTTATGAAAAGTTGGAAAATAAAAATACCACAGTCCGTTAATCATTGCTCACGAAGCTTATTCGAATTTTAACTGAGCAGCGAAGGATGAATTGCGTTGGACAGACCATTTAAATGAGAAATCTCGAGTGCTTCTATTCATGCTTTTATAACCGAAAGCAAACAAAAATAAGGAAGTCGAAGCAGGCGGCCGAATCTTATATATACTTTCAATTCACAACATGAACAAATTTACCACATGGTAAACGTCCTTCGATAAAAAGGTAATCACTGCTATTCTCATGCATCAAAACGAAAATTTATTTTTAGCGCGGAAAAAAAAAATATTTCGGACAACTAGCACAAATTATTTTGAAAGTACACAAATCTTAGAAGAAAGCAAAATAAGGAAAACATGTTGTATGGGGCGAGCAATGAAAATTGTGTCTAATCTTAAAAATTGCGGTCCAAAGAAATTAATTCAAAGTCGAGAAACGGTGAATGTCCATTCTCGATTAAAGGATGTTAAAATGATTCTTTTTAAGGGAAAAATAATAAAACAATCACTACTTGCGATTGGAAAGAAAATTTACATTGTAAATTTTGAAACATTTGAAACACGTTTAATGAAACATAAAATACGGCGGATTTGAATTTGTGAAATAAAAAAATTAACACTTCCCTTTGTGCCGTCTTTGCAAAATTTCTTTCAGCTCGTAACAAGATTTTAAAAACACAAAATGTACTTCTGAAAAAGATGGAGTAAAATAAACCTTTATAAACTGCATGCGAGAAAAGAAGCGGTCGATATATTAACTTATATTATAATTTTTTCGAATACTTGTTTTAGCGCGCATTTTGGTTGCCAAAGCGTGCATCAAAAACATTAACAGGAACAGTGCACGATTTCACGGCAAATAAAAACGGGGAACCAACCTTTTAATTTGGCAAGCCCGTCTATTTTTCTGTGTCGTCTCTTGAAGCGGTTTGCATGGGAAACTCCAGCAAAAGAAATGAGAAGAAACACCAGTACTTCTGAGTACGGAGTTAAGTTCATTTGTCGATAAATTAAGCCAGCGGAGAAGATCACAAAACTAATTACATTTAGGATGGATTCTTGATTCACATAAAAAAAAATATCAACGCTATGCTACTTCACTTCTCGTTACGTGCCGGCTTCAAACCGCGAAGGAGTTGCTGCCATAAAGTTGAGTCAGCGCGACGAACTTTGCACGTTGCTTCGTGCAGAGAACGTTTTGTCAGTTTCTCGTGAATCACCTGTATTGTATGTAGTTTCAATGCAGATGAAACCTTATAATTTATTCATGTGTGATCTGAACGATCGCTGTTCAAAATGCTAATTAACTTCTTTCGGAAACACAAAAAGCAGTTTTCAATTTGCACCGCCGATTGAGAGAATCTTCCAACACTAATGCTGTTGAAACGCTACAAACAAAGTGTCAATTGCACTTAACCCTATCTATAAGCGCCTGATTTCAAACTAGAGCCTCAAAACAACGGTTTTTAAGCGGCTCAGACAGCACAGGAGCTCGCTTTAAGCTTCTTGAGCAGTTCTTGTTTTGTTCAAATTACATCAAATAAAAACACAAATGCAAAACTTTTCTAACTAACGAGTTGGGAACCAATAGTAAAAGATGTGCGTCACTGCACTTGATCTAAAATCTCAATGAAAACGCAGACATTGTCAGACAATGTAAGTATTTGGAATAAGTACAAACAAATCCTGAACTCCGACGGAAAACAAGACTAAAATAATTCTTGTTTTTTTATGTCTACAAAAGATTTGAAAATGAAATATTCATCAGTAGGAATTCCTTTCAGTTTGTAACCAACTAGGTCGAGGAGTGATTTTGCGCAATTGCCAAATATCACAATACCAACTCAAGCTAAGCCCAGTTTTGTGCATCACCTTAAATATCCGAAACTTTTTATCACTTTTTTTTTCATTCTCTGCTCATTAACTTAGTAAAGCATTTAAAATACGAACTAAGAATTCTTCAGAGTGTAAAGGATTGAATTCTTATGCATTCTGTTACAAGGCCCACATTAAGTGGAACAGAAATTCTTAATGAAAGTTTTGTCAAGGTTTATTTAATCAATTGAAAGCCTTAAAGGTTAAACTACGCTAGCTGACCAGATCTAGATGAAACTAAGATGATAAATAAAAAAAAAGTCCATTTGAAATGTATACAGCACATTCTAATAACTCCACACAAACCGCATTAATATAAACATCTTTCCAAGGTGCTTCCAAATTAGTCAGTATTATTTACTGAAGATTGTATGCGCGTTCCTTTTGCGGTTTGTGTTTTGAAAGCCGGAGAGCCTCCTTTAATAATTATCGTCTCGAGTATTTTTTAGACATAGTAATTGAATAGATAAAAACAATCTTATTACAGTAAGTAGCTTAGATTTCTTGTGTTGTTAGAAATGTGGTTAGTTCTCGCATGACCTTTCCCTTCGATTTTTTTCCATTCAAATATTCTTAGTATGAAAAAGTGTAACAACTTTGAAAAAAATCTAAAAAGACTTCGAGATAAATTAGCAGGTAATTTAGTGTTAACAACTGGGTTGAAAACGTAAATTAGCCACCGTAAAGGGTAAAAAAGCTGACGTTTCGAGCGTTAGCCCTTCGTCAGAGCGATTAGTAATCGCTAGTAATCGATTAGTAATAGTAAACGTCAGCTTTTTTACCCTTTACGGTGGCTAATTTACGTTTTCAACCCAGTTGTTAACACTAAATTACCTGCTATACTCTCCCACCGACGCAGCACCACAGTTTCTTTAGAAACTTACCCCTTTATTCGAGATAAATTAGCTTTGTTATTCTGTTTACGAATGAAATCTAGTGAAAAATTACACTGGTTTGAAGACAGAAGCTCGTTCGTGTAACTTTGTGGTCCAGTATTGACTGACGGAAATTTGCGCATACAAAAGGAAATGAGAAAACACTTTCTTGTTGAAACAAAAATCTCCGCAAGAAAAAGAAGAGTTGTACTTAAGACTTCTTCTTGTCTCTTTAAAATCAATGAAATCACAATTTCACACGCGACGAGTTGTAAAATTAAATCTTTGTTCACGTACACATACCCAGAGTATCCCACGAGTCGGTACTTTCAAAAACAATCGTTCTATACCCGACAGACGTGCGAACGTTCGAAACGTCCTTTAAAACTGTTTACGTTGGCCAATTTACGTCATCAACTCAGTTGATAATACGAAATTACCATGATATACTCTCCCACCGACGCAGCACCACAGTTTCTTTAAAAACTTAATCCCTATATTAAGATTACATACACGACAGATTTCAGAGCTTTGTTATGACAGCACTTTTCAAACACTTTGAAGAGAAGCACTTTCTTCAAAAGTCAATAACTCGTTCGATTTTCCCTTATGGACAATTTCCAACCGAATTATATTAATATTAATATAAACTTTTTATATTAAATATTGCCGGAGGGATTTGTTAATTTCACAAACGTGATGCAAGCAACGTCGACTTTTAATGGAAACTAAAAGCTACTAAAGTTTCCAGGACTTAAGCTATCGATAACTCAAAAAATATGTATAAATTCACTTTAGTGTACAACAATTAGCGATAAGTATCAACAGAAGAGGATTACAAAGTGAGAGGATTTCGGTTTACACTAAATAAAAAAAGACTCACAAATGTATCGGAAACAGGATTTTTTGTAGATCACCAATTTCTATTCTTGCGCAGATTTTTGAACAGCAAACTCCGGCTTTTAAAAGTGAAACAACAATTTCTATCTATAGATTTCTAGCTATTTCTTCTTTTTTAAAGTCATCACTGGTAAAAAAAAAACTTTGCATTACATGAAGGTTTTAAGTTCCATTTAAAAAGTATATTTCAACATTTAGCGCTCCTTTCTTGCAAATAAGCATGTCCTGAATAATGGTTAATTCCATTTATCAAGGTTACTATGAACAAAAGATTGAGGCACAAGTGTTTTGTTGAGACAACTAACTCTTTGTTACTTCATCACCGCTTTGAAGTTGCCCTCAAGAAAGAAGATTTTTAAAATTAATACCCATGAAACATTATGAGCGTGGGATACGGTACATCTGTTACCTCTCGATTATTTTGAGATAGAAATAATGCATTCATTGGCATGATTGTGAGTGGAAAAGTAAAACCGTAACGAAAATTAACGTTTCTTTGGTTCAGTAAAGTGTATTACTGAATTCGGCTACTTGGTAAACAGCTTAAGAGTCTTGAGCTGTTTACCAAGTAGCCGAATGTCACTTAGTTTTCAGTATGCCTCTGAAGTTTAGAACAAAAAAAAAATATCTTGGAGCTCAAAAGATATCGGCGTCACCTAAATAATGTTGATTTTCGAGTGGTCATAGCAATCCTCTCAATTACACCCCTGTCGCTAAGTTTTCACGATTTTAGACGAAGAACTGTAAACTAGCCGGAAGGTCCTGTATCGCGCCGAGAGGCTGGACTCTCAAAGATTTAGGAGTTGCCTTTAAAAAGTGTGGTTCGAAAAAACTATTGAGAATCATTTTGAACATTTTGTTTAACTTCTGTGGTTAAAACAGAAAATAAAGGCTTCCTCTGCAACATGACTACCCGAAAAAGCCGATGCGGAATCTCCGTCTTTCTTACAGAGTTCTTCCCATCCACCTCGTACAAAGGGCTTGGGTTGCGTGAAGCAGAAGGAAAGCTAGGTGTTTTACTACAGGCGGATTCGAAACTAAATTCAACTATTCCACGGTTACACTTTCGACTTCTTAATTCTGAAAGCAACGGTGGTTGATAATTTCCGAAATCTTCCGGGTAACGTAAAATTTTTTTTGTTCTTTCACCTCTGGTGTAACCCGCTAGCTCATTTCAACAGATTTTTTTACGCTTCTTCAAGGACTCAAAATATTATGAAGTAGCTGCTTTAATTCCGAAAGCATCCAACGGTTGTAGCCTACTTTATCTACCCCCCTCGCCCTTCCCTTTCTCGACCAATAGATTGTACCCAGTCCTCTTCTTTCCCGTCGATGCAAGGTTGAAAAGAAACGTGCAAGAACTGGGTACCAAGTCTGCAAGTCATTGATAGAGTAGACTCCGAGAGTGGAAGGAGGAAGGACGTCAGTTTGCCAACATTCCTCATTCCACTGCACTCACTTTTAGAAGAGAAACTTCTTACCGCTGCAGCGACCTTCGTGTTTCTTCTCTATCGGCTTCTGTACTCGGCATACTTCTTTCCTCATTACGCACATATTCAGGTAGGTTTTGCCGTCGTTGCCACAAATGATTTCTCTGCCGTTAGGGCAAGTATGTTGAGGGCATCTACATTCGACATAACCATGCGAAGTGTTCACACAGCGATCATGGTACTTACACGTCAGTCTGTCACAAGATTCGCCTGATAAGAGAAATAAGAGCGGATTCATATGTGAGCGGCCCGCATACTGCTAGGATTATCGTTGTCGAAAGCGAAATAATAGTGATAATTATAAGAGGAATTAAGTGGTGGACTTTCCACTGAGTGGCTTTTCTTGTCCTTTGTTTCCAGGTCAAATTTAAAGTTAGAATGTTGGTTTTCGTAGGGGGAGGAAAACTGGACGACTAGGTGAAAAAGAGCATGGACGAGAACCAACCAAAAACTCAACCTTCATGTGACGCCAGGTCCGCGAATTGAACCCAGGCCACAGAGAAGGGGTGAGCGCGCTCACAACCGGGCAGGTCACGTATCAGATTTGAACCTAATAATTGTTCCCTGTAGCTTAACGGTAGGGTATGGGAGCACGAAACCTGAAAGTCTTGAGGTTCGATCCCTCACGGATAGGGACTCTTATTTTTCCTGACCAACATCTTTCTTTATTCAAACATTAAGCTCAAAATTTTTCTTTGTCATTATTCTATTTATTTATTTTCCCATACCCTGTGCAAATAAATGATTATCTCACCTACTCTCATGTACTTATAGCCTCATGAAATTAACTCACCTCTTTTACCTCTCCTGGCTGTAGTCGGAGTCCTTGGCCGTGAAGTCGGGTTTGTAGTTATCCCACCACCCGCCGGACTCCCGTTAGTCGGGACCACCGTGGAGGGATTGCGGGATTTCCGAGATATTCTGGACATGAACGTCGACGAAGTCTTCAGTGTCGGTTTCAGCGTGGTGATAGGATGCGAAGGACCTGGAACCAAGCAAGGGTAAAACATTGGTACGATGATTTTGCCAATGAAGTCTATAATTTAACGGAGGTACTCCCCTATTTTTCCCTTACCCTATCACAGAGTCAAATATATATATATATATATATATATATATATGAGAGGAAAAAAACGTGTGACGGTGGCTTGATAAACGACTGAGGATTGAAGCATCTCATCACTAAATAAGCGTATTTATCACTAAATAAGCGTATATTTATTCTGCTCTGCTTCAACGTATTGAGCACTGTTCCACGCGAAAATCGACTTGCAGACTTCCTATATATATATATATGTATGTAATTCTCTGAATGGAAGTCGGAATTAGGAGTCGACTCAGCCCTGTCTCGTGCTTTCGAGGTAAAACACTGAAACTTGGAAGTAGTAACTGAAACAATTCTTCGGGTTTAACGGAACAGATTTGTCAAGGATCGCTTAATATTATGTAAAAAGGACATCAAGAAGTTTTCTCATTTATTTTGAGCGCTTTCCGATTGAGTTTCTTAGAATCATAACCAAAGTAATCACAACAGCAAATCAGAAGAGAGGAAAATGCCTTTCAGAACCAATGAGAGCTAAAAGTAGAAACAAACCAAATTGCTTAAAGCGCGGGAAAACGCGGGCGACCAAGTCGTGATTGCGTTAAGTTTTGCATCTGATTGGTTGAGAGAGTGGTACGAGTTTTCTGAACCAATCACAGGGCGGAGTAAAGCAAAATCAATGAAATCCCGGATGACTTTCGGCGCTTAATTAAATGAAAATTGTTTTAATCCCACCAAACAGTCATAACTATATGCATGAAAGTCGCATGTGGATTTTTATGACGGAGGTGTCAATCAATTTTTGCGTTCAATCCTTCAATTCAAGTTTAATAGAGAGGGCGACTTACTCACCACAGTAATTGCAAGACTGCGGACAAATTTCTCGCATTTTTCTTCGTTTGCAGTATTCAGATTGTTTAGCGAACACGTCGCAACTTCTACTCTTGTCCTCACATGCACCTGTTATCTTTGCTGAAAGAATTTTTGAAAAAAAAAATTCAGTAAAATTCATGAAATTTTATTGTATGCAGTGAACACAGCGGTCAAACGTTGGCCATGCGCGAGTGGATCAGTTGTAGCCGGCCGCGCGCCGATTTACCGCACAAAATTTAAAAGAAAACGCTCATAACAAACAACTACTGTCTCGCAAAATAGGGGAAATGAAAACTCTAGACTTTTGCAACAAAAGGCTTATTCAAGTACGAGAATCCTCCTGATTTACCATTCTGTTTGGAGCTATACCAAAAAAAGGTTATACGCATTTAAAACACCGTGACTTACTGGCTTGTGTGGTTGTTTGTAACTCGCGTGAGACATCAGAAAGCATGTCACCTTTTCATTACAACGTTCGCTCATGCACAGACGTTTGACCGATGTGTTTATGCAGGGTTGTTCAAAAGATTTTGAGTAACCGGACTGTGATACAAAATAAGCCACACAAAGACATGCTTCCATGTTGATAATTGAGGCAATAGCATTCAGAATATATGGCGAATTTTTCAGAGTAGACGGTGAAATGTACCAGTTGCCAATCACTTTTAACAACCCTGCCTGTAAGATTGGGCACTTGATGACAACTCTAAATTATAAAAACTGAAATTTCTCCAATAGCATTTTTTGCCTCAAATGGATGATCCTAACTATGAAATGGCTGTTGTTTACAATGTAGCTGTGTATACTAGAATGTAAAAAAAATGAATGAAAAAGGGAGTTTATGTTCAGTTTCAGAAGAATAACTGAATATACAAATAAATAGTTAGAACAATTAAGTTGTCAATTTATTATTGGATATGCCTTTCCACTTATTTGCATATGCCATGAACTGTTCTTTTTGTTACCTTTGCAAGTTTTAAGGCCAAGATTGACAGCAGGACAAAGGCACTTCTCAGCAGATTCCATGATTCTGCGACAATGTTCAGGGTCATGACATGGATTTTCCATACAACGGCTCACTGAAAGTACAGGAGAATATGGTTGTGTATACTTTACACCCAAGTCACAGCTTATCTCCCTTGCAAGCATTGTTTGGGGTTGTTGAGGAACATGCTCCTTCCCAAGAAGACAAGGGGGTTGAGGAGAGAGCAGATTTGCATGGAAAGCCTGCACATTAATTTTGCAGGAAGGCAAAAACAAGTTAAATACAAACAACTAGGTCTTTAGAGCCCTTAAATTTTTTTTTCCGAAAGCTCTGCTAACTAAGGAACTCATAAAGAGGGAAAACTAGTCTCAAGAGCAATTCCAAGGATTCTTTTACCAGACTGACATTCACATGATTCAAAATGGTAGCAAAGAGCAAAGGTCTGGTCATTGCAGGGTCCAATTTTTAATTGATATGGGGGGTACACCCATGGACCCTCTTGGCTTTGCTCTAAAGGCTTGTCATTATTCCCCTTGCATTAATACTCTACATTTGATACCCACCTGATTTGAAATAACAACACATGGATAATTTCGCATCATAAGTAACTCCATCTTGATACACTCCAGCAATATCTGCAGCTGAAAGTTCTTTCTGCCAGATGGCAAACTGAGAAATCTCAAACTTTCCAAATTTCTTGAGACTCAAACTGCTGCTAGGCCGTGCAAGTGTGATAACAGGTGTGTAATTCTGTTGGCGCAACGCAGACACAATTTCGGGCTTGTCGGTAAACGAGCTCAAATTTCCATCCTCGTAATACGCCAGTCCGTTCCGTTCCCTCCATGTAAAGGCCATATGCGTCCACAGCCCAACTTCTTCGTGAATAAACAGCGTCCACTTTTTATCTCTGGTTTCAAGAATAAATTTAAAACGTTTCAAGCTCTGGTGGTAATATAGCTGATATCCTGGACCATTCCTTTTGTTTGTGAAAGATCCTGATGAGAAGATATAGCCAGTTCCTTGAACCTTGAGCCAAAATGTCACTGTAAATCCATTCTCACATCTTGAGGGTTCTGTCACGCAATCTGCGTTAAAACCACCTTGAAACGTGACACAATACATTTTAAAAGAATGTTACGCTAAATTTATTTTTCTGTACCTTACCCAGGTCTTTACAAAGTGTAAACTGTGGTCAAAAGAGGAAGTCAAGTCAAGTGATGCAATAATTTGAAATTTATCAAGCACTTATTACCCGCAACCTACCTGACACTGATGACCATTTCAGTTTGATGCGAGACATTTTAAAATTGTCAACGTTCAAGCGTATAAATTCGCGACAGGGCAATTCATTTTTAAAACAGCTGTCTCCAAAAGCCACGGAGAACTGGTTACTTTTTTCAGTGAGAGTTTCACCTTTCCCAACCGGACATATTGAATAATTCAAGCACGGTCAACTTTGAGAAAACTGGGACCAAGTAACCTCAGGGTCAATCGATCGGAAGGTGCTGTACACAGATCAACCTTCGGCCGTTCGGAAATTCGTGCAAATCTCCGACGATTTCCGAATTCATGCCATCAAAATCATTATTCATGTGATCACCTTATTTAATGGAAAACGACGTATTGATAAAAATTGATCAACATTTCATTGCTTCTACAATCGAGGGTCGTAAGAAAACTAAAAACTTGAAAGTGGTTAAAAAGAAAACGAAAGATGTGACCCATATGTAAGCAAGCTCCCTGATCTGGGATATCATTTCTTACGAGTTGGAAACTCAATACAATCCTCTCACTGAGAGTAAACTGTTGACGAAATGACTGTGAAATACTGAAAGTGCCAGAGTTGCCTTTTATGAATGGTGCAAGTGAAGGAAAGTTTCAAATGTGCTTTCGTTTAAAGAAACACTGTCAAAACATCTTCCCGGGAAATTGATTCTACAAAACCACTAATTTTCTCAAGTTTGAACTTTATACTTCCGTCCTTGACGGTGATACAGGGTTAGGCGATGGTTAGTATCCTATACACGAGGAAGACTTTTATTTGATATCATTTGTCACCAAAAATACTTGATTTATCATTTGACAGCGTTTCTTTAAAATATTTGTGGGGGGTCTCTTATCACATGAAATTTTTGCGACATGAAAGAAAAACTGGCAACAAGAAAAAATTATACACGAAAAAAAAATTGCCAGCTGCAATGTGAAGAGGTAGAATCATACTGAATTATTGTTAGATATTACATGTTATTTGCAATTTTTACTTTGACCTCGAAATGAAAACATATAAACAAAGAAACAAACAAAGCACAAACACATTTTCCTCAAACGTGTTTCCGTATTGACAGAACCCAACCAAAATTTTATTGCAATGGTTAGCTCACAGTTTTTGGTCTAAAGGGGGCGGAGAGGATTTTTCAAAATTTTTTCCTGATACTAAAAATAATTGAAGGTGTCGCAAAAATTTCATGTATAAGGGAATGTGCGCGAAGTGAAACCGTACTTACAACCAAACGGCTTTCGATCGCGACCGGCTATGGGGAGCGAACTGCATTTCCGACTCCTCCCTAGAGGAGAGTGTGTGTCAGTCGACAGTTAAGTGGCAATTAACAAAAAAATTGGGTTTGGGTGCTGAAGGAGGAAAAATTTTTTTTTGCGCCAAATGGAGACTATCGTCTATGAAGGGTACCTTTCTGGTCAAGATTGATAAATAACAGGATTTTGTTTAAAAAGTAACGGAAAAATCAGGTATAAGACCGCGACGAATCTAGATAGTTGATTCAACTAGGGACATTGTTAATCAAAAAGAAATTTACGGATTACTCAATCGCAGTCGTTAGCGTTTGTGACGACTGTAACACAACTTAACAAAAACTAAGTTTTTGGGGGAGGGGGTACAGTAGGTCTCTCCTACCCCTTCCATAGAAAAAGATCTGCTACTGTTGATCGCATTGAATGTCGCTCCCCTGGGGGTGTCACAGACAATACGTCTGTCGATACACTCTATACTCACCAGTATCCACCCAGTCATCTATTCCATCCAAGGACAATGCATGTCCCAGCTGAGGTACTACCACAATCTTTCCTTCATGTACGACGGTGTGAGCTGCCCCTCTAACATCCTCGAGGATTCCATTCGTTATGTTGTCCATTGGCCAGTAATGTTCAGCGCTCAGATAAGGGGAGCCCCATGCAAGAGGAAATGGGTAGGCTGAGGTAAGGAAAAACAATGGTTAAGTTTGTGTTTCAAACCTGAGCAACCACGATAAATTTTGTCAGTGTTGAGAAAAATGTGATTGCTGATCGTTGTGCTTACATGAATCGTTGAATGGCTTGTCCTTGTATATCCACGACGTGATAAGAGAACAGACATATTTTACCGCCTGGGGTGGGGAGTCGGAGGATTTTGGCTGTCACAATAAAATTTACCTGATCTCCTCTAAGGCTCTGTAGTATTATAATGACGCCCCTCCCCCCTCTCCCCCTCTCATTGCGGTCAATTTTCTATAAACCCCCTTTCGAAGACTGATCTCCTCTCCATTCCCCCGAAAACCACGTGATACCCCTCGCAAAAAACTTCTCGGGACCTCCCCCCGACCCCTCCCCGGACCCCCCCTCCCCCCTCAGGCAATAGATATTGAGTGATCCCGAAGTCCAATAAAAATGTGAAGGTTATGAAATAGAGTATGATATGAATACAAGAGAGAGTAAATGGATTGGATTTGTGGACTGAAAAGAGGTGAAACCTGAATGCAGTAGTAGATAAACAGTTCTGGAAATGGAAACATGTTTTGTCTGACTCGCTTATTGAGCGATGCCAGAGAAAAAATAGCAGAAAGAGGATATAGGATGGAGAAATTTTTTTAAAACAATCCGATCGATATTTCATAATCGTAATAATAACAATATAGAATTTAGAAATGAACATTCCACGAGGTCGCTCTTCTTTTCCAGCTTTATTGGTCGAATTACATTTTAAAATATTGGTTTTTGTGGAGAGAGGAAAACCAGAGGACCCGGAGTGGACCCTCAGAGCAAGGACGAGAACCAACAACAAACTAAACCCACAAGCAACGTTAAATACGGGAATCGAACCCAGGCCCAGGGGTTAAGGTAAGTCCCCCTACCATTACTTTCTCCGTTTTAGTTTAACTCTTCTCGTTCACAATGGCTTGAAAGGCTTCGACTAAAAGTATCCACAAACGGCAGCTGAACTAGCTCTAACCCATTACACCCTAACATCAGTATTAATATTCTCCATACTTTCTCCTCACTGTTCTCTAAGGGTGATGAAAAGGAGAATTTGTTTAACCATCAAGAGCTTCTTTAGATGGTGATCACATCCTTTATTCTCATGAACTTGATGTGTGATTCAGGGATGTAAGGAGAAATTATATTTTAGTCACCATTACGGGCCAAAGAGTTAACTAAGTTCCTTCTTTTTAAGCTACATTCCTCTTTCCTCACTTTCATGACGCGATCGACCCTTTGTTTAATGGCAATCAGTCACCTCTCCCTTCCCGTCCTCCCAATTTATTATTCCAAATCTCTTGGGCTAAACAAATACCCAAGTATACTACCTTTAGACAAAAATTATTCCGCAGAAAATTCTTGCATGAAATCGACACTTTACGACGCGATTTAAAACATACGATGGACAGGTTTCATCACACTTACCGGCCAAAAAACTGTTAGCAAATGTTTGTGAAGATGAATAAAAGCGCAGTTGAAGAAGGTGAGTGTATAAGTTAGGTGATAAGAACGCTTAGCAAATCACGAGTGGTTACGACGAATGGAAGCAATACATGAATAATTAGCCAGCAGATCGAGAACGGTGCGCCGTCATGGGCGCAAAAACTGGAGAGCACAAACTTATGGCTAACTTTTTAATTCTAGCGTTTCAGTGAGATTCGAGTGCAGGGTGCGTACTTCAAGCGGCCAGCAGGTAAAGTGCAATTGACGTGCGCGTGCGCAGTGAAGCCAAACTGGTAGTTACTTACAAGATGTACGCTGCAAAACTAAACAGATTCCAGAGTGGTCAAGTTCAATGAAGCCCGGCATCGTCAAGATAGAAAGAAATAAAACGTACAGTCAAAGAAACAAGAAAGTAATAAGATGTTTTGAACATAACATAGTTGTATGAAGTCGCAAGACAAGAGAGTAACAAATAAAGTACAGAAGGCTTCAGCAAAGTCTGCATTCACCCCCCTTCTCCCCCCCCCCCACCTCTTGGAAATTTGGCGAGTTTCTGCAAAGTGCCCTGGTACCTACTCTCGGGTGAAGAGCCTCTGAGTGTCAAGTCCTGACATCTCACCTACAAATTTCCATATCCCTTTGCGAAGGTTCATGAGCATAATCAAATTTATACTTATTTTGAAAGTTTGTCACTGATTGTTTTTGATTTCATTCCGTACGACTTCCTGTTTTTAGATCAGTTAGGGTTTATCAATAGTTTTTATTCACTTCTCACCACCGAGTAATAAAAATGAATAGGTTTATATCTATTAGATCTATGCTTATCGAAAGTAATACTAACAATAAATTTTTTTTCATCGAGGACCCAGAGGTGCAGTTTGTGCAGTTTCGAGTTTAAGTATTGTACCAGGTGGACATTCTTAACGTTAAAAATAATTTATCAAGGGTTCAGTGTTGTATCTTTGGAGTTCGGTATTGAACACTACATTGAGAGAAAACTGAATTTGAATTTTTGTAATTTCGTTATGCAATAAAAATTAGAAATACGTCTGATAAATATCTAACGTCATCAGGTCAGACAAATTGTCGTTTTCATAACTAATAAATAGAAGTTTCAAATCGAGTTTGTTCCTTTTATATTGAAAGAAAAACAACTGGTTATCAAAAACTCTGTTATGTCAACAAAGAGTTCTTGGCGAGCTTTGGTGACCGTTTGATTCATAAGCTGAGAAAAAATTCAGGATATGCACCTGACTGAGGAAGAAAATGAGAAATTCTATGCGACTGAAAGTAAAAACCGCATTAAATTTTATGTTTTTTATCAATGAAGATATGCCAAACTCGCTGTCACGGCTAACGAATATCTAAAAGTTGTGTCTATAGTAGTGACCACAGAAAACTTTGGAAAGATTAAGAATTCTGTTATGATACTTAATAAATAATGTTATTTAACGGTAAACGAAGAAATCGTTTCGATAAAAAATTTTCTATGAGATATGAAGGTTTCAACCACAAAAAAAATGTACTTTTTTGAGTATTGTTTCGACATGGAAGCTGTAGTCATGGTCAGTATAAAAATCTTAGTTCATAATAATCACAGAATATCTGATTGACTTTGCAAACAAGTGACTGATCCGAGTTAATCATGCAAATTTGGAGCTGACGGACAATCACTTCAAAACTCCATGTCAGAGAAACCTGCTGAAAGTTGTGTTTCAAATTTTGAATGGTTTCATTGTTAAGCTTCAGCACACCTTGACGAAAGAGGAATCACAGTGCTACATCTTATCTATCTTAGGCTAGTAAATTATTCATCTCTTTTGTGTATGCTCTAAAAAAATTTAGGGGCCGGAGTGTATAATTAACGTACATTTGCCTACAAGGCAAAAATGTTGAATGTGTAAACTAGCCAACGAAACGAGTACACGAATACTAATTTTTTTAATTTGACGTTCAGAAATTTATCAAAGAATTACTACGATTTCATTCGTTTTCAACAATGTCTTGATTCGTGAGAATTATTTGCAAACGGAACTTATGGATAAAATGTTTTCAAACCACTCTCCAAATGCGTCATTACATGATAATTTAACGATAGCAGAACGAAATTAAATTAGATATAACATCAATATTTTTTACAGAAATCTTAGGAGAATACTTACCGACGACCAAGACCCAAAATATGATCCTGTGGATAACAGTGAAATTCCTAACGCTTCCGCTCATAGTCAGACATATCCTGTTTCTCTCGCCATAAAATAATGTTAAATGAATTCACAGCAAAATTTTCACAACATTTCTCACGAAACTTCGTTCGTGTCAGCGCGTCCAACTCATTTTGATCTCGATCACTCGACGGCTCAAGACAGATACCTGAAAAACAACAATCAACGATGAATACTAAATTCACAAGTAATTTTTTTGTACCTTGTAAAAACCCTAGGAGATTTGTTCTAGCTCAAGCGACACACCGTTGGCTAAGATTTCCTTCTAACCCAATTAAAGTTCGTTTATCGCAAGAAGAAAGTTGACAGACGAAAATACCAGTCTTTGTTTAGCATCTAAAGCAAACCTCAGCTGGAAGCCATGTAGTTGTATTATACTCGACCAATATTTGCACAGTTGGCCGTCAAACTCGCATCTCCTTTCCCCCAATCTACACTGAAACGCTTTACGAAAATCATCACTTTTTTAAAAGTGATTATCCTTCGCAGAACAAACATGGTTTATCAATAATGCACGTGCAACAACCTTACATAAAGAGATTCTAACGCTCTTTTCACTCCTCCAATCGTACGGCACAATATCATCTTCATTATTTCCTCATTATTTCGCTTCGTCGTTACTGTGAAATGTTTCTCACTACCGGGTGGGAAAAATTTGGTTTTGAAAATAAAACCAATTGATACTTAAAGTCGAGATTTTAAAATATTTATTACAATTGTTTCACCACGTAGATACAAGGACAATGGTGTTGCATTCTGAAGATTTTTGAAATGGGTTTGTTTCGAAATGGAGGAAGCTTACTCGGCGCATAAAGGTTGCAAACTAATATATCTATGCTACACTTGTATTTATTAATATCAATTGTATGAACTGGATGAATGTATCCCTGTTCTGACCCTGCAGGAAAAAAAGGCGGGAAAAATTTTGTACCTCCTACGATATGATTTATCATGAAGTATTGTTTTTTCATTTTCTGGAACAGAATTCGTCTATGGAACATTGTGGTTGCTGATAAAGATTCATTCCCTGAAGGTTTATTTATTTTACCATAAATTGAATGTTCGCCTTGGCCCCCTCAAGATTTTATCGATTCTACAAGCAATAAAATTGATTGTAATCTTGTTAAACTGATAACAGTTGGGATTTCACGGTCTATTTCGTTTGAGTCAAGACGTGCCTGTGGTCGTCGACTATTGTAAGGAAGTGTTTCCTGTAATATACTGTGAAGCCTCTAGAAAGCTGTCAGTCTGTTTGCCAAATCATAAAAAAAAAGCCAAAAATATACCAAGTTTAGAATGTTTTGTCAACAGTGTGATCTCTGTTGGTTTTAAATAAAGAAAATATCTTCTACGATTACAAAAGGATAACAAAAGAAAAAAATGTCAACACGTACAGGAAACAAAAATAAATGATTCCTAACCTTTCTGTAGACCATTTTTATAAAATTTTTAAAAATAGCAGGATGTTATTTGAAGCAAAATATTGCAACGATTTGCATTATCTAGGTTAAAGAATTCCGTCGAGGACTTAAGATTCTTGAATGCAAATTTGTTGTAAGATTTTGCAAGAGCGCCCATCAAGCATTTTTAAATCAACAATTTTACGTTTTCAAGAAGCTGATACCGGCTATCTCATGATCACACAACTAGCCGCCAATATGTCTATTATTCAAATAGAGCAAGCTACCTACTTGAATTTCTCCACGTTGTTTCCTCAATAGTTTGAAATTTTCATGCGATCCACCCAAAAATTACGCGTTCAGAAGAACATATATTTCTGATCTGTCTTCATTTCTCTATAATCCTTTTATTTTCTGGTCTGATAAACCTAAAGTGATTTCATCGTTTGATTGTCAGACAGTAACTGAGTATCTCGTCGTCTGGATCCTTTCTCATATTAGTCTATGTATTGTTATCTTTTAATCTGAACAGAATAAATAAGCAATATTTGCAAATTAAAAGGGATGGTGCAGCTTACGATCGCACCTATGTCTCGGCTTCTTGTCTGAAATTCAAAACTTGCAGACTCAGGAATCAAAATAATGTATAAAAATTCCAAACTTCAGGCCAAATTTCATGTCAGCTTGTCTTGTAAGTGAGTCATGCAAATCAAGTCACGTCTGACGGTTGAGAGAAATGAACGCAATTTGCTGTCGATTATTTGACAATTTGCGCCTTTGTCGATTTGTAAGAACGGTGCAAAGATTGTTTGTTGCTTCTAAAGGCTGCAATTTATGTTACAAACTTATGATAAACAATTTTATCCGAGTCACTTAAGGTTTGCATGATCATGATCATAAACTACACTGAAGTGCATGGTTGTATGTGTTAATATATAAGAATTCATTCCTAGGATAATGGTTCTTCGCGTATTCATTCTGTGGCCAAGGTAATAATACAATAAATTTGTTTTCATGATCTGAAATTGAAGATTGTAGAAACAATATAAAAATGTAATTAACTTTGAATAAAGAATCAGTATCGTGAAGCCGTAGTTTTGAGGAAATTGACTATGGAAAATAAGCCGCGACTTAAGGTAATCTGTTTAGGGCGTCTCGGTAATAAATAAACCGACACGTAGGATATTTTTATTAAACAGATCTTGGAGCCGTCTCAGTCCCTTTTTCAATACTCCCATATAAATAGAAGAGCGAGTCTGGGTACGACTCCCAAGGATCGTCAAATGGAAGAGTGATTTTGTTAAGGAACGTAAACACACATCACAACTTTGGATGCTCTTCGTCATATAATACTCCAGGGCGTTTTTGCCCCTCTACAGCATTTTTTTATGAGACGTTTAAAGTAAAGGGCAATTTAGAAACTGTTTTAGTATAACCTGGATGATAATCAAGAGAGATATATCGCCGTCATGAATTTTACAAAAAAGCTGACGCTTAGAGAGTTAGTGCTTCAGTCTCTCGAAATGTGAGTGGTTGAATAGAATTGATACGACATTTTATCTCCCTTCATCATCTTCTGGCTGAAATGGTCTAGAAAATATTCCACTCTTATGCAGACGTAACGCAAAAGTTCCTCTAGGAACTTATAACTTCGCAACACACAAACTGTTGTGTCACGCATTCTTGAAAAAAGTTGTCGATTACGTATTGTAACGGTTATAAGATCATACGAAGAGACGAGTGAGTTATCCAAGGCATTGTTAATGCAAAATTAAGCACTCTTATTATAATTATGCAAGAATTGAATTAAAACTTACGAACCCCGGGTTCTACCTTTTTCTTCGAAAGTGCCTTCGATACAATTTGAAGTCGAACCTACACCACACGCTGTATATAATTTGGAATTTTTTTTAGTTTGTACTAATGTTTTCCAGAATATAGGCTAACTTTATGAGCTTAGGTTTTGGTTTTTAAAAATAAAAATATTGATTAAGTCTGTCGGCTGAAGAATATAATGCGATTCTTTTGAAATATTTGCCTGCTCGTCTTTTCCAATAAGCTTGACTCCAGAATTCTCAGCAAGATCAGAACGTGACAGGATAATGCAAATATTCTTTGACTTAAAGCTTAACTTGAAAGACATTATTTTAAAAATAGGAGGAAATACAACATTAAAATTACTTTCCTACACGCATTAGATACAGCAGTTTAAGTCCTGGTTTCTTAGTAAACTTTGCATCGAAATGTAAACATTCTCGCCAAAATGTTTCACCTTATGGTACAAATTAAATCTATCTACCGATAACAATTTTCTTACCATGTTTTTTTAACAAAGCATAATTCCCCTTTAGGAGCGGCAAAAGACAGTCGATGAAACGAAAAATCGGCTAAATTCCAGTTAAGATGTTTCTTGATGTAAAATATGAAAAATACGAAATGTTTTCAATGCTGCCAACAAGCAAGTCGTTTAAGACATCTATCTGATTTAGCAACGACAATATTTCATTGGAATTCAAGATCTGAATCTTAATTAATGGTTTATATCCAGTAGCCATTTACTATTCAGAAAGGATTTAAGAGATAAGAAAAGTCCCTTACAGAGGAGAATTATTGATAAAAGTGATAGCGTCATGAAATTTTTATTCTGGGTGAGTGGAAGCCGTGGTGAGAAATATCTCTCTTCCAGCTGACCCGTCGATGTTTTTCTCATGCGAATATAATGAGAGAACTCTCTTGATTACAAATTTACTGTTGCCTGGTCATGCATTGCAGATTGAAGGCCCAAAAGGCAAAGTACCGCAGAACTGAATGGAAATATCTTTGGAAATCATCAAAGTTTCCGTAACAAATAACTTTGGGAACTGAAAATGACTATCAAAGTCTCCTTATTTGATTCCTAAGCCAGCGGTAATTGAACAAAAACTGCCTTGTTATTTGTTTCTGTTTGAATCCGAAATTCAGAACTCTCATGTCGTAAAACGCACGAAAAATGTTCAGTTATTTCATTGGACTCCATATTCACAAACCATGACTAACCTTACAAGAGGCCAAGCCGGTTGGTGCAGAACAGTGATAACGTTTGATATATTAAGCACAGCATCACCAATCCTAGTCAAATTTAATCTGTGCAACAAATACTTCAGTTTCACGAGTGCTCCGCCAGAATGCGAATTTGACGCGTGCTCCGCCAGAAAGCGAATTTGACAAGTGCTCTACTAGAATACGAGAACGTTTTGTATCACTATTAACTGACACTAGTCAAATCAGATTTATTAGAAACTTTTAGTGAAAGAATGGGTGAAAAAAAAATCACATATCTATAGGTGGTGAAAGTTAAAACGTCATACGAATAACACCGTGATGTATTTAATTGGTTTTAGAAAAGGCACATCAATTATAACAATGACAAGGATACTAAAAGGTAATCTGAAACGAGGAGTGGGAGAAAAAATATATTTATTGCCAGCTATCTTGACAATCGAGAGCAATCCAGGAGCTAGTCATACTTTTAGTTGTCAAAAGGACACAGTTGTAAAATCGAAAAAGGTTAGATTAATTAACTCTGTTCTTTATCGGAGGCAAACTAAATATTGCTGAAAACCTTTATTTCAGCTTAGACTAGGCGTGGTTAATGAACAAAGATTTTTACAGAGGATTTGGCTTCATCGGTAAAAATTTTAATTTTTTTTCAGTGCTTAATTTTTTCTTCATCATTTTTGTTTATTCTATCGACCTATCGTTTTTACGCCCTTCACCATTTTCAAGATTACACTCGGTGAAAAGTTCGAAACATTATGATTCTTTGAAGCATAAATTATGACAGCGTATTTTTAATTTGAAGTGCTTCGTCGATTCGAATTAGACTAAATAAAAATACAATACATTGGTTGTGAGTGTTAATTTACAGTCGAAGTTATTTTAACTCGGGTTAATTTGAGAAAACGTCTCACGCTTCATATCGGCTTCCTATTAATAGGTGTCCTTAGCTGATAATCCAGTAGCAGGAATGTCTTTTATCTATTTATCACAGAAATAACAAATATTATGCTCGGATGGAATTCAGCTTGAATCACAAAAGTCGACGAATGCAATATTTAATCACTGATAATGATTAGTGTTACCACATGCCTTGGACTTTCGATTCCTTATTTTCATCGACCATGATCACAGTTGAATGGAAGTCAAAATTTCAATTCATTTTTTTTCGAGCAGAATCGTGGAAGAAACCAGCAAAAAATTTCTCGAGAGAAGAAATAGAAGTCTGCCATACAGGGTAATATTTGCTCCCGCCTCCTACTGAGCGAAAGAAAACCATAAAATATGATTAGATAAGAGAGCCAATGCCGTGCGCCCGAGTAAATGAAAATTTTTATCAACATACACCTCGAATCATACAACTCAAACTGCTGGATCGTTATTTAATTTTCTAGAATAATTAAGTTGTACAGAAGATTCGATTGCAAAACTTTCGTGTCTTTTCGGAATTAAATTGTTTCATATCACGATGGGGAAGCCATTGTCACGATATACTCAATTTTATCAACTCTCTGTGTCAGTGCTTTAGTAAAAATACGATAGTACGATAAAATGGAGTCATGTGTGAATACTTTACCTTATTGCTGACCCACTGAACATTAATATTTCAAGCGTCCTGTTGAAGTTGTCTCCACTTCATACTCAAATTCGAAGACGACATGATCATGAAAGTTTGTAGCTTTTCTGAAAACGAGAATACTACTTTCATTATTATCTGAATAAAGTTTACAGAGTTAAAAGATATCTCCAGAGATATCTTTAAGTTCAAAAGCGAGATTTACCGTAAAACAAAACGTACTCCTATCGAGATATATTGCCTCACAGTTTACTGTGATTTTTGCAAAAGTTTTCGTATCAACTGAATGCACCCGTGAGCTTGTCTACGAAGTAGTAGAAAGTTTCACCAGCCGCTTTCGGTGTGGCGCTAAGAGAGTTTGGAAAATCTTCCAGAATAGGTTATGTCCCGCGGCTAGAGCCGTTTTTAGACTCGACCTTTCTCTGAATAGTTGAAAGGAAAGCAAAATAGCTTGGCCTTGTTAAACATTTATGACTCAGCTATTGACTGATACAAGAACACAGCAAGAGAACGTAAGAACACAAAGATAAGCCGTTCTATAGGCAGCCAATGGCTTGCTTGAAACTGTTATTTAGTCAAACCCCCGAGAGATGGTCAAATACAATAATCTCTATGCATTAAAGAGATACAACTCTGTAAAAGGAACTCGATCTGTTGAAGTTCATATGTCGTTCACTACTTCCTTACTTTTCTGAAGATTAAAAATTATGTTGCAGCAAAAAACTTAAATAGAACTAAAATCAGCTGTTTTTTTCAGGAAAAAATAGATCATGTCCATCCAAGACGCCAGCTTTTAAAAACCAGTCGTCTGACCTCTAAGATAATTCAGATTATTACTTACTAGACCTAATTTTTCAAGTTACTGGAATTTACGTAAGAGATTAAAACTCACGTTATCTGTTGTAAAACCACTGTGAGAAGGACGTGTTTTTTTAGAATTTTTCTGGGAACCGTAAAAAACAAACTTTTGAGGCTTCGATAAAAGCAAATGAACTCTGTCATTTGTAACTTTGTTAGATGATGTTTTTAAATTATTTTCATTTTTTAGTCAAAGATTGACTTCATTTGAAAGATTACACATTTCTTCTTCCATTTGATGAACACTTATATTCTCTCAACCATCTCATCGAACTGAACTTTGATATTCAACTTTGAAATATGTTGCGTGAGAGATAAACACAGGAAATTGTTCATCTAAAAAACAAATTTATGACTTTTACTCAAAATTAACTGTCGTTTGTGCATAACTTAAATAAGTGTCAGCTTAACAAATTAAACAATGCGTGCAAAGAAAAATGTTTAGTTTTTGCACGCTCCTCTCGTTGCACATGCATCACGCTTCAAGCGCGCCTCGGGCTTTTCTCCGTTCACTTGACAAAAACAAAAGATTATTCCCGTTCTGCAGGCTGTGCAAAATATTTCGCCTAAGATACTTGCTATTGTAGCATTATCAAATGACGCGTTTGGCCCCGCGAGCACTTTTACGAGGAAAAAACAACCACCTCAAAAAAATCTCGAAAGAGGGACGTAAACGATGGCGTGAGCAGAGCCGTGGAAAAAATTTATATGGAAAAAAAGAGAAGAAAATGAAAAGGAAGAAAGAGGGTGTTAAATTCACTAAAATCTTAGTTAATTTTGTAAGGTCCGGCGTGAAATCTTTTTCCTCACGGTCAGGGAGTATAGATTTTGAGCCAAGAATGTTTTTCCGTCCGTCTCTCTCACTCAGCCAACAAGTTCATATGATGCTCCTGACTAAGAAAAAAGATAAATGAAAACTTCAGGCGATGATTTGTAATTTCAAGACGAACCCAGTCAATCCATACTTTATATTGGCCGAAATAAGGGCTAGAACTACGAAGAAAATTTAACAAAACAACAACGCGTTAAATTCAAACTGGAAACATTTATTTATAGAACAAGGAAAATATCCTGCTGTTTTTTCTGTTTGAATGTTTTTTTTGCGAGGTGAAATTTCAATTTATCTTAACTTTCATATATTTCAAGGAAAAGTAAAATTTCTCCCTAAAAATATCTGAGGGCTCGCCTCGTAAAGTAATGTATTTTGATATGAGTCCGTTTAGTCATTAACCTTCTACGTGTTTGGAGCTAGCTTTGCGACTGAATCGAAACATAAAACTGCAGATGAATATGACATGCATATCAGCTTATGTCAAACGGGAATATGTTTTCCCCTTTGTTCTTTTCAAAGAATAAGTAAATATTTGTTTTAGACGCTTAACCCGCTCTGTGACCAGCTGTTTTAGCAAATCGAGAAGCCGCAAGCGCATTGGTGCAAATTTTCCCGGGAAGAGGTTAGGTCATTCTTAAATAAATTTTAATTGGCTATTCTTCCTTGAGGAGATTTTAGCCAATCAGAGATGATGTTCTGTTATGTGCATTCAAAATACGCTACATGTCGCATGCGCATAACAGACCAGTCAGAGACTGCCGTGTCAGTAAGCCGCCGGGAAACATGACTTGCCTTTAGATCTTTTACTAAATTATTTTGCAAATTCTTTTGTTTAAAGATGTTGAGATCGTCGCAGATGTGGCTTGTTTGCTTTTTAGTGGTGCGTACCGTCTGTGAGATGTTTAATTCCCGCTGTTGTGCCGTTGAATCGCATGAACGCACGTTTGAAAATGGATAGAGGAAGCCACGTCGATGTGGTCTTTCATTCTTCCAAGTTACTACAGAAACTAACTCGTTGATTACATTTTGCAGGCTGTACTTTATTTTCCCAGCTCGTTTTGTGGTCATGTGGTGCAGCTCACAAGTCAAAATTTCGATCAAACACTAGGTAAGGTTTCTGAACTGATCGACGTACGCGATTAAGTTTTAATATTATTGTAAGCTAACTTCGACTCCTCTATCGAGAAACACTCTAAGTCAAAAATATTTGTTTCCGGAAATTTGTCTTACGGCTATTAACTATTTCATTTATCTAGTAAGGAGTTTATTCTGAACTTATTTCCTTGATTTATTTTTCTTTCAGCCGATAATAAACTGGTTTTCATAAATTTTTACGCCGATTGGTAAGTCACTATAATAAATCAAGCGAACTTGTATAATTTTCGTAACATTCGTGCGTTACTCAGGGGCTTCACATCAGCTGGAACACTAAACAAAATAAAGAGCTCGATCATATGCTGCTTTGTTTGATTTTGATGTGAAATGTGGGCTATTTGTTTTGTTTTGCGTGTGTTTTTTAATAAGGTATCAGACTTCCCATTAACAGCCTCTACATACCGCGTTTATACTATTAGACATGCATGGTTTCTTTCAGGTCAAAACGTCTCTCAATTCAGTCAACGATTTCAAAATAATCAGTTTAATTCCTTCAAAACAACTTTTTCTGATAAACACTGTAGATTGTCTTATACCAAACTTTACTGCATGAATACTTCAGCTAATTTACAAATTTTGCCCATTGATGATAAATGCAAAGTTGTATATAAAGCTGCTTTTATGTAATCGTGGAACACGACTGAAATTTAAACCAATCTTTACATTAAAGGCAATTTGAAATTTTTCAAAGCAACTCCAAACCATAGGAAAACATACACCTCTTAAGTTACAGTTGAAAATAAATTCTGGGAATATTACTTAAAAAAGTTGGTTTTTTGGATGAAATAATTTTTGAGATCATAGGATCAAAGAGTTATCTAATATCTAATATATTTATGATTTTGCTAAAATGCCCCCCTTGGATTCACTACATTTAGGTAGTCTACACATACAGATTCTGAAATTAATTTTAATACACAGGCAGCAATTGGCAGTTAAACATTGGCACAATTTGGTTGCTAAAAAAGTTTTATTCATTCAATTTTTTATTACTCATAATGAAATAAAAAAGGGCTGTCTTGTATTTTTTTCAAACTCATTAATTATTCTTAAGGTGATCATCTAACCAAGATACACCAATTTCGTTAGGTGCACGTGCTTTGAAACCCCACTGAAACACCGGAATGATGCACTATCCATGAGTTTCATATGATATCAAACCTTTGAGTTTGGTTAAGCATCAAGCTCCAGTCAACTCATTCCCCAAATTGTGAAATAGTCTTTATTGCGAAGCAAGGTGCGCAGAATCCCTCAGGTTCAAAGGAGAGATCATCAAAGCTCTTTATGGCACAGCATTCATGGAAAGCAGCTGTATAGTGTTGTCATTATTATAATAAATAGTTAATAATTCTAACTCCTTTGTAAACAGCTGAGGAATCATCCATGATTCAATTAAGTTAAAAGTTAAAAAAAGATATAAAAATAAACAGGGGGGAAATAAAACTTCAACTGACTTAAAAAATAAAAAATTGGCTGTAATTTGTACACCTGGATCTTAAAAAGCAAAAATATTTATTTCACATTCCAAGGACATAATGCAGAAGAAACTGACTGGAATTTAGTTGGCTTCTCTAGGACAATATTTTGACTGAATCACTCCGACAAACTTATTAATTAACCCTTTAACTCCCAGTTCAAATTTGTAATTCTCCTTACTGTCAATCATATACTTTGTATAAAGTTAGTTCAGAGAATTTGGTATTGGATCAACTAATTATCCCCAAGTTGATATTTTTCTTTATTCTCCTCACCTATCTGGTTGATATTGTATTTGTATTGTAAGGAGAAATTCTGTCTTGGTCACCTATGGGAGTTAAAGGGTCAAGACTGAGTGATTTGGTCGAAATATTTTCCAAGAAAAACCAACAACATGTATCTTTCAGTCAAATTTTTCTACATTTGATCTTTAAAGTTGACCTTTGTTAGTTTTTTTTCTCATGATCACATGCATCAGTGAGTTTATTCCATACAATTAACAGTCCAGTTCATAGTGAAGGTGATGAGTGTAATGTAATTTTATGTTTTTATCCTCTCAGGTGTAGATTTAGTCAAATGTTAGCTCCAGTTTTTGAGCAAGCTTCTGATCTTGTCCATGAAGAATTTCCGGTTAGCATTGTTTTTATTGTTACATCAATTGATTATCTATTTCATTCCCTGTTTGACAGATAAATTTCTGTATTCCTCAGAACTACTACTCCTTAGATTTGAGTCTCTGGTTCGTAGGATTGAGGATTTAGTTGTACTTTTAAACTCTCAGCATATAGTGAGCCAGTACTGGAGATAGATTGAGAAACTATGGTCGGAAGGAAAAGTTCCTCTGTAACTTTACTGTGAAACCATTCTGTCTTGATCACTGGTGAAATGATAATATGTACAGGCTTTTAACAGATTGTAAAGTGTTAGAGTAGTTATAAGGGTTTCTGCATCACCCTGGATCAGATAATGCAGATAGAAGTATAATTTCCAATAAATGCCACCTTCAAATGATTGCCGTACCCAACATGAAGAATGCAGCATATATTTGAGGAATTTAATTCATTTTGATTTAATATAAAGTAAGGTACAACTCTGTAATCTCCACTATCCATGAAAATTTCTCTGAAAAAGAGAGATGTAAATTGGTTCTTTGAACAAGGTTTAGTGTCATTATTGATATTTACGGATTATTTAGTGTAACTGTTATCTGTGGTTTAAGAAATGACATTTTAGAATAAACTCTACCTTTGATTAAGTCTTGCATCTCTAATTTAATGCAATATGTCTCTATGTAAGAAGAGACAGTGAGCTAGTGTTTTCTCTTTGCAGAGTGGGGTTGTGTTTGGTAGAGTGGATTGTGAATCAGAACAAGAGATAGCACAACGATTTCACATCACTAAATATCCAACTTTAAAGATGTGGAGAAATGCACAGGTAAAACATCACTGTTATAATTATTTTTATGATTGTATGTTATTATATGCGTGATGCAGCAGCCTAACAGTCCATGGGCTCTACTTGAGAGGTCCAGGTTTAAGACCTGGCTGGGTCAATGTCTTGTCTTGGGCTTCTCTTCACTTTGGAGTATAAATGAGTACCCATGAATTGTCAAGCAGGCCTGATGAAATGCAAGGGGGTAACCTTGCAATGGATTAGCATTCCATCCATTGGGGAGTAGTTATACTCCTGGTCTCTTCATGCTTTGGAAACTGGGATAAGCTCCAGCTGGGTGGGCTACTATGTTCGCAAACAGACTTCACCTTTATTATCCTATCAAGGCATTATCCTTTCTCGTTTGTAATACAATAAGTACCTTGAATCATCCAGGACCATAGTCTGTCCATCCTAAAAAAGTGACTTGTTTCCTTCCTTAACCCTCCCTGATCACTCACAGCATAACACTTAACCCTTTACACTCTAACATCAGTATTCATGTTCACCATACTGTTCTCTGTACATTAACTGACAAGGAGAATTTGCCTAATAATCAAGAGTTTCTTTTGTTGGTGATCATTTCTTTCATTCCCTAATATTCATATATTTTCCCACATCTGTACAATGTACTTTATGGTTCCTTGTAATAAAAGTTGTTATTTCTTATTGTTTACCAAAGAAGTACAGTAATTTATAGCAAACAGTATGGAGAATATTTTATGCTGATGTCAGGGTTCAAAGGGTCACATTAGTTAATTCAAATAATTATTGCTTATTCAGGTTGCAAGGAGAGAATACAGAGGTCAGAGATCTGTGGATGCTTTTTCAAAGTTTATCAAGGAACAGATGACAAGCAGAATTGCAGAATTTCATGCTTTGAGTGATCTCAATGTTGATGTAAGTCTGATAAGAAAAGTGAAGCATGTAATAAAAAGAGAGAAAAATCCTGGAAAATATGGTAAACATCTTAAAGAAAACCATGAAGATTCTTTCTCCATTTGGGTAACTTGCAGATGATCTGTGAGAAGTGATAGACGCTCACATGTATGTGTTTGTTTTACATTTCTTTTCATTTGTTTGCATTTTCTTACAAGAACTGCAGGGTTTGTTTTGTGGAAGATCTAATTTCTTTTATTTGCTCTGGTCTTTTTTATCGTGTTCTTGAGTTACTAGGATACTATTTAAGTATCTAACACCTTGGACTAATGGTTGCCTTATGTAATTTCATGGTGAGGTAGTTGTCTTTCCCAGGTGCACATTCCCTTGAAAAACAAGTTGTAGGAGTATGTTGGGCAATATTCCTTTTAGATTTGTGTACATACTGTAGTTTTATTTGTTTGGTGTTCTGGTTTTGTTTCCATAGACTTCAAAAAGAACTGTCATTGCTTACCTAGAAAGCAAAGACAGTGACAACTTCAAGACCTATGAAAAAGTATGTATTAATTGAATACAATCTGTGCAATTGTATGATTCAAGTTATTGTTAGGCAGCTTTTTTTATAAATTAATTTTTAACAGAATTAGCTGGCACATAACATCCATCCATGTGGCTGCTCTTAAGAAGACATTACAAAGTGACAACTAATGTTGACTTCAGTTTGCCACAATGCTGCCCTTCACTCATTCATTGTTGTACATTTACAGAAAATGGGGGAGGGGGGGAAGAGAGAGGGGGGGGAAGAGAGAGGGGGGGAGGTGAAATTTAAGGTATCTGGGATAAACTTGGTGTGCTTTTCCAGAATATTGCAATCCCAAAGGTGATGTGGCAATGTTTTGTTGTGGATTACAAGTTGTGTGAGAATGATAATATACAGAAAAGTTAAATGATGATGTTGCAAGGGTCAACAATATAGTAGAACCCCATCAACTTGAACTAATTTCACTTTCCCTTGGCTCAAATTTACCCTGATAACTCAAACTTTATGTAAAAATGTTGCCCAATAAATGTTAAAGTATCAAAATGCAAGTGATTGACACTTCCCAATTATTCATGGCAATTAATATGAATGTGAAAACTTTAATGGAAACATGATGCATTTAGCTATACTTCCAAAACTACATGTTCTTATCTGAAAGCTCTTGTAAAACAAACTAAATGTGTGAAACTGACTGTTGATTGTGCAATAATGGCTAAACCATTATTCTTTTTTATTATCAACTCAATAAATCAAACAATCGCTAACTGGAACTAGAGTTAAAGATAGTAGGTTTCTACTGTATTGCACTTGATTAACGCACTTTCACATTGAGTGTGTGTTTGCTGATTGTGCTTCATGTCAATTTTTGGGTTGTTGTTTTCAAGTAACTGATGTGTGTGATAGTTTTGTAGTTTGTTTCTCATCATACTAATTTTTTTTTCCTTTTTTTTCAGGTGGCAGAAGAATTCAGAGATGATTGCAATTTTCATGTTGGAGTTGGGTATGTTTATGGAAAAGCTTTAATTTGTAAAGTCTTCACAATTGAGTGAGTGCATGGGCTAGATGTAACTTCAAATTCTCGTTGAGTTTCACATGAGGATACAGGACAAAGCAGAAGGAGACTTTGTGCACTCTTTCAAATGACAGCTATCATGCACACAGCCAAAACAGTTATTACAAATTTAGTAACATTCAGTAATTGTTTTTTTGTAGGGATGCTTCTCTCAAAGAAAGACAGACAGGAGAAAACATTGTCTTCAGGCCTCAGCATGTGGGTGTATATGGAATAAATGATATTAATTGACATTACAAACTAATTGTGGGCCAGTCTTTTGAAGTGGAGTGACCTCTATTAATTGTTTTGAGCAAGATGCTGAACCAAATGAGCTCCTTTAGTTGGGAGACAAGAAAATAAATCATTTAAGGAACCAAGGTTTTGACAGGAAACTAGAAATTTTAGCATTAGCATCCATTATTTATATGATGATGCACTTGGTACTTCTGCACTCATCTTCTTCCTTGTAACAAAATTTTGTCCCTTTACCCTTTACACCCTAACATCAATATCAATATTCTCCACACTATTTACTATACATTTCCTAAGGTGCTGACAAAGAGAACTTCTTTGATAATCAAGAGCTGATTTAGTTGGTGATCATTTCCATTATTCTCATTACCTTAATGTTTGATTCAGGGGTGATATTGTAAGGAGAAATTAGATGCTAGTCACTCTTAGGAGTTAAAGGGTTAAGTTAGAGAAAGAGTCTTAGTGACACACAGATGCTGTGGGTTTTAGAGAGCTGACCTTTGTTTCAAAAAAGTGCAAAAGTTAAACTTTGTCCCAACTGAGTTTTCATAGTAAGCTACATACTTGAAGACCAGATACATTGGTTTATTTTTATTTTCTTTTTCTCTTGTTGTTTTTAGAGAGGTGTTGAAGGAGAAATGGTTTTCATGGGAGATCTTCGCAACTATGAACTCATGAAGAGTTGGATTTCAGACAAGTGTATTCCTCTGGTCAGAGAGATAACTTTTGAGAATGCTGAAGAACTTACTGAAGAGGGTATTCCATTTCTTCTTCTATTCCACCATCCTGATGATAAGCAAAGTGTGGATCTGTTCAAAACAGAAGTCGCTAGGGAGCTTGTTCAGGAAAAGGGTGAGAGAAAAAGAACCATCATTTAGAGATACATGTAGATACCTGATGTCATAATCAAGGTTGAGTTATTTTGTTTTTTGCCTTACAAGGCAAAGGATACTGTGATCACATACTCTTAGTCTGATCATACAGGCTAGATACAGTGTACATGAAACAATGTAAATTTTGAAAAGGACTCATTCAGCTACATGTAGCACTGACTGAAGTAATTATCAGAGTCATGTTAGTCCGCATAGCTCAAGGCCTTGTAATTTCCTATGGGCAAAGAATGCTTGTGTGGAAGTGCTAATAATGGGGACTGGCTCACATGCTTAACTGAATTATACAAGTAGGCGAAGCTTACTGATTAGCAGAATGGACTTTGGATCAAAAGAAGGCTGTTGAAGGGTTGGCCAGGGTTACTGTTCTTGGACAAGATGTACATTTATTACTTTCAAAATCCTTCCCACCTCCCCCTTTCCCCTTTTTGGGTGGTAGCATGGATGCTAAAAAGCTCAGCTAGTGGTTGTTTCAAATCAGCCTGTTCATTTTGGTTTGCTACCTCTGCAGGAAGCATCAATTTTCTTATTGCTGATGGGCTCAAATTCTCTCATCCACTGCATCACTTGGGAAAAGGACCTGAGGTGAGTTACTTGGATTCAATCATTTTTGGACTGGTTTTGAAGCAAAGAAAAAATACAGCATTACTTTGGTGTTTGATAATTAGATGTACATGTATTTTTCAATGTAATAGTTTTCTCTTCTTTTTTACCAGGACCTTCCTCTTGTTGCAATTGACAGCTTTAAACACATGTACCTGTTACCAAAGTTTGATGACATCAAGTAAGTGATAATTATACAGATGGAAACCAACAGCGATGAACTTTATTAAATCAACTCGTCATGACTTCAAACCTTATGAGAGCTGTGTTAGCTGGTGATTCTCAATCAAAACTGTAGCAAAAATTCTTGAGGTGGTAATGTGAAGCAACCTGATTTCAGCACTAAGATAGCATACACATACTTGTGGCTACTAAATCAGATTCCTACTGTGCTGTTTTCTTAAATTTGTTAATCAGTTAAACAGTTAAACAGTCCAATGACCATAAATCATGAATGGAAAAAAAAGGCAAAGAAATATGAGACCCAGTTGGGTGTAAAGGGTTAGTGATGCTTCTGAATGGGCCTTTTTTGTCACCACAGGAAACCAGGAAGACTCAAGAAGTTTGTTAAGGATTTGCACTCAGGAAAACTGCACAGAGAGTTCCATCATGGACCTGACCCCGCAGAACAGGGACATGAAGAAGAAGAGGTGAGTGAGAAGTGAGGTAGAGAGAGATTTTGCTTCTCTTACGCCAGCTTTTTTTCAAGAGGTAGAAGGGTGCTGGTAAGGAGAATTTCTTTAACAATCAAGAGCATCTTTTGATAGTGATCTCTTCCTTATGTCCTTAAAGTTTGATTTGAGGTAATTTTGGCAGGAGAAATAAGATACTAGCCACTCTAAGGGGCTAAAGAGCTAGTCCCTTAGAATGTCTATCATGTAATTTGTCGTTATGATATCACCGATGAATCAAACATTAAGGTCACAAGAAAAAAAGGAAATAATCACCAACTGAAGAAGCTTTTGATTGTTAAACAAATTCTCCTTGTCAGCATGTCAGGAAATGCATAGAAAACATTAGGAGAATATGCATATTGACGTTCGGGTGTAAATGGTTAAGACTCAAGATCCCTGAAGTAAAATCCTGTTAGACAGCACACACCCATTTGTGTTGTGGGATGGTTTGATTATATATTGTTTGAATTTAAGGAGACTACTGAAACAGACAGCCCGGAAGAAGCAGGAACAGAGAAAGAAACAGAAACAGGCCAAGGTACTGAAACACAGAAGACAGGATCAGGGAAAACAAACAGTGGATCTGGACGAAAAGAACAGACCTCGCCTCCAGAGACTGTATTTAAGAAACTTGCCCCAAGTTACAACAGATACACTTTACTTAGGGATGAATTGTAATTGATTTTGTTTTTAATGCCCAGCTGTAAATTTCTAAGCAGTATTTTTCAAAATATAACTAGAGACAAGGAGAAAAGAAGGGATTTTGATAACTGGTGATGACAAGGAGGGAGGAGAGGAGGCCAGGCAGTTGTGACTCAGTGAGGGAGGGGTGGGGAATTCCTACTTAATAACCAGGTTGTTAAAGGTATATGCGTTATGTTGACATAGATATATAGTGCTACAGTCATAATTTATATTTCACCACAATGTTCAAAATCCCAGATTTCCAAATTGGCAATAGGTGATCAAATGGAAGGTAACATTTTGACGTAAATTTTGTTTGCCAGTAGCTTTTCTGAAACTCGCATACATGAAGGGAATACTCCTGTAACAGACTAGAACATCTAACAAAAGAGTTGTGAAATCTATTGTGAAATCTATTCTTTTCCCAAGTTCTCTATTCTTCTCTTCCTTGGAAACAGACCAAGACCAGGCGATTGGGTGGAAGAAAAACGTTTTTTTCTTTTTTTTTATGTTCTGGTTGGTTGAAATAAATTTACATGTCAACGTC